TCTAACTTGGATACTCTGTTAACAGTCAGTTTGTAATCCCCACAGATTCTCACAGTATTGTCAGGTTTCAAAACAGGCACTATGGGAGCTGCCCATTCTGAGAATTTGACTGGTTCGATAATGTCCTCTTTCAAGAGACGGTCACTCTCTGCCTCTACCTTTGACTTCATGGCATAAGGCACAGGTCTTGGTTTGTATGACCTTGGTGTGTCCTCCTTGTCTACATAGATTTTAGCTGGGGATCCTTTCAATGTTCCAGGTTCTTCTTTGAACACATTATCATGCTTTGTCAACACCTCTTGCAATGTCCACTGTTGACCCTCATCAATCTGATTTACTGTTTCCCAGTCTAAATTCAGTTATTTTATCCAGCCCCGACCTAGCAGGTTTGGTCCGGTGCCTGATACAACTACTACAGGTAGCTGAGTTACTGTGTGTCTGTGCTGCACAGTTATAATAGCTGTTCCTATTGGGTCTAGTCTCTCACCTGTGCACGTTTTGAGATGCAGAGAACAAGTCATTAGGTCTGGAACTTTTGCACTGTCCTACAACTCGGTTGATTATGGTGCACTGCACCCTGTCTCCACTTCAAACTTAACATCTGAATCATTGACTTTCAATTTCAATGTGATAGGAGCCACTTTTGGAATGTTATCTGACATGCTGTGCATTGTAAACATATCCTCTTCTTCCTCTTTGTTTTGTTCAGCTTCCCCACTGATGTGATGTGTCCCATACTTTTTTACTCATTTTTCTTGCTTTTGCTTTCCTCTCCCTTTTTGTTTTGAACTTTCTGCATGGGATTTAGCCCTACATGCTCATTTTATATGTCCTTGTTTACCGCACTTTTCATCCTGAAAACAGCACTCACTTGCCATGTGATCACCTTAACATACTTTCACGTGCTCACCTCATAATGGTTTCTCTCTCTCTCTCTGATGCATGCCTAGCTTGTGCAAGGCGGCACATTCCATATGTCTGAAAAGGGTATTAGTTAGATGTAATATTTTGCGATTAAGACCGTCAATTAATTACAGATTCCTTGATTTCTCTTAGATTAATTCTGACTATTTTGAGGAAGTGTATACTGGCTATGTTGTTGCTAAGGCGTCTCAAGAGGGACAAACAGTAATATTGGCGCTTTTTGTCTGTTTTTCAAGCGAAGGTCTTTTAAAGGAGTATGCCAGGCACAGACGTTCAAAACCGAACCTAGTATGCGTGCGCCTTTAATCTCGTGCGCCGTACTCTAGAAGCGTGGTAGACTAACAGGACTGTCTGATGAGGTGATTGGAAGATGGCGGAAACTGAGGTTTTGTTTGAAACTGCTAGTGAGTCGGGTGAAACTAATAGTACAGAAAGTGAGAATGAGTGGGTTACAGTGGTGAAGAAAAAGGGAAACAAGAGAAGTAAAGCTGTGGTGGAAAATAGGAAACCACTAGACTCGTTTTTAGTCTGAGTCAGGGTTTTGGATCAATGCTACTTAGGAAATCCGTTTAACATCTCGAGGAAAATCTGGAATGTGTTGGAGGAAAGTGTGGAGTCAGTGAGAGTCACAAGAAGTGGTCTTATTTAGATTTTGTGTGTGTCTGCGGAGCAGTAGAAGCGTGTTTTAAGACTAAAAAAGATATCAGAGTGGAATGTTTCCTGTATGGATTTTCATAGCAAGGTGCATATGTAGGGGGTTATTTCTGGGGTGGCGCAAGAAATAAAGGCAGAGGATATAACTGAAGACATCGATGGAGTGGTTGGTGCACGTCGACTGACCTGTATGGTGGACGGAGAAAATAAATTATCTTCATCCATGCTACTGTTCTTTGATGAAGAGTCTCTCCCTTCTCAGATAAAGTTAGGATTCATGAGATACCCTGTAAGAGCTTTTGTGCACAAGCCCCTTCAGTGTCTTAAATGTAAAAGATTTGGTCACGTGTCAAGTGTGTGCAGAAGGTTAGAGTATCGTATGCCAGATGAAGTGAAATGCTGCAACTGTGGAGGTGAACATGCGCCAGAATTCCTGGAGAGCCCTTTTAGGGTGAAGGAGAATGAGGTTGCAAGGGTAAGGAGTGTCCAGAATGTCTCCTATCTGGAGGTGGTGAGAAGGTTGGAAGGAACGAGTGGCGGGGAAGAAACAATGGTAGTAGAGCCACCACGACCAGTGAAGGTTTCCCATCAACCGAGGGATAGTGAAGTGCTATATGTTAAAAAGGTGGACTTTGTATTATTTATTGTAATGGTCATAAACTGTGCAGCACAAGCGGAGAAGAAGTCTAAGAAAATTGGAATCATTGTGAATGCCACTGAATGTTTTTTGGGTCTTCATGATTTCACAGCTGAGGCTGTGGAAGAAATCCTGTCGGTGAAGGCCCCTGAGCTTGTGTAGGGATGTATTTTGGAGTGGACTGTGATTGAAGAAGTGGGATGGGTTTTTCTTAGTTGACGTGTTTAATTTTGTATGATGTTGTTTTCCCCCTTTCCCGTAATGTGTTTTTGTTGTTGTTTCCTATTCAAAACTCCGTCCAACTGGTGGCGGTAATGCAGCATTAACATTGCCAACCGCTGTGAAACCCCATCGAAGAAGAAGAAGAAGACGAAGAAGAAGAAGGGCTGTCTTACGGTGTGCCTGCTCAGAATTGCATGGACTAACCGTTGACGGTCACGGAGGGAAATGTTGATACTCTAGTGGAGCAGAATTTATAGCACTGACAAAAAAACGTGTTTCTACAGTAGAATTTAATCTCGATATGCTGTATCTGTGTTCTCACTTTCCCAACAACTTTAATATTTTTTGCTGTGGTGTTGTATATGGAAACATTAGCGCTAGTAACAAGCACCTCATCCGCTGGGTTTGCATTAGCTTCCATAATGACAATGTCAGATTCCACAGCCACAAAGTCAAAATTGCCTACAAAAATGCCGACTGATGCTTGATTGTATTGAAATTCTGAATTATATTCTACACTGAACAAAAATATAAACGCAACATGCAACAATTTCAAAGATTTTTACTGAGTTACAGTTCATATAAGGAAATCAGTAAATTGAAATAAATTAATTAGGCCCTAATCTATGGATTTCACATGAGTGGGAATACAAATACGGATCTGTTGGTCACAGATACCTTTAAGAAAATGTAGGGGCATGGATCAGAAAACCAGTCAGTATCTAGTGTGACCACCATTTGCCTCATGCAATGGGACACATCTCCTTCGCATAGAGTTGATCAGGCTGTTTATTGTGGCCTGTGGAATGTTGTCCCACTCCTCTTCAATGGCTGTGCGAAGTTACTGGATATTGGCGGGAACTGGAATACGCTGTCGTACACGTTGATCCAGAGCATTCCAAACATGCTCAATGGGTGACATGTCTGGTGAGTATGCAGGCCATGGAAGAACTAAATCAAAATTAGTTATTAACTGACTTGCCTAGTTAAATAAAGGTTAAATAAATAAAAACGGGGACATTTTCAGCTTCCAGGAATTGTGTACAGATCCTTGCGACATGGGGCTGTGCATTATCATGCTGATACATAAGGAGATGGCGGTGGATGAATGGCACGAGAATGGGCCTCAGGATCTTGTCACGGTATCTCTATTCATTCAAATTGCCATCGATAAAATGCAGTTGTGTTCAATGTCCGTAGCTTATGCCTGCCCATACCATAACCCCACCGCCACCATGAGGCACTCTGTTCACAACGTTGACATCAGTAAACCGCTCACCCACACGATGCCATACAGGCTGTCTGCCATCTGCCCGGTACAGTTGATTCATCCCTGAAGAGCACACTTCTCCAGCGCGCCAGTGGCAATTGAAGGTGAGCATTTGCCCATGGAAGTCAGTTACAACGCCAAACTGCAGTCAGGTCAAGATACTGGTGAGGACAACGGACACGCAGATGAGCATCCCTGAGGCGGTTTCGGACAGTTTGTGCATTAATTATTTGGTTGTGCAAACCCACAGTTTCATCAGCTGTCTGGGTGGCTATTCTCAGATGATCCCGCAGGTTAAGAAGCCGGATGTGGAGGTGATGCGCTGGCGTGGTTACATGTGGTCTGCGATTGTGAGGCCGGTTGGACATACTGCCAAATTCTCTAAAACGACGTTGGAGGCGGGTTATGGCTTATGAAATGAACATTAAATTCTCTGGCAACAGCTTAACCTGGAAGCCAGCTGTCGGAGGAAACACTGTTCAACTGACGACCAAAGTCAGCCTGCAGGCGCCCGGCCCACCACAAGGAGTCGCTAGAATGCTATGAGCCAAGTAAAGCCCCCCCCCGGCCAAACCCTCCACTAACCTGGACGACGCTGGGCCAATTGTGCGCCGCCCTGTGGGACTCCCGGTCACGACACAGCCTGGGATCTAACCCGGGTCTGTAGTGACACCTCAAGCACTGCGTTGCAGTGCCATAGACCGGGAGGCCGTATGATCATGTTGTTCAATCAGCTTCTTGATATGCCTCACCTGTCAGGTGGATGGATTATCTTGGCAAAGGAGAAATGCTCACTGACAGCGATGTAAACAAATTTGTGCACAACATTTGAGAGAAATAAGCTTTTTGTGCGTATGGAAAATGTATGGGATCTTTTATTTCAGCTCATGAAACATGGGACCAACATTTGTTGTGTTTATATATTTGTTAATATATTTCTGTTCAGTATATTATCATCGACTGCCTGAAATTGATCCCCTCAAACACGCCCATGTTGACCCAACACCTGCAACTTCATCTCAAGTCGTATGCGGTGTTAAAACAACTGAGAACGTGGAACTCCGAAATCTCCGACATGCTACTTCAGTGCATTTACGACAACTGGGAACTCGGAAAAAACGAGCTCCGACTAGGATTGTTTTTTTGAACAGTCATCCAACACGGAAAAGATTTTACCTCGTTTTATTCGAGTTCCCAGTTGTCTTGAATGCACCACTAGAGCTCCGACCTGAAGATGACTGACGTCACGATCTGACATCGTTTTTTGCGGAGTTCCCAGTTGTCTTGAAAGGACTATACCGCTTGCCATCAACTACGCATGTCCTTATTGGAGTGTTTGTTTACTTGTGTTGTATGTGTGTGCGACTGCTTTCCCAGGCTTTTGCATAACATTGTTTTACGGTTTAAACCTAATTCTGCCGATATGGCAGCCACAGCCCCGAACCCGGAGGATTCGAACAGAAGTAGCCCACCCACTGCACTCGCTGGGGATGGGGATTCAGAGGAGGCCGAAGAGTTTACAGCTTCAACCCACTGCTCAGAGCTGTCTCGTCGGCAGAATGAGCAGAGGAAGACCGGGTTGTTCTGCGATGTGACGTTGGCCTTCAGTAGCGGGGCAGCCAGCGAAAGGGTACAAAGTTGCGAATTCACGGCCCACCGTTCGGTTCTGGCTGCTTCTACGGACTATTTCACCCCGCTACTGGGGGGGCAATTTTCTGAGTCGCTGTCCGGGCGGGTGGATATGAAAGAATGGAGCTCCGAAACGGGGCCCGACCCAGAGACAGTGGAAAGCGTCATACAGTTCATGTACACTGGTGAAATACGAGTGAGCACCGCCAACGTTCACGAAGTATTGGAACTAGCTGACAGGTAATTCGTCTCACAGTATGCACTAGTTAGCTATCTATTTGGTAGCACTAACTTACTGTTTGTATAGCTAAAAGTAGTTGCCAAAATAGGCAACCGCAATTTGTGGTCTACTGTTAACAGACCGTTTTCCTATTACAGTGAATGCCTAAAGCTGTACTTTAATCGTTGTTCAATTTGTGCCCTAACAAGCAAACATAGCTAGATATTTTGTCAAACCCGGAACAGACACTTTCCCCAACCCCCTTTCATATGTATTGGGTGCAATGTAGGCTACGTTGCAGGTGCAGGACAGAAAAGCAGAACAGAAAAAGTGGTGGGATGCGTTGGTTTGGGGAAAACTCTAGTTTCTAAGCTTTGGCAATTGCAATGTTCTATTACAGGTCTATATGTAGGCTATTATGATTTTATTTAAATAAAACATGTATAACCACTACCAGTGCCATATACATTGATGTACATTGATATGGCTCTAACCACTACTGGTAGTCTGAGTGCTATGTTGATAAAGGTTGAATAAATGTGATGCTTCATTAGAACATTGACTGTTTCAGGTTCCTGCTGGTGCAGCTGAAGGACTTTTGCGGTGAGTTCCTGAAGAAGAAGCTGAGCCTGGCTAACTGCGTAGCGGTGCACAGCCTGGCCCACATGTACACCCTGGACCAGCTGGCCCTGCGTGCTGCTGACATGATCAGACGCAACTTCCACAAGGTCATCCAGGATGAAGAATTCTACACGCTCCCCTTCCACCTGGTGCGAGACTGGCTGTCCGACGCCGAGATCACCGTGGACTCGGAGGAGGTGCTCTTCGACGCTATCGTCAAATGGGTACAGCGCAACGCAGAGGAGCGAGAGAAGTACTTTGAGGAGCTGTTCCGTCTCCTACGGCTTCCCCAGATCATGCCCACCTACTTGACCCAGGTGGTCAAGAAGGAGCCCCTGGTGGCCAACAACGCCACCTGCCTGCAGCTGGTGTCCGAGGCCGTGGAGGGCCACGCCATTCGCTTTGAGAACCTCAAGTCAGTCGACCTAGAGTTCTGGGCGTCGTACATGGTGGCCTTCCAGCCGCGCTTCGGACAGAACATGGACGTGATCATGGTGGTGGGCGGGGTGTCTGAGGGCGGCGACTACCTGAGCGAGTGCGTGGGCTACTTTGTGTACGAGGACCGCTGGGTCAACTTGCCCCACATCCACAACCACCTGGACGGCCACGCCATCGCCACCACGGACTCCCACGTCTACGTAGCGGGCTCCATGGAACCGGGCTTCGCCAAGACCGTGGAGCGTTACAACCCCAATCGCAACACCTGGGAACAGGTGAGTAACCTGACCACACGTAAGCACTCCTTCGGCCTCACCTGCATCAAGAACATCCTGTATAGCATCGGCGGCCACGGCAACTTCAGCCCGGGCTTCAAGGACGTGAGTGTGTACGAGCCCGAGCAGGACAAGTGGCACAACCTGGAGTCAGCGCCCAAGATCCTGCGCGACGTGAAGGCGGTGAGCGTGGAGGACCGCTACGTGTACGTGACGGCGCGCACGCCCGTGGACACGGACAACGAGGACGGGCTGAAGACTGTGACCACGCGCTACGACACAGAGAGCCACCAGTGGCAGGAGGTGGATTCCCTGCCGCTCATCGACAACTACTGTGCGTTCCAGATGGCGGTGGCGCCCACCAACTTCTACCACACAGCCTCCTGCTGCCCCAAGAGCTATGCCGTGCAGGACGAGACCGCAAAGCAGAAGATCAGTGCTCGCATCTCAGACGACATCCTGGAGAGCCTGCCGCCTGAGGTCACCAGCATCGAGGGCACCGCCATCTGCTACCTGGGCGAGGACGTGTTCGTGATCGGTGGCTGGAAGAACAGCGACGACGTGGACAAGCAGTACCGCAAGGAGGCCTACCGCTACTGCGCTGAGCGGAAACGCTGGATGCTGCTGCCGCCCATGCCCCAGCCACGCTGCCGCGCCACCGCTTGCCACGTACGCATCCCCTACCGCTTCCTGTACGGCTGCCAGCGCTACCCTATGCCCCAGAACCTGGCGCGGCAGCGGGACCGCATGCAGCAGATGCAGCAGCTCCACCGCCGCACGCTCACCCTGCGCAGGCAGCTGCAGTCGCAGATCGAGTGCTGAACTCCATTCCATCCTCCCACAAGGGGCAGCATTTCAGTGTCCATTTCACATTCTCCGTTCAGTACTGGCCCTCCCGTCTAATATGCAGTTTGTTCATATTGCCACACTTTGTTGGTTGTTTATACATTTTTGTTGGTAAGGGGATGTACTGGCTCAGGTTTGGAGAAAGAGAGAGTCTGTGACAGTTGTATGTGACAATGTGCATAGAATAAAAGGACCAGACAATGGAACGGTACGCCGTGTAAAAAATATATTATTTATGGATGCTTTTGGCCTTACTTAAATATGCCTTCTCTTAATCCTCTCTTAATAAATGCTTTAGAGAAGTGTCTCCCAAACTCGGTCCTGAGGAACCCAAGGGTGCACATTTTGTTTTTTGCCCTAGCACTACACAGCTGATTCAAATAATCAAAGCTTGATGACGAGTTGATTATTTGAATCAGTTGTGCAGTGGAGGCTGCTGAGATGGTCATAATAATGGATGGAACGGAGAAAATGGAATGGCATCAAACACATGGAAACCTTGTGTTTGAGTTATTTGACACCATTCCACTAATACCGCTCCAGCCTTTACCACGAGCCCGTCCTCCCCAATTAAGGTGCCACCAACCTCCTGTGGTGTAGTGCTAGGGCAAAAAACAAAATGTGCAGGACCGAGTTTGGCAAACACTGCTTTAGAGTCTAGACGCAGCAATGCTCTAGTGTCAGCCTGAGTGTCAGCCTGTTTGTGCTATCATGCCAACTCCCTGTCACTCATTGTCAATGCAATGACAGCAATGGAGTTGGCAAGAGCACAAATGAATCTGGGACCAGGCTAGCAATGCTCCATTCTAGCTTGTAAATGAGAGTTCCTGTCCAACTAAATTACAGACGCATGCCAGATCTTACAACTACTGAATAGGTATTTAACTTATCTGCTAACCACATCATATGTTATAGCAATCTGATGCCCGACTGCACAGTCGATGACGTGGAGCGGAACTATTGGGTGATTCAATGCAACACTTTCGCTTCTAGTCGGGCAGGAACTCGACCTTAGACTGACATTCCATTTGACACTGTGATGGTTCCCATGACCACCTTTATGTACTGGCTTTAGTGAGATGCTACAGCCCACACAAAGAATAAGGTTTTCAAAGATTTGCTTTAATGTACATGTATTGGTTGCATTGTATAGACAGGCTACTCCTTTCAGTTTTAGGTTACTCCTTTTGCTTGCTTCATTACAATCTTCGGCCTGTTTCCTCCATGGCTTTGTTTTGCACTACATATGTGTTATGATAGTTCAATATGTTATGTACCATTTGAATGTTGGATAGGGACTCATAGGAGAGGAGCAAAAATCACTTCATTTTGGAACGTCTCAATCAATTTTTTACCTCCCATTGGATCCGGTTTAGTTTTTGTTTTCGTTGTCAAAAGATAGCTATAAAATATAGAAGGTGGAGCACGATCATTATTTTCAAGGGCACAAGTGTCCTCTGTAACTTGGCCCAAATTATATCTACAGTAACTTAACATGAATATTTTCTCAGGAGTCGATGAGAGCACTCATTTCTCCATTCCATTCAATTGTGACATTCCTAAAGCACAGTTAATTGCACTTGAGTAGGCCTATCTGCTTTGCCCGCTTATAAAAGTGGTCAACTGAAGACCTTAGGCTACATTTCACTTTAGAATTCCCCCAATGCCAAAGCGTAACCCGCAAGTCATTCTATCTAGAAATAACAAGCCCCACTCCACTACCTCACAGGAAGGCAGATTATAGCTGCTGGGGTAACATACCTACCCCACTTGCACAGGAAAGTTTAATGACACACTCAAATAGTCTTCAATGAAATGTCTGTCAGTCATTATTTGGCTCGTTCATTAACCTGAAACCAGGGTCGGACACTTTTTATTAGCATTCCATTGTGTTTACAATACTGACCTGTGAAATGTTCTTCAAGACGTGATGTTGTAATCTGGTGGTTTAATAACTTTTATCTGGAAACTTGTCTGGAAATGGAAAAGCTGTAATTATGTATTTACTCAGTCGGTGCATTGTGAATATTTTCAGGTAATTGTGTGTATTTCCTGCTGTGTATTAATATTGTCAAAAACGTAACCTTTGTAACTCATTGTGGCTGGAGGCACAGTATTTTATGTAGTGACTTACATTCCTTAACACCATTTTATTTACAGTACCTCACAATCATGTTTCATGTAAAACAAGCCAGTGTTCTGTTGATTCAGATCCTCATAATCATTATGTTCTACCATGTAAATTCATGAATGCACACCATGGATAGTTAGATTCAGAATAGTATAGTATGTCGGTGTTGATTGTAAATGTCCCTAGTTGAGATGTTTTTGATTTAATACTGAAAGTCCTTTATCGTGGTGAATGGGTTGCCAAGTCCAAAGCAGTGAATCCCCCATCAGTAGTTATTCCTGTTCCATCAATGCAGAGGGAATCTGAGTTTGTGTGTATTGTAAGTGTCCAGAAGCCATATTCCTTCTGGTCTCATTCTTGTACAGTAGTTTGAAATTGTAAAGGACATATTTAGCTTTGTGTGTTCTCGCTTAAAATGCACAACGAGCTCTGAGTATACAGTCATTTCCAATAAAAAATATATTTCATATAATTAGGCGGCATATATCTGTTGTCTGTGAAGATGCTGAATGTTTTATTTTGGTATGTCAGATGTATAATGCAAACAATCAACTGAAATGTTTTACTCCAAACAGTTTCATCATAATATATTTATTTCCTTAGCAAAATATTCTCTATTTTCTTCTAGTCTTAGAGTGGGGAATGGGAAGGATGTACTTGTCTATAGGTTTGAGGCCAGCCTGGTCTTGGAGGAAGGTGTGTTCCATTCCTCAGCGAGCAACATTGGGGAGTCGCGGGGGGCAGCATACTGTGCCACGTTGGGCAGGCCGGGCACGACGCAGCAACCGAGGGCACTGCGGAAAGTGGGCATGTCGTGGGCCTCATACCACTCGTCCGTCTTTTCGTCGTAGCACTCCACGTTGTAGGTGGTGTTGAAACCATTGAAGCCGCCCACCACGAAGAGCAGGTCATCCACCACCGCGATGCCAAAGTTGCTGCGCGGGTTGAACATGGTGGGCAAGGCGCGCCAGGTGTTGTCCAGTGGGTTGTAGACCGCTGCGGTCTTCAGACGGTTGGCACCGTCAAAGCCTCCAACCTAGGGTAACACAATCTTGTGAGTCTGAGGCTAATTGGATTTCAAATGTTGTGAGAAAGAAATAGAAGCTAGAGACAATCTGTATGTTTAATTAACCACATATACATTAATTAGAAACGTTACATTAAATGTAAAGTAAAGAAAAGCTTCATGAAAGAACAGCTGCTTATATTCAAGCTGTACTGTCAAAATGTAACTTGCTTTACAGCCTGAGACTATTGATGTCTCCATCTATTCCAGACTGGTAGTTTTACACAGCAATCAATCTCACTGAGGAGCTGAGCACCATCGTCTCCAAAGGCCGTCTCAGTGCTCCAGGTAGTTACTGCAATTTGTTTTATCCTCAATTCTGAATGTCTTCCATTTTAATTGTACCACGAGTAAAGCACCTGCACACCCCTGGACTTGTGTTTTGATTGTACAGACCAAATCACATGACAAAAGTGTTAGTCCACCAGATATGACTACTTAGTTTGTTCTGACTAGAAGTTCTGCTCTGACTCGTTGAATGTATAACTTACTGCATAGAGCTGCTCCTTGTATGCAATGACGCCGACCCCACTGCGGCGACTCCTCATAGGGGCAATCAGGGTCCATTGGTTGGTCTTGGGACAGTAACTCTCTGCATTGAACAAGCACTCCGTCCCATTGAAGCCTCCACAGACGTACACCTGAACGCCAGAGAACCCCACAGGATTGACACATCACAACTGTTCTTTTTTACTTGTAAGGTGTAGTCTAGTTTTCTTTTACCGTTTTAGCTTTCATACCAATTACTCGTTTGAACTGCAACATGAGTGTTGGCAGGCTTCACTTATCTATTCCCCTTCAACTTCTGCCTACCTTGCCATGCAGTGTGGTGGCACTGGCATCACTCCTTTTCTCATGCATCGGCGCTACCAGGGTCCACTGGTTTGTCTCAGGCTCGTAGCGCTCCACACTTGTAAGACGCCCGTAGCCATCGAAGCCGCCTATGGCGTAAATGCAGCCATCCAGGACTGTCACACTGACGTAGCAGCGCCGCGAGTGCATGGGTGCCACCTGGTGCCAGATGCGCGTGACGGGGTTGAACTTGCGGACACTGTTGAAGTAGTCCACGCTGTCAAAGCCGCCTAAGCAGTAGACGAAGCCGTTGAGGTACACGGCACCGTGGTATGCCCGTGGGCTCTCTTCCTGCGCTACGGTCACCCAACAGTCGGCCCTCGTGTCATATGCTTCGATTAAATTGGTTGGGTTGCCTCCACTCCAGCCGCCGATAGCCAGTAGGATGGCGTAGGGCAGACGAGGTCGCCTCAGCGGGTTGCTGGAAATGGAGGGGCCGTGCATGTTGAGTTCGTATAAGGCCTTCAAGGCGTTGAGGATGATGGGTTTGCATTCATCGCTGTCTTTCACCAGGGAGTTGTTCCTCACATGGTTTATGAAGTAGTCAGCATTCATCAAAGCCATTCGCACCTAGATGGACATAATTAAATGTAAGGGATTTCATACAGTTGAAAAACACTCAAAGCAAACCAGATCGAGGTAGGGAAGACTAAGCAAACACGCTTCTTGTCTAACATAATGCTTTCTCAAATATTATGAAACCAATTTCGCTTGGTTGTCATTAGCACCATAGTTGCCCAGTAGCTCTATGATAACAAAAAAGTAGCTTTGATCAGTGACTGTTTTATAAGTGGACCGTCACCTTTGGTAGTAGCACAGAGATCCAGTGCCTTCGGCTGGCAGGAGCGTGGGCAATCCAGCGCAGGATGGCCTCAAACACAGCGTTCTCCTGCCTCACGTTCAGGTCGTCCTTCTCAATGAGGTCGCAGAGCTGGGCCAGAGACAGCTCCAGGAACTCCTGGGAGTAGCAGACGATTTCCTCAAAGTGGTGCAGGATGAAGACGAAGGCTCGGCGCTGCAGCTCCGGGCAGGAGTAGAAGTCGGCGAACTTGCAGATGCCGATGCAATTTTCCAGACACAGCTGGGTCTCCAGGAAGTGGCAGCAGGCCTGCACGATGCCCAGGATGGAGAACTGGTCGGCCGCCTCTAGGAGCAGCTCCACGTTGTCTGCCGTGACTGGGACGGTCCGGGTGTAGGCGTACTCGATTAGCATCCTCATCATCTCAGGAGATACACCTGGAATGGTGTACACACGTTTCTCGCAGGGGTTCCAGCCACTGGTGAACAGAGCCCTGCGGGGGAAATAGGCAAAACATTGACAACTCACTGAGGGACTAAGGAAAAACAATTCTCAAAAAATGTAACTGTCCAGAGTTGGATACATGTCTCTGTTCTATGAAACTCTTTTGATTAAACATTAACCATAGGCCAGAAATAATTGAAGATGTGTCTATGAAGACAAATTGTGATTAATCAATTGTGTTGTGAAACTGGCCTAGTGTTTGGTACTCTCTCCTGGGCATAGATTGAGACTGAAGTCTCCATTCTTCATCTATGTCAATTGATATTTAGAATGTTAAAGTGATTTTTGTTCGCATGTTTATGGTACAATCACACAACAGACAAGCCTCTCACCGGAAATACGAGCTGCATCCACACAGGATAGTCTTGTGGGCACTGAACTCAACTCCCTTGACTTTGATGACCACATCGCAGAGTTTCCCTTCCAGGCGTAGCTCATTGAAAATGTTGCAGGCCATGGCACCAGTAGTCTTCTCCGTTTGAAATTTGGTTAAGGTTCTAGACTCTTCCATGTCTTTAGCAGACTTTTTTGTTTGTGAAATGTTTGATGTGATCGAGAGAGAACTTTGCTTTTCATTCTTGTTGACTTCTAGAACATCCATACATTGATACATCACAATGGCATTACTTCCAATTCTCTGTTGATAGAAAGCAATCAATTTACCATGGTAACATCATCCAATTATGAAATAATCAAAAAAAGTTAAGCGCCCCAAAATAAAACATTTACAATAAAAATGTTTTAAATGGTAATTATTGTGAACTTAAAACTGACATGCTATATTTAAAAATAAAGTATGTCAATACAGATTTTATTTTTTGGAATAATCTGAATTATTCTGGAATTTGCTGCAGTTTTCAGGTGACATCCTTTATCAATTACCGGTATCTAGCTACTTTTTATCAACGTATGGGAACCACTGTTTACGTTTGTCTGTTGCAGAGGGAGGACTGCAGGTGCAACAAGATTTTGACATGTAAACAAATCTAGCTGGCAAGCTAGCTAGCTAACAGTATTATTTTTCTGATTAGTGTAACGTTAGCAAATTAGCTAAATGTACTTAAACCAACAAGCAACCTTTCATTGAATGTATTGCAAATACGTATGCTTATTGCTCACTGCACATCAGTTTGTCTAGTTAGCTATCTAGCTAACGTATGAAAATGGTAAGTGTTTCTTGGCTTGTTAACGTTAAATAGCTAACTAGATAGCTATTTAGCTACCATTGCCATTGGTTATTCATATGCACAGCTGGCAAGATTGCACGAATGACATGATACATTGTTATATATATATATATATAGCTAGCTAGGTAACAAAAAAACATGGGACACTATAGAGACTAGAGTTCTAATGGCTTACCCAGAGAAATACCTCGTTGGTTTGCGTTATTTTGGATAGCGTAGCAGGGCAAGCTAACCAACCACACAATTTGCTATGATAAGGGTTAGCTACGGTTGTTTACCATATTGTTTTGAATTGGAATGATGACCACAACGTAATAATGCCATATTTACCAAGGAAGGATTTTAAAAAGTGAGGGAAATATAATTTATTGCAAACAAATTTAAATTATAAAAGTTCACAAACTACAGAGAACAACACACACACATAGCTAGTTAATACATCTAGCTAGCTACTATGTAGCTAGCTATGTCCATGCTTGTAATCATGTTATTACTTAACACAAGACAGTCATTGACATTGTATCTCAATGCATATTGGCAAATGTTTGTTTTGTATTGGGGCACAGAGTACAGTCATTCTACTCAGGGTATCTTGAGTATAATGACTTAAAGTGTAACTCCACCACGTTTCAACCTCATTTTCATTATCTCCAGCACAATATCAGTGTCAACATTTGTGAAAACGGCGCATTTCTACGTTTTGTTGAAAGATATATAAAGTTCAGATGTTCTACCCGATATGACATCTTCAAAAAGTAAGCATTTCACTGTTAGTCTACAACTGTTGTTTACGAAGCATGTAAAAAATACAATTTGATTGATTTGAAAAGTTAAAACAAGACAAAACTATGAGATTCGCGGAGAAGTCGGGAGCAAAAAATACCCTCCCTTGGGATAGAAACCCGTTGCAGTTTTAAAAAGCACAGTTTCTTACATTTAATCCTACCCTTTGATATCACAGAGAAGCATTTTTTTTAGGACCTTTCTTCTTATCATTTTAACCACAGATCATAGAAACGCACTGTTTCACATATGTAGACACTGGTTTGGTGCTGGAGCTGATGAATGAGGTTGAAAAGTGCCGGAATTGCCTTTTTAATATAAATTGGATAAGCTAAGCATAGTGTTTTTCCCCTTTGCCATGAGACATCAGTGACTGGGTGCTGTAGATGTCTCCTGTTCCATGAATCCCATGAATTAGCTAATACCTCTCTCCCTGTTTCTTTGCCCAGATATACCACATCCCCTGGATATATTTGCCGGTGCGGACTGCCCTAGCAATCTGGCACCAGCTGACAAAGTCTGAGGTCAGACAGCTCTCTGTTCCACTGTCGTCGCCTGCTCTCCTCTTTACCAATGCCTAGTACAGTTAATTCATCAAAATCCATCTCTGCTAAGCAGTAACTGCATGTATTTTGTCTGACAGTTTCTCATTTTGATTTACAATATGCATCAAAACTGTCCGAATTCCCACACTATTTGTAGTCTATTAGAATGCACTGTATTTGGTGATTTGGGTATTAGTCCCGGGCCTGGTTTCCCGATAGCGATGGAATTTAGGCTTAAAAGTGTTTTAACGATGCATCCTTCCTACCGAAGATGTAACATGCGTTTCCCAAAACACCACGCAGAGAGAACAATCTTAGCGATGCTTACCCTATAAAAATGCACTTAATCACTGATTTGGCACATCATTGCGCACATGTTAGGCTACACATCATTACATATATTGAGATTACAGACAGTAGCCTACAAGTAGCTAAATATAACTCAATTTATTGAACATGAAATGTATTATGATTGAAATACGCCTATAGCCTAGCATATTTATTGTATTGCAGTCATCTAGGTTTTCATTTGAAGCATGTTTTAATACGTCGCTTGTTTGTATCAATTGCAAAGACATGGACAACTTCGTATTTGTAGTCAACTTTGTTCTGAAGTTGGCGGCGGTCACAGAGACTCTATGTTTAGTGGAGATCTTCTGTGTATGAAGTGGGAGGGCGACGCATTTAGCTATTCGACGAGTGGTCTGAGGCAGGCTTTAGATTACAAGTGTTTTCAAGTGCAACGTTAATAACGATGGTTTTGGGAAATGGCTTGGAGATTTAACAATGCTCCTACGAAGGTTCTAAAAATGAATTTAGCCTTAAGATGCTTTTGGGAAACCGGGCCTTGGACGAGTCTATAATAAATTAGCCTAATAACTGCAAACTGTGTGGATTTGGAAGAATTGTATCCTATCCTCTCCTATTTTGCTCTTCAAGTCATCCTAGGCTGTGTAGTAGCTTTGTAATGGTAAAAATAGGTATTCGTGTGAAGTCTACTAATACTAACTTGGAAGAAATAGGCTACATTTTGAGAAATGCTGGCTCTGTAGTTGACTAATACATTAAATCAATTAACTCAGCATGCATGATAAATATGGTCTTAACGTGGTGGCGGGAGTAGGATCTCAAAACATAACTAACCACAGTGTTTTCAAGCAGGCCTATGTGGATTAGCGTTGTCCCCTATTTTCTACATTTGTCCCTTTGCGCCCCCTACAGTTTGATAGCAACAATAGCACGTGTGGGATTTGTATTATTATTTTGGATTCAGACTAAAGATTTTGCAGGTTTTCCTACTTACAAAGCATGTAGAGGTCTGTAATTTTTATCATAGGTACACTTCAAAATCCAGAAAATCACATTGTATGATTTTTAAGTAATTAATTTGCATTTTATTGCATGACATAAGTATTTGATACATCAGAAAAGCAGAACTTAATATTTGGTACAGAAACCTTTGTTTGCAATTACAGAGATCATACGTTTCCTGTAGGTCTTGACCAGGTTTGCACACACTGCAGCAGGGATTTTGGCCCACTCCTCCATACAGACCTTCTCCAGATCCTTCAGGTTTCAGGGTTGTCGCTGGGCAATACAGACTTTCAGCTCCCTCCAAAGATTTTCTATTGGGTTCAGGTCTGGAGACTGGCTAGGCCACTCCAGGACCTTGAGATGCTTCTTACGGAGCCACTCCTTAGTTGCCCTGGCTGTGTGTTTCGGGTCGTTGTCATGCTGGAAGACCCAGCCACGACCCATCTTCAATGCTCTTACTGAGGGAAGGAGGTTGTTGGCCAAGATCTCGCGAAACATGGCCCCATCCATCCTCCCCTCAATACGGTGCAGTCGTCCTGTCCCCTTTGCAGAAAAGCATCCCCAAAGAATGATGTTTCCACCTCCATGCTTCACGGTTGGGATGGTGTTCTTGGGGTTGTACTCATCCTTCTTCTTCCTCCAAACACGGCGAGTGGAGTTTAGACCAAAAAGCTCTATTTTTGTCTCATCAGACCACATGACCTTCTCCCATTCCTCCTCTGGATCATCCAGATGGTCATTGGCAAACTTCAGACAGGCCTGGACATGCGCTGGCTTGAGCAGGGGGACCTTGCGTGCGCTGCAGGATTTTAATCCATGACGGCGTAGTGTGTTACTAATGGTTTTCTTTGAGACTGTGGTCCCAGCTCTCTTCAGGTCATTGACCAGGTCCTGCCGTGTAGTTCTGGGCTGATCCCTCACCTTCCTCATGATCATTGATGCCCCACGAGGTGAGATCTTGCATGGAGCCCCAGACCGAGGGTGATTGACCATCATCTTGAACTTCTTCCATTTTCTAATAATTGCGCCAACAGTTGTTGCCTTCTCACCAAGCTGCTTGCCTATTGTCCTGTAGCCCATCCCAGCCTTGTGCAGGTCTACAATTTTATCCCTGATGTCCTTACACAGCTCTCTGGTCTTGGCCATTGTGGAGAGGTTGGAGTCTGTTTGATTGAGTGTGTGGACAGGTGTCTTTTATACAGGTAACGAGTTCAAACAGGTGCAGTTAATACAGGTAATGAGTGGAGAACAGGAGGGCTTCTTAAAGAAAAACTAACAGGTCTGTGAGAGACGGAATTCTTACTGGTTGGTAGGTGATCAAATACTTATGTCATGCAATAGAATGCAAATGAATTACTTAAAAATCATACAATGTGATTTTCTGGATTTTTGTTTTAGATTCCGTCTCTCACAGTTGAAGTGTACCTATGATAAAAATTACAGACCTCTACATGCTTTGTAAGTAGGAAAACCTGCAAAATCGGCAGTGTATCAAATACTTGTTCTCCCCACTGTATGTGTGAGATTTCGGGAGGCTGAAATATGAGCTTAGAATTCAGAAATGGCCTCGTACAATTTGTTTGCGATTTTATAGAACCACATTAATCTTATTGTCCATACTGAACATATTTCACTAATCCATTCATTCATTCCAATTGAATAGTGTTGATTTGCCCTGTTGATTTACTTCCGGCCAGTGATTGATTTACTTCCGGCCAGTTTGTTTTAAGCTTCATCATAGGAATGTTTTGGTACTGTAGTAAATGCATTACTTGATTAATTAGCGGTGTAGAGCCTTGCAGTATAATCTACTAACTGTCCCACCCCCCCCCCCCCCGTCCCGTCCCCCCATCCCCCCCGTCCCCTGCCCCCTTCCTTCCTCACCCCCCACCTGGAACGGTCCCCACTGGTACAGGTATCCATCACTAACGCCTGTCTTCTCCTTGTTCCTCAGATCCCAGAGCTGGCTAAGGCCTCTGTGCTGATAAGGGACCGCAGCAGAGTGGAGGAGACCATCCAGGCCATGCAACGAGCCGGGCCAGATGCCCTCCAGGTAACCACTGGCCAGAAGTACTGTTTACAGGGTCAAAGGTCACCTAGACCGAGCCAAAAAAGCACACTACAATAGCTCCCCACAAGAGTGTTTGTTTATGTTTATGAGTAGAAATTTAGCAAACACTTCTGAGTACCATCCGTGATGATGGTGGAGGGGTCGTACTCACACAATAACAGAGGGGGCAGAATACTGTGGCGCTGATGGCACAGCATAATCATAATGGTCTGACTGCACAGAGGTGCCGGGGAAGAAGGGTGTCCACGGTGGACCAGTGTGTGTGTGTGTTGTGAGGAAGGGGGCTATCCAAGCTCCATCAGCCAGGACTAGACATTGGCTTATCAAGCCTTTCCATCCCCGCTCAATTTTGTCTAACCTCTACAACAATATACACATTTACATTGCAAGTCTACTCTTTGAGCTGGGCTCGGGGATGGAACAGCTGTTCAAATAAAAAAAATGGTCACATGCTTCGTAAACAACAGGTGTAGATTAAATGTGAAATGCTTACTTACGAGCCCTCCCAACAATGCAGAGAGAAAAAAAGAGAGTAAAAAAAATAGACAAATAATAACAAGGAATAAGTACACATGAGTAATGATAACTTGGCTATATACACAGGGTACCAGTACCAAGTTGATGTGCTGGGGTAGGAGGTAATTGAGGTAGATATGTACATATAGGTAGGGATAAAGTGACCAAGAAACGGGATAGATAATAAACAGTAACAGCAGCGTATGTGATGAGTCAAAAGAGTTGCAAAAAGGGTCAATGCAGATATTCCAGGTAGCTATTCAATAACTATTTAACTAACTATTTAGCAGTCTTATAGCTTGGGGGTTAGAAGCTGTTCAGGGTCCTGTTGGTTCCAGACTTGGTGCATCGGTACCGCTTGCCGTGCCGTAGCAGAGAGAACAGTTTATGACTTGTGTGGCTGGAGTCTTTAACAATTTTTAGGGCCTTCCTCTGACACCGCCTGGTATAGAGGTCCTGGATGGCAGGGAGCTCGGCCCCAGTGATGTACTGGGTCATACGTACTACCCTCTGTAGCGACTTGTGGTGGAATGCCAAACAGTTGCCATACTAAGTGGTGATGCAGCCAGTCAAGATGCTCTCAATGGTGCAGCTGTAGAACTTTTTGAGGATCTGAGGGCCCATGACAAATCTTTTCAGCCTCCTGAGGGGGAAGAGGCATTGTCGTGCCCTCTTTGCGACTGTGTTGATGTGTGTGGACCATGATAGTTCCTTAGTGATGTGGACACCGAGGAACTTGAAGCTCTCCTGAACAACTGAGCTTGTGGTTGGTGTGTGTGTGTGTGTGTGTGTGTGTGTGTGTGTGTGTGTGTGTGTGTGTGGAAGGGGAAAGGTGGGTGGGGCGTGTGCTATAGCCGTTGCTATAGCGTAATGATGTTAGGGACCATATACATGTAGGATGGAATCATAGGATGGAATCACAAGCTGTAATAAAAAATAAATAATATCTGCGTGCCTAAATGTTGATTTTTTTTTTCCTGCCAGTCCTTGTTAAAGATAACAATCCTTCATAGGAAGTGCCTACAATATTACGCATATTAATCATCAATTGTGGGAAGGAATTAATGTAGGCGGATAATCAATCACCCATTGAGTGAATGCGCTTTTCAGATCAGTTCAGGGTGCAGAGCCATGGGTGCACACATTTGTTGATATTCATTGCTAGTTAGTGAGTTATTAGCCCACTTATAGGCCAGCAATGGGGAGTTATTGCTTCCTACAAGAACAGTCACCTATTTGGCCCATGGTGTTACAGACCAACTAAAAAGTCATTAATTAATTTCAAGCCCTTCCTATTGTAAAAACGTCTTTAAAAGTCTCATGTAATGCAGGCCTGCATTGAACACCACATATAGGCTACTGTAGGATATATCATAGAAATCAAAAGCTATTTCCATGTGAAAATGTTATGGGATTTGCTCCATTGGTTTTGTTGGTAGGCCTACATTATGCTCAAATAGCCACAATAGTCTATTGGCTACTGTCTAAAACTGTAAGGGTACAGCCTCAGTGTTCACTGTAAAGGCGCGCCGGAAGTTGCACAAAATTCTCACAACGTTCAAGTTTCCGCTCACAAGACCTCAAATTTGCTCAGTGCCCCAAAATTAGAGGGAACATTGGTCCCATCTCTCAAGGGCCCTAGGATCCATGTGTACGGGGGTGGTCTGCCAGTCACAGGGACGAGACCCCTACCTGGGAAGGGGGGCGTTTTTTTGCGGGAGGGAAATTGGAGGACAACTGGAGGTCTCCTTAGAGCCAGTTGTAACTACAGTATGTTTAGCAGGGCATCTATCATGGTACAGCTTCGTGGATTCTGGTGCTACTGGTAGGTATGGATAAGTACCTCAAAATGGTGGCTAGGATAGTGGTAAGTATCTAAAATATAACCCATCATGGTAATTGGTGAATTGAGGATAGCTAGCTATAATTCCAATGGTTTAGCTGATAATAGGAAAATAAGAGCAGTTTTTACATAGTTAAAGGAAAATGATGACCAGATTTATTGATTACAGGAAACTCATTCAATATATTCTGACGAAGTGGCCTGGGAAAAAGAGTGAGATGGTCAAATCTATTTCTGTCACGGGCTAAAGAATTCAAAAGGTGTTATGTAGAAATTCATGTAGAGGTCTGTAATAAAAATTACAGACCTCTACATGCTTTGTAAATAGGAAAACCTGCAAAATCGGCAGTGTATCAAATACTTGTTCTCCCCACTATAAATGACAAACTGTCGGACACACAAAAAGAGAGACTGATCTCTCGACTACTGAAGCAGGAGCCAGGGGGGCAATACAAAGACCCAGTCTCTAAAAAAAAAAAATGGAGGCCTCCTCACCATTTAAATTGCTCATAGAATAAGAAAGGTCCTACAGGACATTATTCATCACGATCAGACGGGATTCTTAAAAGGAAGATATATGGGAGACAACATTTGATACCTACTAGAAATAATGGAAAACTATTAGAATGCAGGTATAATATTTATAGCAGATTTTGAGAAAGCATTTTATACACTACGTCTAGAATCTGTTTATAAGTGCCTGGATTTGATCAACTTTGGAGAATCTCTCATAAGATGGGTAAAAGTCAAGTACAACGATCCTTTATGTAAAATAAGAAATAACGGTTACTTCTCTGAGAACTTTGAATTGTCAAGAGGTGTAAAATAAGGTTGCCCTCTGTCGCCATACCAATTTTTTATGGCCATTGAACGGTTATCTTTAAAAATCATATCTAATGATAACATTAAGTGGTAAAAATGTATGGATTAGAGACAAAAGTATCAATGTACGCCCAATGATTCAAATTCTTGAGTCCTCAATCTTCAACATTGAAAGGGCCTCATTGAGGACCTGGATAATTTCTCCAGTTTCTCTAGACTAAAACCCAACTATGATAGTGTACTATTAATGGATTGGGTCTCTAAAAGATAGAATTGCCATGGGCGGATGGTGAAGTCGATGTGCTTGATGTACATATCCCAGAAAAGTTGAGCGATCTTGCAACTTAACTTTGATAGAAAACTTAGCAAAATAGATAGAATCTTGAAGCTATGGAGAGGGAAACGCCTATCCATTTACGGGAACATTACCCTGATTAATTCTCTAGTGAAATCGCAGTTTACATATTTATTCATGTCTCTACCGACTCCAGGAGAATCGTTTTTCAAATCATGCGGGAATTTTTTTGGAATGGCAAACCAGTTAAACAAGCATATTTATATAACAAACACGAGTTTGGAGGGTTAAAACTATTAATTATTAAGGCATTAAACCTCTCTCTTAAAGCGTTCATTGTACTGAAATGTTATCTAAATCCAAACTGGGGCCCATCCTATGTTTAAGAGTGGTGTCTGCCTTTTTGCAGATTAAAAAGGTGGATTCGGTGGATTGACAATGGAAAAGGCAGATCTAATTTTACAGCAAATTACAGGGCCTTAGGAAATATTCAGACCCCTTGACTTTTTCCACATTTTGTTAGGTTACAGCGTTATTCTAAAACTGATTAAATTGTTTAGTTTTTTATCCCTCATCAGACTACACACAATACCCCATAATGACAAAGCAAAAACAGGTTTTTATACATTTTTGCTAATTTATGAAAAAAGAAAACGGAAATATCACAATTAGATAAGTAAATGACCCTTTACTCAGTACTTTGTTGAAGCGCCTTTGACAGCGATTACAATCTTCTTTGGTATGACGCTACAAGCTTGGCACACCTGTATTTGGGGAGTTTCTCCCATTCTCTGCAGATCCTCTCAAGCTCTGTCAGGTTGGATGGGGAGCGTCGCTGCACAGCTTTTTTCAGGTCTCTCCAGAGATGTTCGATCCAGTTCAAGTCCGGCCTCTGGCTGGGCCACTCAAGGACATTCAGAGACTTGTCCTGAAGCCACTCCTGCGTTGTCTTGGCTGTGTGCTTAGGGTTGTTGTCCAGTTAGAAGGTGAACCTTCGCCCCAGTCTGAGGTCCTGAGCACTCTGGAGCAGGTTTTCATCAAGGATCTCTCTGTACTTTGCTCTGTTCATCTTTCCCTCGATCCTGACTAGTCTCCCAGTCCAGGCGCTGACAAACATCCCCACAGCATGATGCTGCCACCACCATTCTTCACCGTAGGGATGGTGCCAGGTTTCCTCCAGATGTGATGCTTGGCATTCAGGCCAAAGAGTTCAATCTTGATTTAATCAGACCAGAGAATCTTGTTTCTCATGGTCTGAGAGTCCAGGTGCCTTTCGGCAAACTCCAAGCGGGCTGTCATGTGCCTTTTACTGAGGAGTGGCTTCCGTCTGGCCACTCTACCATAAAGGCCTGATTGGTGGAGTGCTGCAGAGATGGTTGTCCTTCTGGAAGGTTCTCCGAGCTCTGTCAGAGTGACCATCGGGTTCTTGGTCACCTCCCTGACCAAGGCCCTTCTCCCCCGACTGCTCAGTTTGGCCGGGCGGCCAGCTCTAGGAAGAGTCTTGGTGGTTACAATCTTCTTCCATTTAAGAATGATGGAGGCCATTGTGTTCTTGGGGGACCTTCAATGCTGAAGCAATTTTTTGGTACCCTTTGTGCGTCGACACAATCCTGTCTCGGGGTCTCTACGGACAATTCCTTCGACCTCATGGCTTGGTTTTTGCTCTGACATGCACTGTCAAATGTGGGACCTTATATAGACAGGTGTGTGCCTTTCCAAATCATGTCCAATCAATTGAATTTACCACAGGTGGACTCCAATCAAGTTGTAGAAACATCTCAAGGATGATCAATGGAAACAGGATGCACCTGAGCTCAATTTCGAGTCTCATAGCAAAGGGTCTGAATACTTATGTAAATAAGGTGTCTGTTTTTTTATTTTTAATAATTTGCAAAAACCTGTTTTCGCTTTGTCATTATGGGGTATTATGTGTAGATTGCTGAGAAAATGTTTTGATTTAATCAATTTTAGAATAAGGCTGTAACGTAACAAAATGTGGAAAAGGTCAAGGGGTCTAAATACTTTCCGAAGGCACTGTAAATGGCTAAACTCCAATGCACTGACAGAAAGAGAAAAAAAAGGCACAAAATTCCAAGAAGGATATAATATTTATGAAGGATATTGTAAACAAGGACGGTAAAGTTATGTCACACAAGCAACTAACAACAGTGTATGGAGGTGTATGCCCAATGCAAAATTATAACCAACTCATAGCGGCTCTGACACAAAATTGGAAGAGACAATTACTTAAAGAAGAAACTAAATAATTAGTCTGTTTGCCACCCATTAAAAATCATAAATGGCTTAAAATGATTAGTCTAAATAAAAAATTGTATCAGTTCCACTTAAAGTCAAAAGGTTTGACAGCAATACTGTATAACATTCAAGTCAGTTGGGAACAGGTCTTTGATGTCCCAATACCATGGCAACTGATATATAAAACAACAATTGACACATCAATCAATTAGTTTCAATTTAAGCTATTATATACAATTCTTGCTACACAAAGAATGCTCAATATATGGGGCATTTAACAGTCAGCCTAGTGCAGACTCTGCCACAAGGAAAAGGAATCAATAGAGCATCTTTTCTGGTATTGTCCTTCGGTCATTCGCTTAAGGAATCAGGTCCAGGAATGGTTATGTCATAATATCAGAGTTCAGATGGACCTGGAAACTGTATTGATAGGGGATCTGAAAAACCACGATCAGTCAATGGGAAATATCATTATACTCTTGGGTAAAGTATATTTTTTTAGGGCAACATCAGTAGAAATGTTACAAATAGTGAGGTTCAGGACCCTCGTAAGACATCATAGTAAAATTGAGGGATGTATTGCAAAAGGAAATAGCAAAATGGCATTATACTGGGAAATATGGGTTAATGAATAGTGGATTGGCTGCTGTGGGAGAAAATCCAGCACATGTGAAAATAGCTGTAAGTAGAAGTATTGTTGTCCGTTAGTTTACTCCAATCAGGGGAGGGATGGTAGGGTGGGGGGTATGAATAAAATAAGGGGGATTATACATTTAGCAAACAATTCAATTGATAGAACCCACAATCTATCTGCAATATTAAAGCTGATCTATAATAATAATAATTCAGTTAATGTGATGTGTATGAGTGGAAAGAGCTATCTTCTTAGCAATGCCTGGTCTCTACAGGTGATCTCGGACTTTGACATGACCCTCAGCAGATTTGCCCACAACGGGAAGAGGTGCCCCACCACTCACAGTGAGTACACAGGTCCCCATCACCAAGACTTGGGTCGTGTTCATTAGGCACCAAGGGAAGAAAACAGACAGCCCTGGATTTGTCCAATAAGAAACTCATTTTCATTTTTCCTTACAAAACGTTTTCTGTTGTGTGACGTAATGAACACTACCCTGGATCATTATAACAAGCGATTGCGAAAGTAGTTATTTTGAAGTGCAAGAGATATTGTCCCTCATCATTTTCTTTCCGCCGTTTAAGATATCCTGGATAACGACTTGCTCATCAATGACGCCTCTAAGAAAATGGTGAGTACAATCACACAACCAGGAGAGGACTAGAGAAAGTTATGTGTTCCTCTGATGAGACAGTAGGAAAAAGCATGAAGTAAATTCTCTATTGAGATATTATGTTGTGTGTATGTTGTCTCTCTCACACGTTTATTCCCTTCTATGTAGATTAGGGAGTTGTTGAATACCTACTACCCCATTGAGATCGATGCAACTCGCACCGTCGAGGAGAAGCTTCCTCACATGGTGGAGTGGTGAGTGGCTGACAGAATCCACCTCGCACTACACCTAAACATATTCAGCCTCTTTTTCTGCTTTCATGCTAAAAAGTGTTCATTTTTAATAACAGAGAGATGTCTACAGTACAGTTGAATCTAATTTCCATTTTTTATGTGTATGTTAGTTCGCTAAGTGGTCGTTTAAGTGGCACACTAACGCAGTGTCCTGGGCTTTTCATTGCAGGTGGACCAGTGTCCATGAGCTACTGATCCAACAGAAGATCAGGAGGGACCTGCTGGCTCAGGCAGTGAAGCAGTCCAGTGCCATGCTCAGGTCAGATCACTGTAGGACTCTACTCTACTACCACATATCTACAACACAAAATCCATGTGTACATGTGTGTATAGTGCGTATGTTATGATGTGTGTATGCGTGTGCCTGCGTGTGTCTCTTCACAGTCCCCGCTGTTCCATAAAGTGTATTTTTATCTGTTTTTTAAATCTAATTTTACTGCTTGCTGAGGAGTATTTCTGTCTGTAATAAAGCCCTTTAGTGGGGAAAAACTCATTCTGATTGGCTGGGCCTGGCTCCCCAGTGGGTGGGCCTGGCTCCAAAGTGGGTGGGCCTATGCCCTCCCAGGCCCACCCATGGCTGCGCCCCTGCCCAGTCGTGAAATCTATAGATTAGGACCTAATTTATTTATTTCAATTGACTGATTTCCTTATATGAACTGTAACTCACCAAAATCTTTGAAATTTTCCTGAATCCCTCTTTGTGGCACCAGACCACACGACTGGACAGTAGTCCAGGTGCGACAAAACTAGGGCCTTGTAGGAGCTGCCTTGTTGATAGCGTTGTTAAGAAGGCAGAGCAGCGCTTCATTATGGACAGACCTCACTCCATCTTAGCTACTGTTGCATCAATGTGTTTTGACCATGACACTTTACAATCCAGGGTTACTCCAAGCAGTTTAGTCTCCTGAACTTGCTCAATTTCAACATTATTCGTTACAAGATTTAGTTGAGGTTTAGGGTTTAGTGAATGATTTGTCCCAAATACAATGCTTTTAGTTTTTGAAATATTTAGGACTAACTTATTTCCTGCCGCCCATTCTGAAACTCACTGTAGCTCTTAAGTGTTGCGGTGATTTCACATGCTGTGGTAGCTGACTCAGAGCCAGTGGCAGGTCATTAGTAAAGATTGAAAAAAAGTAAGGGGCCTAGACAGCTGCCCTGGGGAATGCCTGACTCATGTTGGTGAGGCTTCCATTAAAGAACACCCTCTGTGTTCTGTTAGACAGGTAACTCTTGATCCACAACACATACGTTTTTCCAGCAGCAGACTATGATCGATAATGTCAAAAGCTGCACTGAAGTCTGCTCCCCCAATCCTAACCTTACCCATTAGTAGGGAAAATGCAAAACTGACCCAATGTCAGCGTCAAGGGGCAACTTCACCCTACTCCCAACACACCCACACTATGCTCAGTATTAAAAGCGATAGTTCACTATTTTGAAGTTTAAAGAGCGACTGCCTTTAAAAATCAACAAATCCCTTTGAAAATAGCCTATATAAGTCAAAAACAGTTTTTATAGTGTCAGAATTGACTACAAAGTGTAAATAGGATAATTTTGGTCATAAAGTCAGTCTTGTCTGAAACAGATTTTGGAACAGCCGTGTGTCACAACGGGTTAATGAAGGTTGGGTTTTGATTTGACGATGTCCATTTGCCCACTAACATGGGGTGAACAGCTGCGGTGATTGCTCCAATACATAGACAGTGAGACAGACCTGCCCAGTAGTTTCAACTTTGTTTACATAATCACAAAAACATTTACTTGAGAAATACTGCACCAAACACGTTATTTAGTTGTAAAATAGTGCAACAAAAAAAAACTAAAACATCTGCATGAAAAATTTCAAAACTAATTACAGATTTCTTGAGTCATCTTAGATTCATTCTGGGGATTTTGAGGAAGTGAAATATGCTGCCCCGTCAACAGTGTCTCATGGGGGACAAACATCATTAACCAAACACGGAATCGGTCAGGAAATACCTATTTTGTTGCATTACAACCTGTAATTTAAATGGATTTTTATTTGGATTTCATGTAATGGACATACACAAAATAGTGAAATGAAAAAAATAACTAAAAATTCTCTAAAATAAATAACGGAAAAGTGGTGCGTGCATATGTATTCACCCCCTTTGCTATGAAGCCCCTAAATAAGATCTGGTGCAACCTATTACCTTCAGAAGTCTAAGTGACACATGATCAATCTAAGTGACACATGATCTCAGTATATATACACCTGATCTGAAAGGCCCCAGAGTCTGCAACACCACTAAGCAAGGGGCACCACCAAGCAAGCGGCACCATGAAGACCAAGGAGCTCTCCAAACAGGTCAGGGACAAAGTTGGGGAGAAGTACAGATCAGGGTTGGGTTATAAAAAAATATCAAAGTTTGAACATCCCACGGAGCACCATTAAATCCATTATTAAAAAATGGAAAGAATATGGCACCACAACAAACCTGCCAAGAGAGGGCCGCCCACCAAAACTCACGGACCAGGCAACGAGGGCATTAATCAGAGAGGCAACAAAGAGACCAAAGATAACCCTGAAGGAGCTGCAAAGCTCCACAGCGGAGATTGGAGTATCTGTCCATTAGACCACTTTAAGCCGTACACTCCACAGAGCTGACTTTATGGAAGAGTGGCCAGAAAAAAGCCTTTGCTTAAAGAACAAAATAAGCAAACATGTTTGGTGTTCGCCAAAAGGCATGTGGGAGACTCCCCAAACATATGGAAGAAGGTACTCTGGTCAGATGAGACTAAAATTGAGCTTTTTGGCCATCAAGGAAAACGCTATGTCTGGCGCAAACCCAACACCTCTCATCACCCGAGAACACCATCCCCACAGTGAAGCATGGTGTTGCCAGCATCATGCTGTGGGGATGTTTTTCATCGGCAGGGACTGGGAAACTGGGCAGAATTGAAGGAATGGGGGGGGGGGGGGGGGGGGGGGGGGGGGTGAATAGTTATGCACGCTCAAGTTTTTGTTTTTTTTGTCTTCAAAGTGGTATGCATGTTGTGTAAAATCAAATGATACAAACCCCCCAAAAAATCCATTTTAATTCCAGGTTGTAAGGCAACAAAATAGGACAAATGGCAATACTTTCGCATGCCACTGTACTTTCGCAAGCCACTTTACAAGACTGAAATCTAGTTTTTCTAATGAGCAACAGAAAAACACACGTGCAAATCAGTGTGTTCAGTGGCTCTTTAACCTTATATTCCATTCACCTAGGGTGGTGTAGTCCCGTGTAGCTCAGTTGGTAGAGCATGGCGCTTGCAACGCCAGGGTTGTGGGTTCGATTCCCACGGGGGACCAGTATGAAAATGTATGCACTCACTAACTGTAAGTCGCTCTGGAAAAGAGCATCTGCTAAATGACTAAAATGTGGTGTTGATTGATTTAAGTCAATTAGCTGGTTATTTAGCTGGATCCAACATCTCTATGTTAGCATTTGTAGTGCTACTAGAAATGCTAGTGGAAACGGATTATCTTTATTGGTTACAGGACGATAAGAATAGAAAGAGGGATACTGATGAAGAGGAGAATTAGCAATGTTGATGATATTTCCCCCTCCCTGTCTCTGTAGGGAGGGCTACAAGGTGTTCTTCGATAGGCTGCAGGAGCAGCAGGTTCCTCTGTTGATCTTCTCGGCCGGCTTGGGGGACATCCTGGAGGAAGTGATCAGACAGAACCACGTCTTCCACCCCAACGTCCACGTCATCTCCAACTACATGGACTTTGACCAGAGCGTACGTTTCTTTCTTTACTGTTTGGTTAATTTTGACATTTCAAACCAGTCTAATTATGTGTAGTATGATGTGTGCCTAATGCAGCGTTTCCCAAACTTGGTCCTGGGGACCCCAAGGGGGGGAACGTTTTGGATGTTGCCCTAGCACTACACAGCTGATTCAAATAATGAACTTGTCAAGCTTTGATTATTTGAATCAGCTGTGTAGTGCTAGGGCAACATCCAAAACGTTCCCCCCCTTGGGGTCCCCAGGACCAAGTTTGGGAAACGCTGCATTAGGCACACATCATACTACACATAATTAGACTGGTTTGAAATGTCAAAATGTGCAACCCTTGGGGTCCCCAGGACCGATTTTGGGAAACACTGGCCTAATGCCTATGGAACTGCTAAAGTGATAGTTCCCTCACATTATAAAATTACATATTGGTGTCCTGATAGCAGTCTATGGACAGGGACATACAGCAATCCACACTTTGGTTTTGTTTACCTGACCACTTTCACCTGATCACTTCCTGCAGGGTGTACTGCGGGCATTCAAAGGCCAGTTGATCCACACGTTCAACAAGCGAGAGGGCGCTCTGCTCCACGCGGCCCACTTCAGGGAGCTCCAGGAGCGGCCCAACGTGCTGCTGCTAGGGGACTCTCTTGGAGACCTCACCATGGCCGACGGGGTGGTCCACACTCAGCACACCCTCACCATAGGCTTCCTCAATGACCAGGTGGGTGTTGAGGGGTGCTGTATTTGTCTTTATATTGCCTTTTGCAAACCTGGAAGTGGTGAAGATTTAAAGGAAAGGGAGTCCGTTTTGTATAGGAACTTTGAAAGGACATACAGTTGACTTCCGATAATTGTACATTACCCACACACCCACTTAAAAGCCAGAAGTACACTTACTTGCACTAAACTTCATGAAATATTCCTTCAATCTGTTAGTGCTGCTCACCTGTATTCCTAACCGTGTATGTAAGGTGTTGAAACCCTGTTTTAGCTGGATATTAGGGTGGCAGGTAGCCTAGCGGTTAAGAGCATTGGGCCAGTAAACGAAAGGTCGCTGGTTTGAATTCCTAAACCGACTAGATGAAAAATCTGTCGATGTGCCCTTGAGCAAGGCACTTAACCCTAATTGCTCCTGTAAGTCGCTCTGGATAAGACTATAATGTAAAAATGTACTGACTGGGCCTGGCTGCTGTTCCGTTTGGTCAGGTGGAGGAGAGGAAAGAGTCTTACGTCAACTCATACGACATCGTCCTGGTCAAGGACGAAAGCATGGACGTCCCCAACGCAATCCTCAACTACATCACCACTGCGCCGGCTAAGTGAACTGCCGCGAGGACGCAACGAATCACGGGCCAAAGGTTTTAACCTAGGTCACTTCTTGTTTACACAGGCATCAGGAATCACCAGCCAATCAACCGCCATGATGGCCGACTGGTGACCGCTATCACAAAGGGAGGAAGTTGACCCTTTGTTGACCTTGACAGAGCTGCATGCACCACAATTATTATAGCACCACAATAATCCTCAGGCACCTCCGAACCAATTCAACACCTCAACAGTGATAGTATTTTAAATTAAACCACCTTGTTTCATGTGTGGGGTTGGTGCTGCAAATCCCATCCACTGAAGCCCCTTGATTCTGTTAACCTAATGTTTGTACCTATTTACTGTATGTTTCTATAGTGTCTCTACTCTCTAAGGACAAGCAGTGTCTGCAATGGCGGTAAGCTCACCCCGCTGTTGTTCATCATGGAGAGTGAGAAACACGCTGTTGGGTTTAGTACGTAAGAGAATCCAGCTCCTTCCATTTGGAGAATGGTTGATTTTGTAACTTTAAGTTAAAGGCCAGTATTCTGATCGCGCTTTGTCGGCTATGCGCCTTTTAAAGGTAATTTCCGATTGAGCCGACATATGCAGCATTTACCGTGAATGCGGTCTCCGCAAAGATTGCCTTTAAAAAGGTGCATAACAGACTAAGTGCGGTTATCGGAGAATGTTATGAAGTTAGTCATTTTATTTTCAAAGGCGCAGGGCTGTGTAATGATCATCCACCGTCTAAGCTGCTGTATCGCCCAATAAGTATTTTTACGTGTGAGAGAGTTGGTCAGTGATAGTGTGTGTATGAAACTAGTCTTAATCTAAATGTATTGATTTGTGTGTATCGATATCCATCCTCCAATTTGTGAGGGGCAATTATTTTGTGCGTGTTAAGTGTGGATGCTGCCCTATGCACATTTGACCAAATGTAGTATTTAATGTATTTATTTGGTTGAACAAGTACTGTAACAGAAGAAATGGTTACCTCACCGAGTCACCCTGTGGGAGTTCATACGGAGTTCAGTAGAACATTTTCAGTGGCAAATGCTTATGCTGCTATATATTTATTTGGTTGAACAAGTACTGTAACAGAAGAAATGGTTACCTCACCGAGTCACCCTGTGGGAGTTCATACGGAGTTCAGTAGAACATTTTCAGTGGCAAATGCTTATGCTGCTATAAAAAGCTTTCCTTGACAATTAAAGGGATAGTTCACCCAAATGTAATGTTCATGCAAATGTTAACTTGAGATGAACAAATTATGACATTTGGGTGAAATGTCCCTTTAACTAGTATTTTGCACATCTTTTTTTACAGAGGAATTGGTTTCCTGTCTAGGTAGATACTTTTAAACTGGATGTCTATTTAATCCCGGCATCCTAAAACAATATTGAAGAATAGTGCTTTTGAACTGTTATTCACATTTCAATTGTATAAATGTTTTGCCAGGTAAGTAATTGAGAACACTTGTCTTTTGCATTAACAACGTACTATCTCAAATCAAGACCCAATGACAGGTGAAGACAGTTGTGAACAAAACAAGTATTTGTAATGTGTTATTTTGTGATTTCCTGTCTTTTTGAATCCACATTTTAAATACTTTCCAATACTGCCACCTAGCGGACATTTTCAAAGGTATCCCTGCATGCAGTTTAACATTTGATTAGTCTCTGACAAACGGTCATTATCACATCCTGCAACAAAAAAAAAAAAACCTTTATTTTTCAAAAAAATGTTTTATTGGTGTAAACATCAGATCAGGAACATAAGGTGCTGGTTTGGTAGGTCGATTTGTCAAAGCAATAATTTTTTTAGCACTTTATCAAACATGACCAAATCATGCAACACAGAACTATTACTCTTGTAAGACTTATTTACCCACCATCTAAAATGTATGGCACCTGTTAAGGTATCACTGAATAAAACAACATTTCACTGTATAAAAAAAGGTCTCTCTTGGAATATTTTTAGGTGTGTGTGGTCCGTCCCTGAGAGAGAGAGGCTGTGGTCCGATTCTCGAGAATATTCGAGTAGATCTACCATTGTCACCGAAATGTGCACTTGTTCACTCCAATCCAATGCTTTATATTATAAATCCACGAGGACAAGTGCACACTTCGGGGCGACGGCGGATGATTGGAACTAGTGTGTGTGCGAGGGTTTGGACTGATCTACAAATGACTTTGTGTCCTAAATAACTACTCATGATTATTTGTAGATCAGTCAGTTTGCTCAGTCAGTGACCAATTACTGCACAAAATGTATATTCTCGAACACAACCAATGTGTGTGCACTCCTCATCACAACTCCTCGTGCATTCTCTCTTTGTCCTCCTCCACCTTCAATTTGAGCTCCTCAGCGACGATGACCCCATCCTTGTTGCGGTCCTGGTTCCTGAACATGTCAGCAATGATCTCGTCAGGGTCCATCCCTGGCTTCATACGACCTTTACCCTCCGCCACCTGCAGCATGATGAACTCTCCAAACTGGATGAATATAGAGAGAAAAGAGAGAGGTGTGAAGAGGAGTTACAGCCATGTTTCGTGTTAATCGTGACAAATGACAGTTTGACCGTTGTTTTACACGAACATGTTTGCAGAAGCAGTTTGTTTGACTAAATAGGTCGCTAAATAGCATATGAGATCCCAATCAAACATTGTAATCTTCAAAAGGGTGGGTGTTCGTGTACAGTCAACTCCTAATTAATGCAACTACTTGGGACAAGTGTGACACCGTGCAGGCGTGCACTAAACCAGCGTATGCCGTTATCAAGAGCTATAAAACGAATGTCATTGAACTGGGACTGGAAAACTCTATTGCACTTCAATGGAGTAGACGGTACTTTATAACTCCCATCAATATTAGCCAAACTGGTTTGATCCATCTATTTTCTACTAGTCTATTCCAGCTGTGCGGTAGAGAGCATACCTCCTCTATGGGCACCTCTCCGTTCTGGTTTATGTCCAGGGCCTGGAAGAGCTCCAGCGGGGCGTCCTCCACCCACACAAACAGGTAGCCCTCCGGCACTCCTTTCTGCAGGTCCATCAGCTCCAGTTCAAAGTGAAGCACTGCACTGCCTGGCACACCAGTGGCTGGAGGAGAGGAAGAGAGACATTGAGTGAGTGTGAAAGAGCAACACTGGTACGGTATGTGTACCTGGGTAATACTTTACTGTAGCCCCCTCTTAAGTATGCATTCTTAGTCTTTATAACAGCTACATAAAACATAACATCTTTCAGTTCTAACGTCAATGCAGCTGTTATAAAGTCTTTATGAATACATGCATAAGTGGGACTACAGTAAAGTATGACCTGAACCTGAAACGCCTTTATGCATGAGTCTCACTAGTGCAGACTGGTGTCACTTTAAAATAATTGAAATGGAACGGTATCAAACACATGGAACCCAGGTGTAGACTAATAGTGAAATGCTTACGTGCCCTTCCCAACAATGCAGAGAGAGAAAAAATAACACAATGAGTAACTATAACTTGGCTGTATACACAGGGTACCAGTACCAAGTTGATGTGCTGGGGTAGGAGGTAATTGAGGTAGATACAGTGGGGGGAAAAAAGTATTTAGTCAGCCACCAATTGTGCAAGTTCTCCCACTTAAAAAGATGAGAGAGGCCTGTCATTTTCATCATAGGTACACGTCAACTATGACAGACAAATTGAGGAAAAAAAATCCAGAAAATCACATTGTAGGATTTTTAATGAATTTATTTGCAAATTATGGTGGAAAATAAGTATTTGGTCACCTACAAACAAGCAAGATTTCTGGCTCTCACAGACCTGTAACTTCTTCTTTAAGAGGCTCCTCTGTCCTCCACTCGTTACCTGTATTAATGGCACCTGTTTGAACTTGTTATCAGTATAAAAGACACCTGTCCACAACCTCAAACAGTCACATGCCAAACTCCACTATGGCCAAGACCAAAGAGCTTTCAAAGGACACCAGAAACAAAATTGTAGACCTTCCCCAGGCTGGGAAGACTGAATCTGCAATAGGTAAGCAGCTTGGTTTGAAGAAATCAACTGTGGGAGCAATTATTAGGAAATGGAAGACATACAAGACCACTGATAATCTCCCTCGATCTGGGGCTCCACGCAAGATCTCACCCTGTGGGGTCAAAATGATCACAAATCCCAGAACCACACGGGGGGACCTAGTGAATGACCTGCAGAGAGCTGGGACCAAAGTAACAAAGCCTACCATCAGTAACACACTACGCCGCCAGGGACTCAAATCCTGCAGTGCCAGACGTGTCCCCCTGCTTAAGCCAGTACATGTCCAGGCCCGTCTGAAGTTTGCTAGAGTGCATTTGGATGATCCAGAAGAGGATTGGGAGAATGTCATATGGTCAGATGAAACCAAAATATAACTTTTTGGTAAAAACTCAACTCGTCGTGTTTGGAGGACAAAGAATGCTGAGTTGCATCCAAAGAACACCATACCTACTGTGAAGCATGGGGGTGGAAACATCATGCTTTGGGGCTGTTTTTCTGCAAAGGGACCAGGACGACTGATCCGTGTAAAGGAAAGAATGAATGGGGCCATGTATCGTGAGATTTTGAGTGAAAACCTCCTTCCATCAGCAAGGGCATTGAAGATGAAACGTGGCTGGGTCTTTCAGCATGACAATGATCCCAAACACACCGCCCGGGCAACGAAGGAGTGGCTTCGTAAGAAGCATTTCAAGGTCCTGGAGTGGCCTAGCCAGTCTCCAGATCTCAACCCCATAGAAAATCTTTGGAGGGAGTTGAAAGTCCGTGTTGCCCAGCGACAGCCCCAAAACATCACTGCTCTAGAGGAGATCTGCATGGAGGAATGGGCCAAAATACCAGCAACAGTGTGTGAAAACCTTGTGAAGACTTACAGAAAACGTTTGACCTGTGTCATTGCCAACAAAGGGTATATAACAAAGTATTGAGAAACTTTTGTTATTGACCAAATACTTATTTTCCACCATAATTTGCAAATAAATTCGTTAAAAATCCTTAGTTAAAAATCCATAGTTGACGTGTACCTATGATGAAAATTACAGGCCTCTCATCTTTTTAAGTGGGAGAACTTGCACAATTGGTGGCTGACTAAATACTTTTTTCCCCACTGTATGTAGGTATAGGTAGGGGTAAAGTGACTAAGCGGGTAGCTATTTGGTTAACTATTTAGCAGTCTTATGGCTTGGGGGTAGAAGCTGTTCAGGATCCTGTTGGTTCCAGACTTGGTGCATCGGTACCGATTGCAGTGCGGCAGCAGAGAGATCAGTCTATGACTTGGGAGCTGGAGTCTTTGACCATTTTTATGTCCTTCCTCTGAACACCGCCTGGTATAGAGCTCCTGGATGGCAGGGAGCTCGGCCCCAGTGAAGTACTGGGCCGTACTCACTACGCTCTGTAGCGCCTTTGCTGTCGGATGCCAATCCATTGCTATACCAAGCGGTGACGCAGCCAGTCAAGATGCTCTCAATGGTGCAGCTGTAGAACTTTTTGAGGATCTGAGGGCCCATGCCAAATCATGCACTTGATTTAGCTTGGAGTTTGCACTTTTTGGGACAATTAAATTGGTTCCATTATACCAGGCAAACCAAATCAAGAGCGGCCCAAGTATTTGAATATATTTGGCCCAGGTCTACACCACTGTGATTTTCTTGTATGAATTTACATAATATTGCATGTACTATATAATATGGGGATGATCGGTATGTGATTGCGCTATTATACTCCCACTGGTGCATTCTTAGTTGAGGGAAGCGTATTGTTTGTATTGTATTGTGGCCCTGTCCTCCCCTGATGGTGAACGTCTTTCTCACCCCCTTTCTCTCCGTGGCCCAGGTGGGGGGGGATGATGACAGTCCTCCTCTCACCCACACACATGCCCCTCAGACTCTCGTCCAGACCGTCAATCACTTTGTCCGCCCCCAGCACCGTGTCCTGCAGGTTGTCGTAGTCACTCCTGAGCACAAGCGACATACGAACAGGTAAGGGAGCGTCAAAACTACATATGGAGCATGTCTGTCAACTGCATTGTCTTCAATCTGTATTTCCTTTTCAACGACGGCCGTTTTAGAGATAAGATATAATCAAAATGAAGTACACCACAAATTAATTAGACCGTCAATACAAAAGGTTCCACATGAGGGTTTCAAATCTGTTTTCTTCCTATTGGTGCCTAATGAACACGACCCTGGTCAATGTACTCACGAGGAGAAGAGTCGGGTGCCGTCCAGCAGAGAGCAGTTGTAGTGGTAGTGGATTAGATCGTCCACATCGCTCGTCAAGTTACACACCTCAGGCTTGTGGGTCACATGGACCTCCACAGTGTCCTTGGGGTTGTGGAAGTCGATGACATGGATGTCGAAGACCAGCACGGCCGAGCCTGGGATATCCTTCCCTGTTACGGCAAGACGGAGAGGTTCAAACTGGGCCTCAGTCAGTAATACAAACCACACTGTAGAATAATGTATTGTATAATTTGATATATAATGTTGTGCCTAAATTATAGCTAGCTATTGGGCTATCTGTTACATTTTAGACCAAATTAATCATATTTATACATATTTCACACAGGTATGCACTTCATAATTATACATAATAAATCATACATTTAAGGTGTCTTCCCACACAAATTGGATTTAAAGGCCCAATGTAGCCATTTCTATATCAATATCAAATAATTTCTGGGTTACAATGAAGTACCTTACGGTAATAGTTTCCATTAAAATGGACAGAAACTGCTTTTTAGCAATAAACTATTTCTCAAGCAATGATGTCACCAGGCAAGCCGAAACTCCCGCCCATGCAAACCTGGTGATTAGAAGGTCCTGTGTAGATTGTATTTTCAACCAGGAAATAACAATTATCATATTTGAGATGCTTACAACCCTGACCACTAACTACCATAAAAGCTAACTACCTAACTAATCTACTGTAACTACCAATAAAAGATGCCCCTCAAACTGCCCTGGACTAAGCCACACCTGCTCCCTGCTCTCCATAGGCCATGTGGGGGGGCAGGGTGACCCTCCTTCTCTCCCCGATGCACACCCCCTGCAGGCCCTTGTCCATGCCAGAGATCACGTAGCCCATCCCAATGTAGGTGTTGTATGTGTTGTTCCGCCGGTAGCTGTAGGGAGAGGAGGGATTCAATATGACAAGCAATGACAGACGTTGTCAACATATGCTTAAAAGAACAGTCATCATTAAATAAGTATTTTCAGTCTTACATTATGCCATTTTAGACTACTGAGACGCAGCGCATGACAACTGGACATGCTGGGCTACCGAGTGGCGCAGCGGTCTAAGGCACTGCATCTCAGTGCTTGAGGCGTCACTACAGACCCCCTGGTTCGATTCCAGGCTGTATCAAAACCGGCCGTGATTGGGAGTCCCATAGGGCGGCGCACAATTGGCCCAGCGTTGTCTGGGTTTGGCCGGTGTAGGCCGTCATTGTAAATACGATTTTGTTCTTAACTGACTTGCCTAGTTAAATAAAGGTAAAATAAAATAAAATAGCTCACCTGGTGTCAAAGGTGACCCCATTGAGGAAGGTTCCGTTGTAGTGGTAACGCATGTAGTCCCCGGCTACAGACTTGCGCACGCATGACTCGGGCATCACCTGGTTCTCCACGGTGATGTCATCCTTGGGGTTGTGTAGGTCAGCCAGGAGGACATTAAACACCAGGGTGGCCTGGGACGGGATCTCTTTACCTGAAGGAGATAGAAGCAGTCAGTCAAAAAGGCTGTACAGAGTAACAGTATGTCTGTCTGATCGTCTAAATCAATCCGTGGGCAGAGGAATCAATGCTGATTGAAGGCTGTAAACACCAAACAATGAAACAGCACTGAACATGCGCATATGGTAATGGTACTTTTCCAATTAGACTTACCCCCACACCAGGGTGTCACCAGTGTTTTATGTTAATGTGAGCTCTAGTGTTTTTGTGTTTCCATCAGGAGTGTGACACTAACATTAACAAATGTATAGTTAAGAACACTATAACGATATGGAAGAAAATGAAACATATTTTACAAGAACCAATATCACTCCCTAGAAGCCTTATGGAATAATCCTTGGTTAGCTCTTCAGAATTCATCGATAAATTGGCCCACATGGAAAACTAAAGGCATGGAAACCGTAAATGACTTGGTAACAGGAAATACATTTATTTCCATGACAGAATTAAAAAGTAATTTTGGACTGACCGATGTAGATAGTTTCAAATACATGCAACTTAAAAGTTATATATCATGAAATTTCGATTTGAAATCTTTTGGACATCAGAGTAACCTTGTTCATATGATAGGAAACAAACCTACAGAGAGCATATCCAACTGACAATCTTTTAGAAACAAATATAAACTATTGGAACCAAGATTTAAAAAGAACTGATGTTGGCATAAGATGGAGGGAAAGTTGGAGTATAACTAACAAAATTACAGTTAACGAAAATGTACGCTTAATCCAGTATAAACTAATGTATAGAATGTATTATACAAGAGACACAATTCACAAATTCTACAGCACAACAGCAGAGTCATGTCTCAAATGTAAAACTAATAATGACTCAATAATCCATGCTTTTTGGGGAATGTTATAAAGTTCGGAAGTTGTGGGTGGAGCTAGAAAGTTGGCTGTCAATAGTATTACAATATAAACATACTTTTAATCCATCTGTCTACATATTTCAAGACATGACATATGGGGGTGTAGTGAGATACCCAATGGGCTGGATTATTCTTTTCTCATCACTCATTTGGGAAAAAAAATTATACTAAAAACTTGGAAGTCAATCAATATTACATCATTGGCACAATGGAAAAATCTAATGATTAATTATTTAATTATTGAAATAGAATGGGCGACTGAGAAAAACAAATTGGTACAATTTAAGACCAAGTGGCAAACAATGCAGGCATTAGGGATTGGGGTGTGAGCCGGCGTGCCTGGGCTGATGAGATGTAGGCATTGTATGTGTCTGTAAGTTGTCGTTCGTACTGTATATATACGTTTGTTTTTGGTTTTTGGAATGTAAAGAAATAAAAGGAAAAAGAATGTATAGTATTTTTAAAAGGAGTGTGACATTAAAGACTATGTATGATATAATTTACAAAGATTATACCTTTTTTAAAACATTTTTAAAGATTTGTGGTGAGCATAATCAACAACCTCTGTATCATTCAAGTCTGTTGCTTTGTGAGAAGGTGTTAAAGTTCACAGTTAGCCATTGTTATGTAAATGACAGCTGAAAAGTACCCAGGGCCTTGCCTTGGCTCCAAGCTAAGGCAAGGCCCTGGGTAAAACACTGGGGTAAATCTTCAATGGAAATGCAGCATAAATGCATTCCAACAGAGCTTACATAGAAGCAGTCTGTCTGGACTTTGATACATATAGACTGGGTGTTATTCAATAAACCAACCAGATCAATCAAACAGGTGTCAAATACGACATACAGTACACACATGGAGGGATCACTGAGTCTGACTGCTGTTTACAGACTGTTTTTCAGACTATTTATGTGGACCTATAGGTAGAGAGATGTCAATGCTGATTAAAACAGATAGAGGAATCAATTAAACCCTTCAACACAATCCATTTTTTAATTTTTTCTTACCAGTTTAGAAAAACAGGTGGTACATTTAACCAGGGTCATATTCATGTGTGGCCTTGTGGTTAGTGTCCGCCCTGAGATTGGAAGGTTGGCGTTCAATCGGCCGAGTCATACGAAAGACTGTGAAAATTGGACCTGTGATAGACTAGCGTCCTGTCCAGGGGGTGTACTATACATCAAGCTGCCTCACCCTACAGAACAAGAAATAGGCTCCTGCTCCTATGAGGTGTTCCGGCTCGCACAAGCCAAGGCTACTGCAAGACTACTTACTTTATATTCATCAGACACACCGTAGTAAAACGGTTTGCAACGGCAAACTAAAACGAGCATTTCTTATTGGACAAGTCCAGGTAGTCCCTCCCTGTTTCAGAACCCTCCCTCTTTCTTCAGTTAGTTGCCTAATGAATACGACCCGGGTAAAAAGAAAACATGAATAATCCCACCCCACTCCCACCTCTCTAGTATAACTGTATCCCCTCCTTCTATTCTTGTACTCACCAGATCCTTTCTCTCCATAGGCCAGGAAGGGTGGAATAATTATGTTTCTGGTCTCCCCCACGCACATGCCCAGTAGGCCCTCGTCCATGCCTTTGATCAGCCAGCCCTCCCCCACCAGGCTGTCGTGAGTCTGCCCCTTGTTGTAGCTACGTGGGGCTCATACAAGCGCAAAGTCAAATACACACATCCTCCCCCTCTTAACACACACCTGGATAACACGGTACAAACACACACAAACACACACACAGAGAGGACTGTTATTTGGACGGGAGTTCAGTTGACTTCAGGGTTGTGTGTGTGATATTCGGAAACATTAATCTTCATGATTAGCCTGGAAACCTGACGTTGAATTGCATATAATTCTAAATTGCCAGAAATGAGTGTTTGAATCAGGAACGTTTTCGCTCACGACCTCTACAAGCAAGAATGTTTAATAAAGTACTTTACCGGTTGTCCGCGCGGTTGGTTATTTTGGCGCTAGGAATCTGAGACAATATATCCACAGGAAAGTATAATTACATAAACTTGTCAAAGCGCTGGTAGTGAGTTCAGATTTATTTCACTTTAAGCATGCGCAGAACCATGTAAACATGTGCATGAGCTCCGCAAGTATGCATGTGTCTCGTGCATGTATTTTTATTTTATGCGCATGCTTCAGGTGGTAAAAATCTGAACGCACCACCACCGCTTTGAAAAGTTTATGTAATTATACTTTCCTGTGGATATATTGTCTCACATTCCTACCGCTAAAAGGACCAACCGCACGGACAACCGGTAAAGTACGTTCAAATATCATTTTATTCAACATTCTGGCTTGTAGAGGTTGTGAGAGGAAACCTTCCAGATTCAAACGCTCATTTCTGCCCGACGAAGAATTCCATGCAATTTAATATCGGGTTTCCAGGCAACGTCATGACGTGAAATAAATCACAGCTACAGTAGCAGCAAATCATTGTTAGTAATTTAGTCGTTTGTTGTCAGATGATGCCACACTGGTTAGTTTCAGCATAGCGATTTAGTTTCATGAGTTTCAGTAGGCTACAACAGTGGCCAAATGTAGGTATCGACATAAGGACATAACAACCACAAGTTAGTGTTTTCATTATGTCACAGTATCAAACGTCAACAACTTCAAGTTGACATAGGATGTTTATGCCAACATAGAAAGTCTACACCCCCTTGAACTTTTTTTCCACATTTTGCTGCCTTATAATTACATCTAAAAAAAGGATTACATTATTTTTTCCCAATACAGATCTACACAACCTACTCCACATTTTCAAAGTGAGACAGTTATAGAACATTTTCAAAATTAAGAAAAAAATGATAAAACTTAAATATCATAATTGGATAAGTCTCCACGCCCCAGAGTTAATACTTGGTGGAAGCACCTTTGGCTGCCATTACAGCTGTGAATTATTTGGAATAGGATTCTACCAACTTTGCACAACTCTTAGGGGCAACATGTATCAATTGATTTTGTCAAAATTGATCAAGCTCATTCAATTTGGTTGGGAATCATTGATGGACAGCAATATTCAAACCTTGTCTCTGATTTTCAAGCAAATTTAAGTCAGGACTGAGACTAGACCACTAAGGAACACTCAACATCTCTTGGAAAGCCAATCTGGTGTGTCTTTGGCATAAAAATGTGTGTAATTGTCTTGATGAAAAGAAAACTCTATCCCAGGGTTAGGTTTCCAGAAGACTGAGGAGGATTTTCCTCTAACTTTTTTTCCTGGACTTTGCTCTCATATTTATTTGGATCCTGACTAACTCCCTAGTACCTGCTGATGACAAGCATACCCATAACATGATGCTGCCACCACAATACTATAACCTAAAGATTTTTTTCTCTAGGATTTTTCCAAGGTTTGTAATATTATTTTTTCCTACACGCCTGTATCTTTGTAGTGACTGGGTGTATTGATACATTATCCAAATGTGAATTAATAACTTCACCATGCTCAATGGGATATTCAATGTCAGATTTTGTTTTACCCATCTACCAATAGATGACCCTTCTTTGCGAGGCATTGGAAAACCTCCCTGGTATTTGTGGTTGAATCTGTGTTTGAAATTCACTGCTCGACTGAGGAACCTTACATATAATTGTACAGTGGGGAAAAAAAGTATTTAGTCAGCCACCAATTGTGCAAGTTCTCCCACTTAAAAAGATGAGAGAGGCCTGTAATTTTCATCATAGGTACACGTCAACTATGACAGACAAAATTAGGAAATAAAATCCAGAAAATCTCATTGTAGGATTTTTTATGAATTTATTTGCAAATTATGGTGGAAAATAAGTATTTGGTCACCTACAAACAAGCAAGATTTCTGGCTCTCACAGACCTGTAACTTCTTCTTTAAGAGGCTCCTCTGTCCTCCACTCGTTACCTGTATTAATGGCACCTGTTTGAACTTGTTATCAGTATAAAAGACACCTGTCCACAACCTTAAACAGTCATACTCCAAACTCCACAATAGCCAAGACCAAAGAGCTGTCAAAGGACACCAGAAACAAAATTGTATACCTGCACCAGGCTGGGAAGACTGAATCTGCAATAGGTAAGCAGCTTGGTTTGAAGAAATCAACTGTGGGAGCAATTATTAGGAAATGGAAGACATACAAGACCACTGATAATCTCCCTCGATCTGGGGCTCCATGCAAGATCTCACCCCGTGGGGTCAAAATGATCACAAGAACGGTGAGCAAAAATCCCAGAACCACACGGGGGGACCTAGTGAATGACCTGCAGAGAGCTGGGACCAAAGTAACAAAGCCTACCATCAGTAACACACTACGCCGCCAGGGACTCAAATCCTGCAGTGCCAGACGTGTCCCCCTGCTTAAGCCAGTACATGTCCAGGCCCATCTGAAGTTTGCTAGAGTGCATTTGGATGATCCAGAAGAGGATTGGGAGAATGTCATATGGTCAGATGAAACCAAAATAGAACTTTTTGGTAAAAACTCAACTCGTCGTGTTTGGAGGACAAAGAATGCTGAGTTGCATCCAAAGAACACCATACCTACTGTGAAGCATGGGGGTGGAAACATCATGCTTTGGGGCTGTTTTTTTGCAAAGGGACCAGGACGACTGATCCGTGTAAAGGAAAGAATGAATGGGGCCATGTATCGTGAGATTTTGAGTGAAAACCTCCTTCCATCAGCAAGGGCATTGAAGATGAAACGTGGCTGGGTCTTTCAGCATGACAATGATCCCAAACAAACCGCCTGGGCAACGAAGGAGTGGCTTCGTAAGAAGCATTTCAAGGTCCTGGAGTGGCCTAGCCAGTCTCCAGATCTCAACCCCATAGAAAATCTTTGGAGGGAGTTGAAAGTCGTGTTGCCCAGCGACAGCCCCAAAACATCACTGCTCTAGAGGAGATCTGCATGGAGGAATGGGCCAAAATACCAGCAACAGTGTGTGAAAACCTTGTGAAGACTTACAGAAAACGTTTGACCTGTGTCATTGCAAACAGAGGGTATATAACAAAGTATTGAGAAACTTTTGTTATTGACCAAATACTTATTTTCCACCATAATTTGCAAATAAATTCATTAAAAATCCTACAATGTGATTTTCTGGATTTTATTTCCTCATTTTGTCTGTCATAGTTGACGTGTACCTATGATGAAAATTACAGGCCTCTCTCATCTTTTTAAGTGGGAGAACTTGCACAATTGGTGGCTGACTAAATACTTTTTTCCCCCACTGTATGTGTGTGGTACAGAGATAAGGTAGTCATTCAAAAATAATGTTAAACACTATTATTGCACACAGAGTGAGTCCATGCAACTTATTATGTGACTCGTTAAGCAAATGTTCACTCCTGAACTTATTTAGGCTTGCCATAACAAAATGGTTGAATACTTATTGACTCAAGACATTTCGCACTTCATGTTTTATTAATTTGTTTTTAAAAAAATTGAAAAACATAATTCCACTGACATTATGGGGTATTGTGTGTAGGCCAGTGACAAACAAATCTCAATTTAATCCATTTTAAATTCAGGTTGTAACAAGTCAAGGGGTGTGAATACTTTCTGAAGGCACTGTACATTGCAATTATGTCGGTCTACATAAGACATCCTATGTCAACTTGTGGTTGTTGACATGTGTTATGTATGGCTTATGGATGAGTTATGATGTCTTTATGTCTGTACCCTTTAAATAAGATGTCACCCTGATTTCACAATGTATTTATTCATAAAATAAATCCTATGGGTCGAAATTCAGCCCACACTAATAATGGCACCCTTACCATTTCTGTCCACCCTGACCCTCATTCTTTCACTCCCTGTCCAGGAGTGGACTCACCTGGAGTCGAAGGGGGTCCCGTCCAGAAGGGTACCATTGAAATGGTATCGCACAAAGTCTGTGCGCTTCACAGAGCGTTTGCAGTCCTGGGGACTGCTGACGGTTTCAGTCACGACCAGGTCAGCCTTGTTCCACATGTCCAATAGCATCAGGTCAAACACCAGAGTGCTGTCAGGAGGGACCACATCACCTGACAGTGGATAAGTAGTAAATGTACAGTAGTACATTCAAATAGACAATTAGATTAAAACGTTTCTACGCCTTTTGGATGTATAAATATGTTTTGTATGTCTATTTACTTATTTTTTTTTATATTTTTGATGATGCCTCAATATGAGGGTGCTGTAGTTGCCTACCAGTGAATATATTGTAACATTACTTGTTCTTGTTATAACCATTTATAAGGCCCTATAATGTTAAATCAACATATTCATTTTCCTATATGGCAATACAATGGCTAATAACTCAAGTTCATTATAAGACAATACTAAGGCATTATAAGCAGTTCATAAACACTTATGACAAGTATTTGAATGCATTATGACTGCATCATAATGCATTATACCAACTTTGTAAAATAGAATTCCACTGTGGTGGCCATTTTAGCTCTCATTCTGTTGATTTAAAGACATTACACGGTAAAGTAAACGATATGACTCGGTGTAGACTACCTGCTCCAAGGCTGCCATAGGCAAGGTGTGGGGGCACGGTGACTTTTCTCTTCTCGTTGACGCACATGCCCAGGATCCCTTTGTCGATGCCAGCGATGAGCCGGCCCTGGCCTGTCTGTCCTACCGACGCAGCTCCTCTCTCATAGCTGAGCAGGCCAGGACATGAAAGGATGACAGAGTTAGACAGAAAATAGTAGGCCTATGCAGAAAGAATAGGGCAATAGGATTTTCCTTGGCATTCATTTGTATAGAAGTTCATGCATTCAAATAATTGTTATTCCTTTTGCGAATGAATACCTTAGTTTATTAAACTGCTTATAGTTTGTAACAATTTCAAAAGATGGCCGTGATTGCATTCCATTCTGCAAAACCTGTAGGCTAACTATGCTATACGATAGGCAAGCTGCAGTCAAATAATTTCCATGTTTTGCATATAATTCCTTTGCTTTATTATATAAATAATATGTCCGATACATAATAGCCATATACATGATAACATAATTGTCTTTATTTTAGGATAGATGGCTACAATGTAACGAACGCACTTCTTGAACTTTTGTCAGGACTGCAGAATATACTAGCGTACAGATGATTATAATAGCCCACGGTATGTTAATAATTTTTGCAAAAGAAAGGCTACATCAACAAAAAGAGACAAAGACACGAAATAACGGACCTCAACACATTTTATTCAGAGTGCTTCAAAATCTTGACAAAGATTATTATTATTTGTATCTTACCTCGAATCAAATGTTTTTCCATCTTGGAATGTCACATTGTAGTGATAACGAACATAATCCCCACTTTTAACTTCTCTGGGACAAAGTTTTGGTATCGAATATCTGTCCACGACTACATCTCCAATCGTGGGATTGCATCCAACGTACGACCACGTCTTCAGCAGTAAAAGTAAAAGACAGCTTGCAAACATTATAAATAAGAATGAATCCTGAAAAAAACTGATTTTAACTTGATGAAGTATTCAACTATTTCTATAAGTAATGTATAGGCCTTTATCAGTCTTGAAACACTCACTCATTCACTTGTTTCTACACTACACTAAACCCTGTGTACGGAGTTGCACGGCACTTTTCCCGAAGAAGAGGCGGGCGGGGGGCTTCTCTCCCTCTTGGCAAGGAATGTTGTAAACGTGGACAGTCTCCAGTTTGCAGTGGGTTTGCCCAGCCTCAGCGCGTAGAGGAGCAGCGGCCGTTCTATGACTGGCTTCACTGTGAGTGGCCCTAGGTCCCTCCTATTCAAACAATCAACGCCAAACTAATGTGCAATGAGCATTGTCAGAGCATGTGGCTCGAGGCATAGTGTCGTTTTAAAGTTATTGGCTAGGGAGAGGCTGTAACGACACTCCTGACTAGTAAAACGAATAACCAAAATCAAATGTTCTACCTAATTTTAACCAATTCTGAAATTATATACAGTACCAGTCAAAAGTTTGGACACCTACTCATTCAAGGGTTTTTCTTTATTTTGACTATTTTCTACATTGTAGAATAATAGTGAAAACATAAAAACTATGAAATAACACACATGGAATCATGTAGTAACCAAAAAAGTGTTAAACAAATCAAAATATATGTTATATTTGAGATTCTTCAAAGTAGCCACCCTTTGCCTTGATGACAACTTTGCACACTCTTGGCATTCGCTCAACCAGCTTCATGAGGTAGTCACCTGGAATGCATTTCAATTAACAGGTGTGCCTTGTTAAAAGTTAATTTGTGGGGTGGTATACAGAAGATAGCCCTATTTGGTAAAAGACCAAGTCCATATTATGGCAAGAACAGCTTAAATAAGCAAAGAGAAATGACAGTACATTACTTTAAGACATGAAGGTCAGTCAATCCTGAACATTTCAAGAACTTTGAAAGTTTATTCAAGCGCAGTCGCAAAAACCATCAAGTGCTATGATGAAACTGGCTCTCATGAGGACCGCCACAGGAAAGGAAAACCCAGAGTTACCTCTGCTGCAGAAAGTTAATTAGAGTTAACTGCACCTCAGATTGCAGCCCAAATAAATGCTTCACAGAGTTCAAGTAACAGACACATCAACATCAACTGTTCAGAGGAGACTGCGTGAATCAGGCCTTCATGGTCGATTGCTGCAAAGAAACCATTACTAAAGGACAACAATAAGAAGAAGACACTTGCTTGGGCCAAGAAACACAAGAAATGGACATTAGACCGGTGGAAATCTGTCCTTTGGATGAGTCCGAATTTGAGATTTTTTGTTCCAACCGCCGTGTCTTTGTGAGATGCAGAGTAGGTGAACGGATGATCTCCACATGTGTGGTACCAACGTGAAGCATGGAGGAGGAGGTGTGATGGTGTGGGGTGCTTTGCTGGTGACATTGTCTATGACTTATTCAGAATTCAAGGCACACTTAACAAGCATGGCTACCACAGCATTCTGCAGCGATACGCCATTCCATCTGGTTTGCGCTTAGTGGGACTATCATTTGTTTTTCAACAGGACAATGACCCAAAACACACCTCCAGGCTGTGTAAGGGCTATTTGACCAAGAAGGAGAGTGATGGAGTGCTGCATCAGATGACCTGGCCTCCACAATCACCCGACCTCAACCCAATTGAGATGGTTTGGGATGAGTTGGACCGCAGAGTGAAGGAAAAGCAGCCAACAAGTGCTCAGCATATGTGGGAACTCCTTCAAGACTGTTGGAAAAGCATTCCTCATGAAGCTGGTTGAGAGAATGCCACGTGTGTGCAAAGCTGTCATCAAGGCAAAGGGTGGCTATTTTGAAGAATCTAAAATATATTTTGATTTATTTAACACTTTTTTGGTTACTACATGATTCCATATGTGTTATTTCATAGTTTTGATGTCTTCAGTATTATTCTACAATGTAGAAATTGTAAAAAATAAAGAAAACCCCTTGAATGAGTAGGTGTGTCCAAACTTTTGACTGGTACTGTATAGTTTTTCAGGTCAGGAGTGTCCATATAGACTTTTCCTATAGGGTTATCCCACTGCTGCCACCATTGCAGTGATTCAGGGCAAGTGCACTACCTCCTGTACCATGAAAATCCAGACCTCTTGGTAGAGTCAATGTTATGCTTAGGGATAGACTGAGTTGAATTACATTGATAAATATCCTAAACAGATAGGCATACGTCCTATTTAATCCATCTGCTGTCACCCAACAAGCTGATCTCAGCCTAAATGATCTCCAGTGGCCCAGTAGCCTGAAGAGACCCTTGTTCACATTCAGCCAATGGAATTGTAAACTAAGCTACATGGATTTTTAAGCACGTGGAAATAGTTTTAAATTAACAACTAAACATGTTCCGATATGACAGCTGGGCGTTATGACGCTAGAAATCCGAGACCGCGGGCTACAACTGTCCAACTCGTGAATTCACCAAGACCCCTAAGCGGTTTGCCAGCCCACCTCTCCCTGAAAGTAAATGGAAAAACACAATCCCGTTTTATTGGACAGAGAGGAGACAATTGCGCAATTTGGATAAATGCACTTATCATGGTCGCCAATCTCCAACGCGTAATAGGAACTCTGTTTTCAATCTCTTTGTGTTTTATTGCCACTGTAGTGGTCGCGCAGTATGACAACTACAACTTTAGAAATTTCCCACAAGAGGAGCTCATGCCAATCGAGTCTGCGTATGGACAAGCCTTGGACAGTTATGCCGCAGAAAATTGGACGGACTGTATCAAATTCATTGAATTAAGTTTACGCCTGCATCGGCTTCTGAAAGACAGCGTGACATACTGCATACTAAACTGTAATGACAGTCATGTACAGTTACCGGAGCCTGTCATGGCCAGCGGCACCGGGGATATGCAGATCTTCTGGCGGGTGTTGATGCGAGCATCATGCCTGAAAAAGTGCAGGACGCACTTCCCCGCGCTCTCGCTCCCTTACCCCAGAAAAGCGGTTATGGATGATTTCGAGAATAGGTCGCCCTACCGTTACATTTACTTTGCTCATGTCCAGGTAAGTCACATTTTGGGCTCAGAAATACAGCTTGACCCCTCACTGGCCAATCAGAATGTGCCCCATGGCAGAAAATGTGTTCGCTTGTATATATGGTATTTTATGTATTGCATTGTCACCAACTCCTACTAGTCCATTATAGCCTCATTTGTTAAATAGTGTACAGAAACAACATAAAAATGTAGGCCTATCCCATATTTGCTGAATATGTTTTTGAACAGGAATTGCATGGCTTTAATATGGAAATATATTGTTAACATAGCATTCATACTGATCAAGGCCTACTGTAAAATGAATTGTGTCTGAGCCAAGGAAATGCCAAAAGTTGTTAATAAGCAAGATAAAATTCACTATTGATAACACAGTGAATAACTCTAATACATTCTAATAAAACGAAACAACTCGTTTTAAATAGGCTATTTCTACATACAGTTACAGGCACCATAATTACTCCCCGTGGGCATATTATATTAGGCCTTAGACAACGTAGACTACTATGGTTTTAAGCACATCCAAACTTTTCACAGGAGCTGGAAAAATATCGAATATAAAGAGAAGGGGGGAATGTCCACTCACAGTTACTCCTCCCAAATATACAGTATATAGCTATTTTCCTCTTCGATGAGGTTTAACCGCGGTTGGCATCCAGTATATAGCTATAGCCTACCATCAGTGTTGATATGGTCAGTAGTGACTTTGCCACATGAAAGGTAAACAAACAAACATAGGCTACAAGTGGATATAGCACCACAGACAGCAATCGGAATTCCCGCAATTTGACAGTTAGGTCCAACAGAGGAAAGTGGAAGATGCATTTGTTGACAAAATAAATGCCATAACAAATTGATTTACCGCTAAGACCAGTTTTTGGTCGGTCTTAAATATCCCTTGTTGGCTGACTGAAATTCGCATATTGGCCCACGTTTTTAACTTCACACCTAAAATATTTCCACCCCCACCTCAGCGCAAGCGAGCTGATGCTAGGCAGGTAAAATTGCCGAACCTGGCATAAAGGGTGGAAAATGCCAATGGGCCAGTTTTTACATTTACATTTTAGTCATTTAGCAGACGCTCGTATCCAGAGCGACTTACAGTTAGTGAGTGCATACATTTTCATACTGCCCCCCCGTGGGAAACGAACCCACAACCCTGGCGTTGCAAGCGCCATGCTCTACCAACTGAGCTACAGGGGACTTTACATGGCGAAATTGAAAACTAACGTGCGTTTGACACTTGCGCCTGTTTACCGCAAGCATAAAATAGGGCCCGTTGTGTTAACCACCAGTAATCGCAGGAAAGATATCTGAATACGAATAAATAAGGAATATTATCCGTTTGCCCTCAAAGTTGTGATATTTCAGAGATAAACCATCCCTGGTGCCATATCAAAAGTCTAAAGCAGTGGTCGCCAACTGGGCCTTCGAGGCATTCTTAGTCAATCACCAAACATTTCTGTAGAAAAGCCAACGATAAAGGCATAAATGCTTGCGCTCCCTTTTTTGTGTTGTGCTGTTGACGGTAGGTGCACTTGATTCAGAAGCCTTGCGCACCGGGTAAGCAAAGCGTTTCCATTTTGTATCTTCAGACAAATGAAATGGTTCAAACTCCGCCTACCCGGAGACCACGAGATATGTTGCTAAATCCAGTGCGCCTACTGTGCTGGCGAATCGGATAGCTCAAATCACGGTGCGCTATTTACAGCTTCCACGGCCCCAGCAAAGTTTGATAGCCTACTAGCCTACATGAGATTTCATAACTTTTAAAACCCTGACCAGAGATCTGTCAAAGAAAACAGCAAAGAGCTGCTGGTTTTATGAGTGAGTTCATGGCCAAGTTTTATTCAGCACTGTCAACTCTTTTTATTCAACACTATTACAAGACATGAAACGCGCTTCTCTCTACTTCCACTCTCGCTGCAGCTGCATTGAATGAGTAGCCATGTGTATCAATAGCCCTGTGTTTGGATTATTATTAGCAGCTTGTCATGTCTATTTTATATCGAGGTGTATTTAACTTTCTCTGGTCATAGCAACAACATTAATTTGTGCCCGGGGCATATGCGGTGCGACCCGAGTTTCCCTCTCTCTGGTCAGTCTCACCGGAGAAAAGGAAGGAGAGAGCAGGGACCGTGAGAGGCAGACCCTCTGATGCTCTCTCCCTCTCTCAGCTGAGACTAATGACATGTTCAAAACAACTGGGAACTTGGCAATCTCAGACTTCGACTTCCAAGCGTTCAACACAACTGGGAACTTGGGGAAAAAAACGAGATCCGACTGGGGAAAATCGTTTTGAACAGTCATCCAACTCGGAAACTCTACTGCACAAACCTCATTCCTACAGAACTGTTTTTATTAGGTTAATGTAAATTTTTTAAGTCATGTTTAAAAACAAATCTGAGCGGTAGATCTCGGCTTGCTTTTTGACTGCAAAAGTGATCTCGACTCAGAAAAGGTTGTTGACCACTGGTCTAAAGCAAACCCATCACAGATCTTGAAAGTACTAGACAGCTCAAAGTAGCCCAAAGTCCTGCCACACATCACATCAGTTCCAATCATGGAAAAGATACAAAGAGAGGAAACCGCTTTGGACAATTGAGATTCCCCTGTCTACATGCAGTATCTGTCCCTCTGCTGTTGGAATACTCTTAAAAATGTATTTTTCCTCCCTCCCTTGAAGTAATCATTGATCTGACATGACTGGATTGATGTTAGCAAGCTTTCTAATCTACAGCATTGCTATCACCAATTGTCTTATGTCAGATCAGTGATAACTTGAAGGAAGGATGCATTTTAAGAGTATTCCAACAGGGCCTTACCACCTGCCTCACTGCTTAGCCTGTGTTGTGTTTCTCCCAGATGGATGACCTGCAGAAAACACTGGCGTCGGCCCACACCTATCTACAGAGAAACCCAGAGGACCCTGTCATGACACAGCACATGAACCAACACAAAATAGAGTTTGACTTGGAGGGCCATCTCATTGACCACGAGGAACGTCCCTATGAGGTGAGCATAAAGGATAGGTGGAAAACGTTCTACAAAAATTCACTACAATCTGACTCATACCTAATATCAATCCACAATACCCTGTCACCACAGGTTAACTAATATTCACAGTACTCTGTCATCGGGGGTTGGTATCAATTCATGTAATTCCAAATTTCAGTTTACTTCCTGAATTAACTAAAATGAAATGAAACTGACCCCCAACCCTGACATCCACACTACCCTGTCACCCCCAGGTTAGCTTCCTGAAAGCGGTCACCTTGTTCAACTCGGGAGACTTCAGCAGCAGTATCAGTCACATGGAGCAGACCCTCAGCCAGTACCTCCAGCACTACAGCCTGTGTCAGGCCATGTGCCAGGGGGCCTGCGACGCCGACCTCCCCCAAACTAAAGACCTGTACCCTACACTGGCAGGTAGGCTACTTCTGCCTCACTAAGACCCAAATACACTGAAGGCAGACCCAGGTAAAACCAGGGTTCCTTAGAAGAAGAATGTGCAATATTCATGTTTGATTTGTAAAAAAATTGTGAGGCTGAGTGTTCTACAGTGAGGGAAAAAGTATTTTTTTGTACGTTTGCCCACTGACAAAGAAATGATCAGTCCATAATTTTAATGGTAGGTTTATTTGAACAGTGAGAGACAGAATAACAACAAAAAAATCCAGAAAAACGCATGTAAAAAATGTTATAAATTGATTTGCATTTTAATGAGGGAAATAAGTATTTGACCCCCTCTCAATCAGAAAGATTTCTAGCTCCCAGGTGTCTTTTATACAGGTAACAAGCTGAGATTAGGAGCACACTCTTAAAGGGAGTGCTCCTAATCTCAGTTTGTTACCTGTATAAAAGACACCTGTCCACAGAAGCAATCAATCAATCAGATTCCAAACTCTCCATCATGGCCAAGACCAAAGAGCTCTCCAAGGATGTCAGGGACAAGATTGTAGACCTACACAAGGCTGGAATGGGCTACAAGACCATCGCCAAGCAGCTTGGTGAGAAGGTGACAACAGTTGGTGCGATTATTCGCAAATGGAAGAAACACAAAATAACTGTCAATCTCCCTCGGCCTGGGGCTCCATTCAAGATCTCACCTCGTGGAGTTGCAATGATCATGAGGAATCAGCCCAGAACTACACGGGAGGATCTTGTCAATGATCTCAAGGCAGCTGGGACCATAGTCACCAAGAAAACAATTGGTAACACACTATGCCGTGAAGGACTGAAATCCTGCAGCGCCCACAAGGTCCCCCTGCTCAAGAAAGCACATATACAGGCCCTTCTGAAGTTTGCCAATAAACATCTGAATGATTCAGAGGAGAACTGGGTGAAAGTGTTGTGGTCAGATGAGACCAAAATAGAGCTCTTTGGCATCAACTCAACTCGCCGTGTTTGGAGGAGGAGGAATGCTGCCTATGACCCCAACAACACCATCCCCACCGTCAAACATGGAGGTGGAAACATGTGTTTTTCTGCTAAGGGGACAGGACAACTTCACCGCATCAAAGGGACGATGGACGGGGCCATGTACCGTCAAATCTTGGGTGAGAACCTCCTTCCCTCAGCCAGGGCATTGAAAATGGGTCGTGGGTGGGTATTCCAGCATGACAATGACCCAAAACACACGGCAAAGGCAACAAAGGAGTGGCTCAAGAAGAAGCACATTAAGGTCCTGGAGTGGCCTAGCCAGTCTCCAGACCTTAATCCCATAGAAAATCTGTGGAGGGAGCTGAAGGTTCGAGTTGCCAAACGTCAGGCTCGAAACCTTAATGACTTGGAGAAGATCTGCAAAGAGGAGTGGAACAAAATCCCTCCTGAGATGTGTGCAAACCTGGTGGCCAACTACAAGAAACGTCTGACCTCTGTGATTGCCAACAAGGGTTTTGCAACCAAGTATTAAGTCATGTTTTGCAGAGGGGTCAAATACTTATTTCCCTCATTAAAATGCAAATCAATTTATAACATTTTTGACATGCATTTTTCTGGATTTTGTTGTTGTTATTCTGTCTCTCACTGTTCAAATAAACATACCATTAAAATTATAGACTGATTATGTCTTTGTCAGTGGGCAAACGTACAAAATCAGCAGGGGATCAAATACTTTTGTCCCTCACTGTATTTCCAAAACAAAGTCTGGGCCAAACAAAGTTCCAATCTTAGAATCTGGAAATGGAAGAAAAGCTATTTTAAAAGGGGCAATCTGCAATTGCTACATTGATTTTTAGACTTTTAAATTAATGATATATACCTATTGATTCTTGAAGAATATATCTTCTAAATGTCTCATGAGGTTATTGTCGTACCACATCATAATCCAACATATAAGCCTGTAATGCTCCATTGTTTGTATACAAACACTGTATAGCCTCAAAACATGGTTAAAACTATACTTTTTATATCATGGATGGTCAGTCCTTGCATCCATAGCTCTGTCTATGAATGTGAGAGTGGTTTTAAATTAAGGTGCCAGAGATGGTGGTCCCTCAGGGAGGCCAGGGTCAGTCACAGTCAAAGGTTGCTTATATTTGGCACTCAGGGCTGGCTAAACAGACCCAGATTATATAAACCCAGGAGTAGGCTCAATTCTGGTTGAATTAGTTATGTACCATGATTTTGAATGACTATTAGGACTAAATCGAACTAATTTTGCCACTTTCTTTCACAGATGCCTATGTTGATGCACTGAGATGCGAGGTGAAGTGTGAGGAAAAGCTAATGCCAAATGTTGGTGGCTACTTTGTGGAGAAATTCGTGGCCACTATGTACCACTACCTGCAATTTGCTTATTATAAGTGTAAGTACCAACCATAGTCACATAATGTATATATTATCCACTATCTTACTTTGATTAACAATAATGTCAATCCTATGTATCAGGACTAAACGAAGGGAGTCCAAATATGGCTAAATAAAGGACAAGTTGTTCTTCTCCTCTCAATACAGTAAATGATGCCCGCAGTGCGGCCCCCTGTGCGTCCAGCTACGTGCTCTTTGACCCTGAGGACAAGGTCATGAGGCAGAACATGTTATACTACCAGTCTTACAGAGAGCAGTGGGGCCTGGATGACCACAGCTTCACACCCAGAGTGGTGAGAGAATGGCTCTATTCATCTTTTCGATATTCCTCACATCCTCTCAACTCACCGCTTTCTTTAAAGTCTGAAGGGAGGGACGAAGGACCTACTCCAATATGGCTGAATGGGAGGCGAGGAGATAGATTGCGAGGAATCACAGAAAGACCAATTGAAATAGATAGCCAATGCATCCTTCCTGCTAGCCTTCATTGAGGTAGTTACTGATCCGTATATATTTGGATAAGTGAAAGCAAGGTGCTTTCTATTAAACTGCTTTCACTAATCCAGCCTTCTCAACTATGGGATTTGGTAGGATTTTGCGCTTGTTTTGTTACAACCTGTAGCGCTCCTAGGCTTCCCCAAAACCAAACGTGGGAATAAATGAGTGCACACTTTGGGGAGAAATGGAATTGGACTAGTAACTTCAGAGACAGGAAGGAAATACATAGGCAGCTAGGGATTTATTTGGAATTAGGCCTTCCGCTTCTGTCTCCGACCTAGCACAGCCCTGTAATGGGAATCCCAGACTTGGACAATCCCCTGCTCTGTCCGAAATCACCATGGTGAACTAGGAATGCAAATGCTTAGCGCAGGCCTCCACTCTGTACATAAGATCATAAACACTGTTTGCCTCGACTGAGGCATTATGTGGAAAATACCAAATCACAAAGATGTGAAGTAATTCAGTCTGTAGATACTTCAAATTCGTAATTGTTATGCTTGAGTTTTTTTTTAGGGCAGTGATTCATTGAAAAATGCAAGAAATTGAGGCTAACAAGCTTTATGGAAAGGTAAAACTCGGCTTGCAGATTGTGTCCAAAGTGAACATGAAAGAATGATTTGGCTCCATTTCAACAGGAAGCATTGAGGTACTACAACCATACCACCTTGCTGAAACAGATGCTGGCATTTGCAGAGAACTACTTGCAGTCTGATGATGAGGTAGGATAATGCAGTTTAAGGTAATTAAAGGGGAACTTCAATGGGAAATCAATTTCATATTGTGCCTATAACGCTATAACATAATAAGATGATCTCTTCTTTAAATGTCTTGCACTGAGTCGTAGGGTTGCAGGCACAACAGGGCATTTGAATTCCCCTTTAAAAAGGTTGTATATAACCTTACGATTGATAACACAAACAGACACATACCTTAACTCACAGTATCGGTTGTGTGTGGACCTTGTTTTACAGGACTTTTTGGGTCTAGAGGAAGTTGCCATGGAGGACTCCCCTGATGTTGAGTTTGAAGGGCTTGGAGACTATCAGGAGTCAATCCTGGCTAGATGGTCACAGCCCAAAGCTAAAGGGGACGTTGGTGACTCCTAAGGATTTGTTCTTGACTAAATGTTGAATAAAACAGAAAGACAATGTTTTCACACTTCAATTTTATTTATCTTCCCCATTTTCTCATCATTGAATAAGTTAAATGTTATCACCTGCTCCTATTAGGTCTTTAAAAATATATGAAGTCAATAATCGATATCTGTTCCAGAACTATGATTCAAATATACAGTTGCAGGGAGGTTTAAAAAAAATAAAAGCTCCAGAATCTGCACACAACACACATGAAAAAAAGGATAAGTCGAACTCAAGTCCTAAACAGTAAACCAAAAGTAAATAACCTCAAAGCGACATTATTCTATATAATTTACATGCAATACGTAACCTGGAAACACTAGGTCAGGAAGCAATGCACAGTTAAGCTGATTATACACAAAATGTACAAATTTGCACTGTTGGGTTTCAAGTCTGCTATTTAAAGATACTGCAGGTTATCAAAGTACACTGGTATTTGATAGGTCAGTCCAATATAAATGATTTTATGTATACCTCTGCATATATTATACAAGTCAAATTAATGCCTATGTACAAATACAAATGGATTTGTACATACACATAGATTATGTTTATATGTACAGTCGATGCTATTCCACTCATACAAAGGCTGTTAAGTGCTCTACTCAGGAGGGTTGGTAAGACTGCCAAGACTGTGTGGGGGTCAAATTCAAAACCAGAAATTAGACTAAAGAGATCAAACATTTGGATGACAGAGGGCCATTTGGCTATTATCTCTTCATTAATGTCAACCAATCGCCTGTATTAATCTGTCTCCACTAGAAGGACAGCAAGTATTTTCGCTTAAAATGTTGTGCTAACAAGGATATTGTTCACACATTTCTGGTCAACCCTGAAACAGGTTTTTGGTCAACCCCGAAACTACCTTTGAATTAACCCCAAAGCAGTCTTTTGGTCAAACCCAAAGCAGTCTTTTGGTCAACTCCCAATTTTTGGGTGGGGTCTACTCCTAAACGGTCTACTAAATTCAAGAATTTCCGATAACACAGTGCTCAGTGTATTAATGGTCCCAAAACAACAAACAAATCATCATATTTGATCACTTACATAATATAGTTTAGACAAAGCTCTGCTAAATCTACATAGCTACTCTATCTAACAGCATAACGGATAGTAGCCTGAGAAAAAGGGTAATTTTGTGTCAGTGTAAAGGGAAAACAGAAATAAAATCAAAAAAATTCCAGCATTCATAATTTATTTTCTATATCCCTATCCTGTTTACACATTACACACTTTTAGGGATGTACGGTTACCAAGAAACACTAGTGTGAACAAGTTCCCTGAATAGGAACAGGGCAAAATATGTGGCAGTATATTTGAACTGGCAAGCCTATTTAATGACATACGTCATTATATCACAATTTCCCAATTACCCATTGGCTCGACCACATACTGTATCATTTTAACTGTAAAGCCAGACTTAACCTGGAGGCTTGGTGTAACTATTAGGAATCTTACATAGGGATAACTTTAATATCAACCGGCATGCTCTTATTTCTACAAAAAAGAGCATTAAACCCTGTAAAGAGCACTCTGAGTATCCTGTTGGACTGAGAAAAGGTTCACTGGCCTCCAAGGCAGATCTTAGGGAGGCTGTGTCAGGATGTACAAAGCACACTAAAGGCCAGCAACAAATGATGACAGAACCAGTCATGTCTACAGTTACTCTTTCAGACAGGATGATAGATATTAAGATGTAGTCTGTTCCCGGTAGGTGTTTTCATCGACAGTGGCATGGTAAGTTGTCCAGGTTCAACTTTTAAAGGCTATTTTGTCATCTTACCCTTGGAATGTAAAATATCTACATTAAAAAATCCCAAATTGGCCAGGTATTGTGGCCAAAAGACACGGTAGCCTATTAAGCAACCCAGAGTTTGAACAAACAGCCTACATTAAACATATAAAATAACTAAAGGCAAGAGGAAGATCCTGAGAACAGGCTCAGGCTTCATTTTCATTCAGTGAACTCCCCAACATCAGTCAATGGCAACTATACAATAACAATACGACAGAGACACCTCCACAAGAATACTAACAGGCCATGGTATTCAAAAATGTTAAGGTCATACGAATAGTTTTATACACCAGAAATATTTACATTCTAAGTCTAAAAGCTTACAATTGTTTGCAATATCCTTTGAGGAGGTGAACAACAAGAGTATGTAGACTGTGGTGGTAAGCTTCCTGAAATGTCCATTCTTGACTAACATTTTTGAATACACAGAAATACAGATTAAATAGAGTTCAAGTTTACTTGATTCTACTTTAGGCTGGCAGTGTAACTTAAAAAATGATCTGTCCCTTTAATGGAGTGGCAGGTCTGTGTTCCGTGACACGAAGAATACACTCTGAACCTACAACAATCCTCTTTCATAGGTACTGAGAGGAAGGAGTGAGACAGTGGCACACACAAGCTACCACAGTTTTTCTTATTCAAGCTCATCTCCCCTTGAAAGTAGTCAACAGATTCTAGGTAAAGGCAAATTTCACTCAAATTGAGTGCACTATCCCTTTAATCAAAGGGCTCCTTGATTTGACTTTCTCGTTCAATTTCTATTCAATTAAATACTTACAGTCTGTCAATGTAAATACAAATACCATTGTAATGAAGTTCAAATGTCTAAACTTCTTGCTTATACAGAATCTCCCATGGATGCAGGATACAGAAAAAGAGGAAAGGTTTGAGTCCACACTCACAAACTTGTGCTTTCATTTGAGCAGCTACAACTATGTCCCAGCTGTCGAAAACATGTGAGCGCCTAGAATATATATTATGTACTAAAGCACCCATATTCAGCATAACTGTATTCACACTCAATCTCTATATGGATTACATCATATACAGTACAATACACATTTGACATCTGAATGTGTCTGTGCAATAGTCTATTTTATCTAGCTAGGTAGCCATCTCCGCACAAATGTACTCTTGATGTCGACACGGAGATGCGACAAGCATTCACCCACTCACAAGGTTGAGCTATACATTCATTTGTTTATGCATATTATGTTGGATAATTGATTAACGCTAGATTACTGATCGATACTGAAGAGCAGCACAATAGATTAATATAAATTCTTCTTCTTCTTCTATGTTATTATGGAATGTTAATATAAATGCCTAGCTAAGCGGAGTACACAATTAACCAACCATGCCCTAATTTCTAATGGAGAAAAAAAAACATTTTTTTCCATTTGCTGCTTGCAGTTCACTATCACTACCCAAAGAGCTACGATAACTGTCTTTGGAGACCAGACGTATTGTATGACCAACACAGCGGGAAAAACTGTCAACATGTCTGTTCAAGTTGTAATGCCATAAGTTCAACCAGCTTTGCCCGCTGGGTCCCATATATGTTATGTTTTTTTATTTTATTTTTTACCATACATCCTACTACATGGTTGTTGTAGGATGTATGGTATTTATTGTCAGATTTTGGAACTACCCCACTAGTACATTGCAACTAGTGATATAAGCTCACTAGCAACCCTACATAGATATCAGTATCAGATTCATCCTTCTTCCCTCGTCACAGACAATCTTTTTTAAAGATGTCATCGTCCAGTAGAAAAGACTAAATGGCAGGAAAGAGTAAGTCAAACTGATATAACTTCAGGAAAAGCACTTGTATGGAGAGTATACATGTCCTGGTCAGCTTGGTCAAGTTTCTAACATCCTCAAACGTTATTATAGAAAAACAAAGCTATGGCAAGTCAATGGGGACAAACTTAGGATGGTATCGGAAGGCCGATTATGAAATAGTAACTGTTACATTGAAGATATGCCACACACAACATAGTGACAAAACACAAATGTATGTTCTATGTGACAATGGGTGGTCATTGTCTGACAGGGTTTCAGGGAATGTATTTCAGGTTAAACCTACCAAAGGCAAAAGGTGAGACGTCTGTGGATGGAAAATTGACAGGAAATACAGAAAATGAAAAGGAAAGGAACCGTGACAGGGAGAATTGTGAGAGTTGTAGTTTAAGAGAATGGAAGACATCTTTGATATTTCTCCTCAAAGTGGATAGGACACCGTGCAAGGAAGACAGGACAGCAAATGGACAGATGTTTCATCCCCCTCCAGATCTAGAAAGAAAAGAGGAGAGGAAGAGAAAGCGAGGGAGAAGGAAAGAAGAAGAGTGAGAAGTTAAAAGAAACAGAATACATCACAGTGTAAGTAGGCCTATACACTGTGTCAAAGACAGAGAGCCCACTGCCCAAAGGGTTACTACCAGGCTATCCATTGGCTTAATGTTTTTAAATATTTATGCGATGTACTATTGACAGCCGACACTCTCACTTCAAAAGACTTGTTCAGCTTTTATTTGCCTCATCTGATTGGGTATCCAGGACAGCCAATCAAAGTCAACCTTACAGAGCCAGTGTGGGCTGACACTACAGTGTGAAATGTGGCTGTGGGACGCAAAATGGAAACCCCCCTAAACAGATAGCAGCTAAACACTATAGACCGGTTTGCCAGACCAGATTAAGCCTAGTCCTAGATTTAAAAAACCTCCATTGAAAGTGCATTTTAGTCCAGGACTAGGCTTAATCTGTATCTGGGAATCTGTCCATATGAATGGCAGTGAAGTCCATTGGGAGGAGCACAGTGAGATAGTGGTATTATATAGTATACATATGTAAGAAATTAGGGTATACATGGGATGTGAAATGGGATTTAACTGGCGTGGATAGGTACTAGGACATAGAAAGTACATTTTATATTGAAGTGTAATGTAAAAATTAAGCAAACTTTACAAATGAGCACCCAGGATTTGGGTACTTGGAGAAGAGACTAGAAATACTGGGACTAGCCTAATTGAAGTGGGTTAGGATAGAGATGGCAGGATAGGTGCCTATATGGATGAGGGACTATAGGATTGGGGACTAGGGTGAATGAAACATGGGGGTTAATTTGGGATGAGTTCCCATCAGACCATAGCCTGTTGGGCGGGGTCATACCTTCCTCTTCGGATGTTCCTGTATCCATGGCAATGTAGCAAAAGTGTGAGGAGGGAGAGAGAGAGAGAGAGAGAGAATTGGAGTCAGAAAATGTACCTTTTGGGTATGGGTTATATTATAGTGATATGGACACATGCAGTGCCTGCTGTGCTAGAAACTTAGCGCAAGGACAGACAGGCATAGAATCAGGATTCTATGACAACAGGACTGGACTGCCACAACCTGCCACAACCTACCATTTGGGAAATCACTTGCATAGCATAGTATGCTAGCATAGCTTACAAGCATGTCACTGTATAGCATACAATTGCATAAGCATAGCACACACATAAATTGAGAAAGCAATAAGAAAGCATCCAAGACAGCCATGTGGGTCTTGGATGCCATGTGGGTCAGAGGTCAGGGTAAAGTAAGCATCCAGTGTCCACCTACAGTGTGTGCAGGAATTGAGAAGTGAGTGAAGCATATGCATTGAGACCTTTGACGTACATTCATTTCTATGGGTATATCATGTATAATGTAGGTGTAATAGTAGCATGCGTGAGCATGTTGGGTTAAAATCAGCATTCGATAGGCCCTTGCGGGAATGCGTGTTCGCTGTTAGAAGCACACAGGAATATAAACACTCAGAGGAATTCCAGATAGAACTCTTACTTAAATCCCCATCCTGTTCCCCCTAGGACTATAGCTGCCAAGAGAATTGCCCCTGCGATGGAGCCTATGATGATATTGGTGCCACTGGGACCTGTGTAGAGGGAGGGGGAAATGGGGGTGAAGGGTGGGTTAAAAGAGGGGAGAGCAAAAAACAAGACCACCCAACAGACGTCAGAGAACCAGAAGAAACACTGTACACCTTTTGAACAGTTGGAGAGAAGGGTGAGGAGATGTTAGATGACGGGAGAAAGAGAAGGACAAGAGAACATGACACTTCTGCCTGTTAAACCCATTCTGTCTTTCGTGCTTAGAAGGGTTAATGGGGTTACATTGTCTCAGGATCAGACTACAAGGAAATAACTGATACTGTTTCGAGATACTGTTTCGAGTTGGGGAATTTATCTCTGCAAACACACAAATTGAACGGTGATGCTTTTTATCCATTATAAACACAGGAGTATTTAGCAGTTTTACAGTGCCTTCAAAGTATTCACACCCCTTGACTTTTTCCACATTTTGTTGTGTTACAGCCTGACATTTAAAATGGATTAAATTGAGATTTTTTGTCACTGGCCTACACACAATACCCCATAACGTGAAAGTGGAATTATGTTTTTCAAAAATTTTACAAATTATAAAAAATGAAAAGCTGAAATGTCTTGAGTCAATAAGTATTCAACCCCTTTGTTACGCCAAGCCTGAATATGTTCAGGAGTAAAAATGTGCTTAACAAGTCACATAATAGGTTGCATGGACTCACTGTGTGCAATAATAGTGTTTAACATGATTTATAATGACTACCTCATCTTTGTACCCCAAACATACAATTATCTGTAATGTCCCTCAGCCGAGCAGTGAATTTCAAAACAGATTCAACCACAAAGACCAGGGATGTTTTCCAATGCCTCACAAAGGGCACCTATTGGTAGATGGGTAAAACAACACAAAAAGAACAGACATTGAATATCCCTTTGAGCATGGTGAAGTTATTCATTACACTTTGGATGGTCTATCAATACACCCAGTCATAACCAAGATACAGGCGTGCTTCCTAACTCAGTTGCCGGAAGCCGGAGAGGAAGGAAACCGCTCAGGGATTTCACAATGAGGCCAATAGTAACTTTAAAACAGTTAAGGTTTAATGGCTGTGATAGGAAAAAACTGAGGATGGATCAACAACATTGTAGTTACTCCGCAATACTATTCTAAATGACAGTGAAAAGAAGGAAGCCTGTACAGAATAAAAATATTCCAAAACATGCATCCTGTTTGCAACAAGGCACTAAAGTAATACTGCAAAAAATGTAGCAAAGCAATTCTATTTTTGTCCTGAATACAAAGTGTTATGTTTAGGGCAAATCCTATACAACACATTACTGAGTGGCTTCATCATGTTATTGGTATGCTTGTAATTGTTAAGGACTGGGGAGTTTTTCAGGATGAAAAATAAACTGAATGGAGTTTAGCAGAGGCAAAATCCTAGAGGAAAACCTGGTTCAGTCTGCTTTACACCAGACACTGGGAAATGAATTCACCTTTCAGCAGGACAATAACCTAAAACACAAGGCCAAATCTACACTGGAGTTGTTTACCAAGAAGACAGTGAATGTTCCTGAGTGTCTGAGTTACAGTTTTGACTTAAATCTACTTGAAAATCTATGGCAAGACCTGAAAACGGTTGTCTAGCAATGATCAATAACCAATTTGGCAGAGCTTGAAGAATTTTGAAAATAATAAAATGGGCAAATGTTGCACAATCCAGGTGTGGAAAGCTCTTAGAGACTTACCCAGAAAGACTCATAGCTGTAATGGCTGCCAAAGGTGCTTCTACAAAGTATTGACTCAGGGGTGTGAATACTTACTGTATGTAAATGAGATATTTCTGAATTAAATGTTCAATACATTTGCTAACATTTCTATCATGTTTTCACTTTGTCATTATGGGGTACTGTGTGTTGATGGGTGAGAAAAACAAAACAATTTAATTACTTTTGAATTCAGGCTGTAATACAACAAAATGTGAAATAGGTCAAGGGGTATGAATACTTTCTGAAGACACTGTATATCAATATTTGTGTATAGATTGACTTTTAAAACCAGTTAAAGTTAGTTTGCAATTCGGATGATTTTTGGTTTATTTTCCTTGTGCTGAATGATATGAGCTAACGGGCCAGCTGGATAGCAGGTTTGGTAAGCATCCTGTCCTTTTCAGGAGTTTTAAATCAATATTTATATCATGATCATATACAGACTAGTGACCTTACATATGAGCACTGGGTTGAGACTACACGATAGCTGTCTTCATCAGCTAAAGCACTCTAATACAAATAAAAACCTATGTACAGTGGGGAAAAAAAGTATTTAGTCAGCCACCAATTGTGCAAGTTCTCCCACTTAAAAAGATGAGAGAGGCCTGTAATTTTCATCATAGGTACACGTCAACTATGACAGACAAATTGAGAAAAAAAAATCCAGAAAATCACATTGTAGGATCTTTAATGAATTTATTTGCAAATTATGGTGGAAAATAAGTATTTGGTCACCTACAAACAAGCAAGATTTCTGGCTCTCACAGACCTGTAACTTCTTCTTTAAGAGGCTCCTCTGTCCTCCACTCATTACCTGTATTAAATGGCACCTGTTTGAACTTGTTATCAGTATAAAAGACACCTGTCCACAACCTCAAACAGTCACACTCCAAACTCCACTATGGCCAAGACCAAAGAGCTGTCACAGGACGCCAGAAACAAAATTGTAGACCTGCACCAGGCTGGGAATACTGAATCTGCAATAGGTAAGCAGCTTGGTTTGAAGAAATCAACTGTGGGAGCAATTATTAGGAAATGGAAGACATTCAAGACCACTGATAATCTCCCTCGATCTGGGGCTCCACGCAAGATCTCACCCCGTGGGGTCAAAATGATCACAAGAACGGTGAGCAAAAATCCCAGAACCACACGGGGGGACCTAGTGAATGACCTGCAGAGAGCTGGGACCAAAGTAACAAAGCCTACCATCAGTAACACACTACGCCGCCAGGGACTCAAATCCTGCAGTGCAGGTTGTGTCCCCCTGCTTAAGCCAGTACATGTCCAGGCCCGTCTGAAGTTTGCTAGAGTGCATTTGGATGATCCAGAAGAGGATTGGGAGAATGTCATATGGTCAGATGAAACCAAAATATAACTTTTTGGTAAAAACTCAACTCGTCGTGTTTGGAGGACAAAGAATGCTGAGTTGCATCCAAAGAACACCCTACCTACTGTGAAGCATGGGGGTGGAAACATCATGCTTTGGGGCAGTTTTTCTGCAAAGGGACCAGGACGACTGATCCGTGTAAAGGAAAGAATGAATGGGGCCATGTATCGTGAGATTTTGAGTGAAAACCTCCTTCCATCAGCAAGGGTATTGAAGATGAAACGTGGCTGGGTCTTTCAGCATGACAATGATCCCAAACACACCGCCCGGGCAACGAAGGAGTGGCTTCGTAAGAAGCATTTCAAGGTCCTGGAGTGGCCTAGCCAGTCTCCAGATCTCAACCCCATAGAAAATCTTTGGAGGGAGTTGAAAGTCCGTGTTGCCCAGCGACAGCCCCAAAACATCACTGCTCTAGAGGAGATCTGCATGGATGAATGGGCCAAAATACCAGCAACAGTGTGTGAAAACCTTGTGAAGACTTACAGAAAACGTTTGACCTGTGACAAAGGGTATATAACAAAGTATTGAGAAACTTTTGTTATTGACCAAATACTTATTTTCCACCATAATTTGCAAAAAAATTCATTAAAAATCCTACAATGTGATTTTCTGGATGTATCATTGAGGCAGTGGTAAGTGTGGCACGTAATCCCTTATTACTTAATTTCTGCATAAATAATCTCCACCCAGCAAAGGGGACTTTTGAAATGTTTGTTTCAGATTGCAGAGGATTTTTTTGCTTTATATTCCATTCCTCGTGGTTCATTACATTAGATTTTCCTCTCAGCAATTTTTATAAAATGTTTGTCACAAATATCTATTTTGTGTCCAATGTATAGGTACTTGAGTCCAACTATACATTTATCTACTCTCTCTATATATATTTTTTAACAACATTACATATATTTTTTAATTGCACATGATTGTTTTTCTATCTAAATTATACATCAAAATGTCTGATCAAATGGGTATGTATGGGAGACATTGTTTGACAAGTTTGTCGAAAAGGATTGGCCCATAGTAAATGTTCAGTTCTGATTTTACTGCCTCGTCTATCATGCTTCTTGTTTCATTTGTTGAAAGTGGAATCGAAAAGTTCCAGTCTTGCTAAAAAAAATCCACTCTCAATGTCATTTGATTTCTTTATTTAATTGCTCCTCTCTTTTCAAATGATGTGCTATTTTTTTCAATTGCCTCAGTTAGAGAAGGAAACAACGTCTTGATCCCAAAAGCTTCTAGAATTGGCCAATAAACAAAACATGTTCATTCCAAAATTGTATCTACTGTCCTTCCCACTGTACTGCACAAATTTTTTGCTTGTGTGTTTCATAAAGTGACTTCTGCATGAGTTTGCCAGTGTTTGTGCTCATTTTCCAGCACTTCTCAAGGTAGTTCTCCATGTTATCCAAATTGAAAACTTTCACAGAGGCCTGCAGTAGAATAATACAACAGTCGCTATTCATTTGCATTGGTAAGCTGTTATTATTAAACATCATTCCTTCAAAATATTAAATGTTTGTGCGTGTGTATTCTTCAGTAATCATGAAAGCAACAGGTGCTGATTTTTCAGATCTATTAAAGCAATACATTGATAATAAAATAAAACATAATAATAATCTCCACCTTCTCATGGACATTGAGACACTCCCAGGGGGATGTTTTGAGACATTGTACTAGAGATAGTGTAATAAGGTGGGGAGCGGCAAGGTACGAACCCTTATATTTCTCAGGGCCCTCTGGAGGGGTGGGGTCAGGGATGGGGTCATAGACGCTGCAGTCTTTCCCAGTGTAGTCCGGGTCACAAATACACCTCACCTCATTACTGCAGGTCTGGGAAGATGGGGGGGGGTCGATAGAAATTAACAACACAAACTAATAGCATTCAAAACCACAAGAACATGAATTCATCAACAATCAATTCATTAAATTGTGTGAATTAACATGTATAGCATTATTAGAACAGTTAAGGAATACATATCATGAACAAGAGCCTATATTAGTAGTATCGATCTAGATACAAATCCTACACTCAACCCAAACAACTCTGAATTCAGGTTTGTGTGTTCAGTAGGGCACACTATAGCAAAATGTTTAAAGTACAGACAGTCCCTCTATTTTATTTTATTTCGTTTGGTGCCTGATGAATACGACCCAGATCAACACATTGTTAATCCAAACCTCCCCAAGCGATGCCACAACATGGCGGGCCAACTCACCCCATGGTGGGAGCAGATGCGTGATCCAGGGCTGGATCCGGGGCAGGTGCTGAGGTTGAAGGTGGGGACGGGTAGGCAGCGGCGGTCCAGGCACATCATGTTGGGACCGCAGGGCGTCCCGTCTTCCACATAGCCCAGGTCTGAGCCATCCTCCAGCACCGCGTGGCCACCACTGAACCAACACAGGACCAGGTGGTTAGAAATGGGCCACTAACTGAACAACGCTCATCATATTGGTATGTCCAGTGCTTGACTTGGGATAAAAGAAGTGTAGGGGCTGTCTTTTTCCAAGTCGGTCCATTAGACTATGTCACCGAAATTCACAAATGACATTATGCTATAGAGACCTCTGATTATTCACTGTTAAGGGTTAATACACCTTTTCCATGAGTTCTCCATGACTTTTAACCAAATTTTCATGACTATTATTATAGTCTACATGAAAAGGTAAGCATTATTGATACAGGCAGGCTGCGTGGCTGATCCCATGTAGGCCTACCATCTCCTGCCGTTGTGCCAGTGATCAAGGCACATAAACCCCCAAAAAGTAGAACTGCACTGTTAGTCACATGTTGTCAACATGTGGTCAACCCTCCATCTGGAGAGCTCCTGGGTGTGCAGGCTTAGTTTTTGATCCAGCCCTGAAACACCCAAGTCCGCTTACCAAGGTCCTGTTGAGCAGCGATGTTAAGGCTACAATGTGGTTAGACCAGGGCTTGAACAAAAGCCAGTAGCTATCATGGAGGATGGTTGCCACCCTTGATATAAATATTGCAACATTACAACCAAATCCTTCTGTCTTTATAAAATTATTCCCTCATTTAATGAATCCGGGAATCAAATGGCTAAGGTAGGCTACTTCAAAGCAAGATAGACTATTTAACTAGATATATTTATATATAAGGCTCAAATATTCATGTTTCAGGGGAGATCCATGCACAGCAAGTTATTTGTCAATTAGGCTATTCTTAGAATATTTGTAACGTTGTCGCAATTACATTGATGCCTACTGCGAACAGTCAGTATCTGGATAACGTGTGAAATGCTTGATAATATATGTGATATCAATAGAGAGGTATACTTTCTGGGTGATTTAAATATTGACTGGCTTTCATCAGGCTGCCCACTCAAGAGAAAGCTTCAAAAACTGTAACTAGTGCCTGCAACCTGGTTCAGGTTATCAATCAACCTACCAGGGTAGTTACAAACAGTACAGGAATGAAATCATCAAATATATTGATCATATCTTTACTAATGCTGCAGAAATTTGTTTGAAAGCAGTATCCAAATCCATCGGATGTAGCGATCACAATAAAGTAGCCATATCTACGAAAACCAACATTCCAAAGGCTGGCCCTAATATTGTGCATAATAGGTCATACAATAAGTTTTGTAGTGATTCCTATGTTGTTGATATGAAGAATATTTGTTGGTCTGTGGTGTGTAATGACGAGAAACCAGACGCTGCACTTGACACATGAAATTGCTTATCCCAGTTACTAATAAGCATGCACCCATTAAGAAACTGTTCTGTAAAAACTGTTAAATCCCAGAGATTGATGAAGAATTGAACAATTGTATGGTTGAGAGGGATGAGGCAAAAGAGATGGCAAATAGGTCTGGCTGTACAACCGATTGGCAAACGTACTGCAAATTGAGAAATCATGTGACTAAACTGAATAAAAGAAGAATAAACTACACTATGAAACAAAGATAAATGACAAAGATTTATAGTAAAAAGTTTTGGAGCACCTTAAATGAAATGTTGGGCAAAAAGGCAAACTCCGCTCTATCATTCATTGAATCTGATGGCTCATTCATCACAAAACCCACTGATATTGCCAACTACTTTAATGATTTTTTCATTGGCAATATTAGCAAACTTAGGCATGACATGCCAGCAACAAACGCTGACACTACACATCCAAGTATATCTGACCAAATGACGAAAGACAAACATTGTAATTTTGAATTCCGTAAAGTAAGTGTGGAAGAGGTGAAAAAGTATTATTGTTGATCAACAATGACAAGCCACCGGGGTCTGACAACTTGGAAGGAAAATTACTGAGGATAATAGCGGACGATATTGCCACGCCTATTTGCCATATCTTCAATTTAAGGATACTAGAAAGTGTGTGCCCTTAGGCCTGGAGGGAAGCAAAAGTTATTCCCCTACCTAAGAATAGTAAAGCCCCATTAACTGGCTCAAATAGCCAACCAATCAGCCTGTTACCAACCCTTAGTAAAAATTGAGTTTGACCAGATGAAATGCTATTTTACAGTAAACAAATTGACAACAGACCTTCAGCACGCTTACAGGGAAGGACATTCAACAAGCACAGCACTGACACTAATGACTGATGATTGGCTGAGTGAAATTGATGATACAAATATTGTGGGGGCTGTTTTGTTAGACTTCAGTGCAGCTTTTGACATCATCGATCATAGCCTGTTGCTGGAAAACGTATGTGTTATGGCTTTACACCCACCCCCTGCTATATTGTGGATAAAGAGTTACCTGTCTAACAGAACACAGAGGGTGTTCTTTAATGGAAGCCTTGCCAACAAAATCCAGGTAGAATCAGGAATTCCCCAGGGCAGCTGTCTAGGCCCCTTACTTTTTTAAATCTTTACTAACGACATGCCACTGGCTTTGAGTAAAGCCAGTGTGTCTATGTATGCGGATAACTCAACACTATACACATCAGCTACCACAGCAACTGAAATGACAGCAACACTTAACAAAGAGCTGCACTTAGTTTCAGAATGGGTGGCAAGGAATAAGTTAGTCCTAAATATTTCAAAAACGAAAAGCATTGTATTTGGGACAAATAATTTACTAAACCCTAAACCTCAACTAAATCTTGTAATGAATAATGTGGAAATTGAGCAAGTTGAGGAGACTAAATTTATTGGAGTAACCCTGGATTGTAAACTGTCATGGTCAAAACATATTGATACAACAGTAGCTAGGATGGGGAGAAGTCTGTCTATAATAAAGCACTGCTCTGCATTCTTAACAGCACTATCAACAAGGCAGGTCCTACAGGCCCTAGTTATGTCGCACCTGGACTACTGTTCAGACGTGTGGTCAGGTGCCACAAAGAGGGACTTAGGAAAATTGCAATTGGCTCAGAACAGGGCAGCACGGCTGGCCCTTGGATGTATTACATTTACATTTACATTTTAGTCATTTAGCAGACGCTCTTATCCAGAGCGACTTACAGTTAGTGAATACATATTTTTTTATATATACTGGCCCCCCGTGGGAATTGAACCCACAACCCTGGCGTTGCAAACGCCATGCTCTATCAACTGAGCTACATCCCTGCCGGCCATTCCCTCCCCTACCCTGGACGACGCTGGGCCAATTGTGCGCCACCCATGAGTCTCCCGGTCGCGGCCGGCTGCGACAGAGCCTGGATTCGAACCAGGATCTCTAGTGGCACAGTTAGCACTGCGATGCAGTGCCTTAGACCACTGCGTACACAGAGGGCTAACAATAATATGCATCTCAATCTCTCCTGGCTCAAAGTGGAGAAGAGATTGACTTCATCACTACTTGTATTTGTGAGAGGTATTGACATGTTGAATGCACCGAGCTGTCTGTTTAAACTACTGGCACACAGCTCGGACACCCATGCATACCCCACAAGACATGCCACCAGAGGTCTCTTTACAGTCCCCAAGTCAAGAACAGACATAGAGCCATGACTACATGGAACTATTCCACATCAAGTAACTCATGCCAGCAGTAAAATTAGATTAAAAAAACATAAAAATCCACCTTATGGAACAGCGGGGACTGTGAAGCAACACAAACATAGACACATGCATACAAAGACAAGATAACATACGCACTATACACACATGGAGTTTGTGTTATAGATATGTGGTAGTAGAGTAGAGGCCTGAGGACACACACTTAATATGTTGTGAAATCAGTTATGAATGTATTGTAAAAAAATTTAAATGTATAACTGCCTTAATTTTGCTGGACCCCAGGAAGAGTAGCTCATGGGGATCCATAATAAATACAAATAGAGGGGAATCCCACCTTCCCAACGGTGCAGATTTATTTAGGCTACCTACTACAGTGCCGGTGGAAAGACGACAACCACATTAATGGTTAGTTAGTTAGTTAGCTATATAACTCTTAGTCTATTGTCTGTCATTATTTCATACCTGCTGCTGAAATGTCGCGCTCCCTCTCTTCCAGCAACGGCCCACTCGCACTGGCACACACACACAGGCACTGAAAAGTCATTCCAATGATGACTGCTATGTAGACTTTTAAGTGTTTACAAATATTGTAAAAAGTGTGCATTCATGAATTACATTAACAAAAATTATTAAACTAATTTCCATGACTTTTCATGACCTTAGAAACCCTCCATGTGCATTCAGGCTGGGGCATTTTCAATCTGCGCATCTCGAACAGTCCACTGTCACGCACAGATTGACAGACGAGCGGCGAATCAGGAATCAGGAAATGAATGCACACACACACACCATTGCTATTCAATGCAGATCCCGCCTTCATTCCGCTTTGATCAACCTTTTTTGAATCTGGGCCGACAATAGGCTACTTTGTTTTATAGAGGAGCTGGTGCATAATTCCCCCAAAATTAGACGTGCTGGTACGGCGCTCCGGACAGCTCCGGCCCAAATCAAGTACTGGCATCATATTATTCTTTAAGAATATTAATATATCATATAATTATACTTCAAAAACATTAAAACTAGGGCATTTTGAAATTATAAAAATGACTTTGCAAGCAATCAGTGTACAGTGTACGGGAACATCATGTGAATTAAGTTTTGTATTTAACACAACTGCAAGAAATCATTACTGTTGCAGGACTGTAAAATGTTTAAGCACACATGCGCACACACACGGTAAGGTTACTCAAACAACAGTCCATCAAACCTATTTGATCACTGTGGCAGATAGCGAGGTGTCTGTTTAACCCTCAGCCTTTCCTTCATTACAGGATCAGTTGACCTCACTCTTTTCCTCTCCTTTATTGCTCTTTCAAACTTCCTCTTCTCTCCTTCTCACGTTCACCTCATCCTCATTCCTCTGTCACTCACACTCGTTCTCGCTCTCCTCCATTCTCACTTTCACTCGCTCTCTTTTTCTTTCTCTCTCTTTTTCTGTCTCACCGGCAGTCCAGGTATCTGTTCTGGTGGTAGATGGTTAGGCTGGTGAGGTCCCCCTGCAAATCTCCAAACCTCGGCTTAGCAGACATGTTAGTACACAGCAGGAACCCACAGAGCACATCCCTGAGAGGGGGAGAAAAGAAGATAGAGGGAGAGAAAGAGAGGGGAGAGAGACGTTTCTTCCCAGGACAATGTGTCAAACATGGCGTGTGCTTGAGAGTGAGGTACACTGTGTACATAAGAAATGTGAGGTTTAAAGAGGTTTGTGGTCACTCACTGCTTGTTGCACTGCACCCAGCCCTGGCCACTGGTGTCACGGCCACAGTTGCCCTTCTCTGTGCCCTCGGCGTTCAGCTTCTCATAGCAGAAACGGTCGGCTGAGTCTGAAACACATGCAAAAGCACACACACATTTTGCAGCACCATGTTATTACACTTCACTATACTTTATTGCAGTACTTAACTGATAGCAATGTCATGGCATCATCATCATAAATGTGTGGTGTGAATTATAATATGACAACTGCTGGTATTTCAGGACCTACAGTATTAATTACAGTATAAATTGCACTGCCATGCAATTCCTGACATATCCATTAAAAGTAGAAAAGCAGACCAAGTGGAGATTTTTTGTATGGAGGTCATTGCCATTGTTTTTGTTTTTAGTTTTTTTTTTAGGGGGTAGATCAGCTTTAATATTGCAGATAGATTGTAACTTCCATCAATGTAATTGTCTGCATCACTTCCAATCCCCCATATGTTTTTTTTCCTCGCAAATATATATACACATATACATATAGTGGGGAGAACAAGTATTTGATACACTGCCGATTTTGCAGGTTTTCCTACTTACAAAGCATGTAGAGGTCTGTAATTTTTATCATAGGTACACTTCAACTGTGAGAGACGGAATCTAAAACAAAAATCCAGAAAATCACATTGTATGATTTTTAAGTTATTAATTTGCATTTTATTGCATGACATAAGTATTTGATACATCAGAAAAGCAGAACTTAATATTTGGTACAGAAACCTTTGTTTGCAATTACAGAGATCATACGTTTCCTGTAGGTCTTGACCAGGTTTGCACACACTGCAGTAGCGATTTTGGCCCACTCCTCCATACAGACCTTCTCCAGATCCTTCAGGTTTCGGGGCTGTCGCTGGGCAATACGGACTTTCAGCTCCCTCCAAAGATGTTCTATTGGGTTCAGGTCTGGAGACTGGCTAGGCCACTCCAGGACCTTGAGATGCTTCTTACGGAGCCACTCCTTAGTTGCCCTGGCTGTGTGTTTCGGGTCGTTGTCATGCTGGAAGACCCAGCCACGACCCATCTTCAATGCTCTTACTGAGGGAAGGAGGTTGTTGGCCAAGATCTCGCGATACATGGCCCCATCCATCCTCCCCTCAATACGGTACAGTCGTCCTGTCCCCTTTGCAGAAAAGCATCCCCAAAGAATGATGTTTCCACGTCCATGCTTCACGGTTGGGATGGTGTTCTTGGGGTTGTACTCATCCTTCTTCCTCCAAACACGGCGAGTGGAGTTTAGACTAAAAAGCTCTATTTTTGTCTCATCAGACCACATGACCTTCTCCCATTCCTCCTCTGGATCATCCAGATGGTCATTGGCAAACTTCAGACAGGGCCTGGACATGCGCTGGCTTGAGCAGGGGGGACCTTGCGTGCGCTGCAGGATTTTAATCCATGACGGCGTAGTGTGTTACTAATGGTTTTCCTTTGAGACTGTGGTCCCAGCTCTCTTCAGGTCATTGACCAGGTCCTGTCGTGTAGTTCTGGGCTGATCCCTCACCTTCCTCATGATCATTGATGCCCCACGAGGTGAGATCTTGCATGGAGCCCCAGACCGAGGGTGATTAACCGTCATCTTGAACTTCTTCCATTTTCTAATAATTGCGCCAACAGTTGTTGCCTTCTCACCAAGCTGCTTGCCTATTGTCCTGTAGCCCATCCCAGCCTTGTGCAGGTCTACAATTGTATCCCTGATGTCCTTACACAGCTCTCTGGTCTTGGCCATTGTGGAGAGGTTGGAGTCTGTTTGATTGAGTGTGTGGACAGGTGTCTTTTATACAGGTAACGAGTTCAAACAGGTGCAGTTAATACAGGTAATGAGTGGAGAACAGGAGGGCTTCTAAAAAAAAAACTAACAGGTCTGTGAGAGCCGGAATTCTTACTGGTTGGTAGGTGATCAAATTCTTATGTCATGCAATAAAATGCAAATTAATTACTTAAAAATCATACAATGTGATTTTCTGGATTTTTGTTTTAGATTCCGTCTCTCACAGTTGAAGTGTACCTAGGATAAAAATTACAGACCTCTACATGCTTTGTAAGTAGGAAAACCTGCAAAATCGGCAGTGTATCAAATACTTATTCTCCCCACTGTATATATACACACATACATATACACACACACACACACACACACACACACACATATACATACACACACACACATACACATACATACACTTTTTAAAAATGTTTTCCCCTTTATTATCTTCCAACCCCACCACCCCTTCCCTAATTGGAGTAAACTAGTGAACAACAATGCTTAGGCCTCTACTTCCAGCTTATACAAACTATATACATTTTATGGACACAGTCAATTTTTACAATAATTCTATTTTGTTTGTTTTTACTCCTGAACTTCCTCTACCCTCAACCTCTCCGATCATTTTCAGGTCATTGCCATTGTTAGAGCAGTCAGTCCAGTATATTGTCAGTATATAGATAATCTTTGTTATTACTCACTGTGGCCCCAGAGACTCCTGCACTGTCCATCTCTGGTCTTACAACGACCTCCGAAACAACGACCCTGGGAGAGAGTGAGAGAGAGAGATAGACAAGAGAGGAGAGATAGAGAGAGAGAAGGAAAGAGATAGTGCAAGACAGTATTATATGTATTAGAGGTACAGTATTATTTGTATATCTACAAAACAGAGAGACAGATCCAGACAAAAATTAGGTCATAAAAGCCATTATGTTGGATTCAGTTACCTGGCCAGCATCACACATGTAGCCATCCAGTTTGTGGACATTATGAGGACACTGCAGAAGGGGAACAACAGAGTGTATAAATGAGCCTAGTTGACATATTCAATTGTACAACGCACACATACATAGTCAAAGTATGGTAGGCTACATCCCAGCAGAGAGTTTGAAAAGGATATACTTGCACATCTAGTAAGAATAAAAGTTTGCACACTAAGAGCTTACTTTTTAGGGGTTTTGCAAAAACTAAAAGTGAAACTTTGCAACCAAGCAGTGTGTGGGAGTTATACAGTATATTCACGTTGGCATTGCGCTGCGAGTAAAATAGTAGTGTACAAAATGAGGATACCATGAACCTATGTATGCACGCATGACTGTAAGTCGCTTTGGATAAAAGCGTCTGCTAAATGGCATATTATCATTATTATTTAACACCGACTTAGCGAATTAGCCGTCTCACCTGGCTGGAGTCTCCGGGACACGTCTCCGGGACGTCACAGTCGTTGGTCACTTCGCGACACGTCACCCCCCTGAGCTCGTACTGTCACACACAGTAATCACAATTTTCACAGCACCAATTTTATTCTATAGGTAACTGTAATTATACATGAAAACTACAAATGTATATAATAATGTAAAACTTCAGTCAGAAATGCCAATCAATCTGTGGCTGATATCAGTTCAAGTTAAATAATGGAAAATGTCTAGTTGCAAGAAGTTAATAAGACAGTCATCCTAGTGGTGTACCCATGTAACAGTGTAGTGTTAGTGTATTTGAGATGAAGTGGTACTCACCCTGCAATCTCCACAGCAGAGGCCATTGCTGCACATGGCATTGTGGGTCAGGGTGCACTTCTTACAGCAGGCTCCTCCACTCCGCGCACAATCCTGCAACCATGTGACACATTCTTGTAACCACACACAGAATACTAAATGCAGAGGCGTCTTCATGCTTCCCATCCGAAACAGTTCGGAAAAGTTTGTGCATATATTATGATGACATTTTGTGACGTTTTTGTTCGTTTTTTGTTTTCCGGCTGTTTGTGCACACATTTTTTTCTCGAGTCAAGACGAATTTCGGTAGCAGAAATTCAGTAAGGAACAGTAAGGATTCTTTAATGAAGTGTTTGTTGTCATTCTACGATAGACAACTTGTTTTCATGCACATTTTTTCACTTGAGATATACTGCACCAAACATCTTAGTTAGATGAACAACAAAATGAATGACAGATTTCTCGAGTTATCTTAGATTAATTCTATTTTGAGGAAGTGTATACTGGCTACGGCGTCTCAAAATGGACAAACAGTACTATTGCCGCTTTTTTCAAATTTTTCAAGCGAAGGTCTTTTAAGGGAGTATGCGAGCACACTCGTTTGTTTCGGCTAGGCACCAGCTGAACCGAAGCATGCAGAAGCCCTTAAGGGTTTTACTGTAGGACTCACCACATGGGATCCACAGTCACACTCCTCCCCCACCTCCACAAAGCCATTGCCACACTCTGGAGAGTCCAGCAGCTATAGGGAACACAACAGGGGGACATGAGTCAACACAGGAACCAAAAACAATGTCTTGTTTTAATGTTTTCTGGCATTCTCAGAATGTAACTTCCTCCATCACCACCTTCCCTGCACCATTTCCACCAACCCCAGCCAGAGCTCACATTGCTGGGCTTATTGAAGAGGCAGCTGCCCCCACCCTGCTGGAGAAAGCGAAGGTACTCATCCACACTGCAGCGAGAGAACTTCCTAGGAAGATAGTAGCCGGTGTCCTCCATGATGCAGCCCAGCCATGGGTCGGGACACCTGCAGTCCCCTATAGGGCCACAGAGTCAAGGACATGTCACATGACGGGGGACAAGACCAGGGTCGTCTTACTTACTGTAAAACACTTTGTGACAACTGTTGATGTAAAAAGGGCTTTATAAATAACATTTGATTGAATTTGAAAAGAAGCTGCTACGCTGTTTACATTGCGGCAGGTTGAGCTTGCGTCCTATTTTCTGTGACAGTGTGTACAGAAGTTGTTGAGGTGGATGGACGTAGGTCTTACCAGCCGTGGGGTGCTCCTTGTTCCACATCATGCCAATGTTCTGCCCCAGGCTCTGACACAAGGTGATGGCCATGGGACCCACGTTTCCGTACTAAAACACACACAAGACAAGTGAAAAAACACACACACGCATTGTATTTAGCTACTTCCAAACAGGTTTTCACTCGGCTACGCCTCAGAAGTCTTGTACTCCGAATTGGAATACCCCTACCCTATAGGCACCCCACCTTCGTTCTTTTGTGGAGTTGGGAGAGTCAATGACTGTAAAATGACTGTCAAAACAAAAGGCATTACCTCGTTGACACCTCCTCCCCGCGTTAGGGAACAGATACCCCCGATGTAGGCTGTGCCACTGCGGCTGCTCTGGAAGGTCCTCCCCCTACAGGACACACAGGGGATAACAGGAGCTATCATCAAGTTTTAATGTAGCGTGCACAAGTACAGTGAAATGCCTTTCTTGCCAGCTCTAAACCCAACAATGCAGTAATCAATAGCAATGTAGTACTAAAAATAACATAAGGTAGAACAAAAACACACAATAAATAAAAATAAGAAGAACACGAGAAAGTAAGAAGCTATATACAGGGTCAGTTCCAATACCATATTTACAATGTGCAGGGATACTGTATAGGTGTACATGCCACGTGTACTAAGACAGGTGTAATAACATGCTTATAACAGTCTCTATTGACTTTCCCCCTGTCCACTTACGTCAGGCAGTATCAAGCACCGAATAAAATAGAAGTACAGAATAGACATAGGCATTCCGGCAATATGACTATTGTGTGTATTATATTGTGTCTGTATGGTTTCAAGTGTTATGAGGGGAGAACCCACGAGAAGAGGTGTGTGGCATCGCTGTGCTCCTTGATGCTCTCCTTCCTGTACTTCATAAAGTCCCTCAGGGTCAGCAAAGGGTCATCGCCCACGGACACCATGTTCTGGGATGACCACGTCTCCATGGCAACCAGCACTATCCGCGTGTTGAGCTGCTCCTTGTAGATCTGAGGTCAAAGAGTCACGATGACAATGAGCAACTAAGTCGATGACAATGAGCAACTAAGTAAACCATTGCTGGAACAACTATACATGTCATCTTGTCACCCAGAACTAAATCAGCTACTCGGTTTTGGTCAACATTTAAATGTTAAGGCTGCCACCAGAGATTACTATACAGGATATATTTCCCTAACACTATGATGTAATGAACTGTAGTTCATTTGAAAGAAATTTCTCAAGTACACAATTTTAACTGATTTTGATGTATAATAGCTAGATGATAAGCACAACTGATATAAACCTGTTTATCAATACTGACAGTAACATCTCAGAGTAAACAAGGAAACATAAAAAATCCAAAGTGGATATGGAATGTATGTGTGTTAGCGGTTGACACGGGAGTGACATTTTTTTCCCTGTACTGTCACGATCCCGCAACAATTCTATAACCCTGACAGTATGTTTAAAATTATTCCTGTACTGCCCGTTCCTGTGAGGACTGTTGATCCTGCCACGAACTTGACATTAGGATTTCATTCCCGTTACTGAGGGAGTCCCGCAGGATCCGCACGGGCCTAAGGTAATGTCAACCTCTAGTGTGTATGTCTGCGTGTGTCTGTAGAGGTAGATGGCTCTCACCGCGTCTGCCATATTGACGACCGCTTTGGCAAAGTTCCTCGTCTGCGACGACGACCGACGCAGCTGCACAAACTACAGCACACAGCAGAGGAAAGGACCAAGAGCAGAGGGTGGGAGGGGAGGAGAGAAACAGAGATAGCCATATTGACCAATTACAATAAATAAACAACCGAAACCATAATATTAGGTTACGTAGGACAGTGATCCTTATTCCTGCTCATGGATAGCTGTTACAGGTTCTTGCTCAACGTTGAAACACCCGATTCAGCTCATCATTAGTTGAATCACGTGTGATGACCAAAACCAAAAACCTGCAGTACTGTTGCTCTCCAGGAGCAGGATTGAGGATCACTGATGTAGGGCATGTCAATGCACTCTCTGACAACATGAACCAAGTAAGTTGTGGCCATTCGATTTGGTTTTCCATTTGCAATCAAATAGAATGATGTACAGTGCCTTCAGAAAGTATTCACATCCCCCTTGACCTTTTCCACATTTTGTTGTGTTACAAAGTGGGATTAAAATTGATTTAATTGTCATTTTTTTGTCAACGATATACACACACAATACTCTAATGTCAAAGTGGAAGAAATATTCTAACATTCGTATAAATGTATGGAAAATAAAACACCCTGGGTGAATACATGTTAGAATCACCCTTGGCAGCAATTACAGCTGTGAGTCTTTCTGGGTCAGTCTCTAAGAGCTTTCCACACCTGGATTGTGCAACGTTTGCTCATTATTATTTTCAAAATTCTTCAAGCTCTGTCAAATTGGTTGTTGATCATTGCTAGACAAGCATTTTCAGGTCTTGCCATAGATTTTCAAGCAGATTTTAGTCAAAACTGTAACTCAGCCACTCAGAAACGTTCAATGTCTTCTTTGTAAGCAACTCCAGTGTAGATTTGGCCTTGTGTTTTAGTTTTGTTGTCCTGCTGAAATGTGAATTAATCTCCCCAGTGTCTGGTGAAAAGCAGACTGAACCAGGTTTTCCTCTAGGATTTTGCCTGTGCTTAGCTCCATTCCGTTAATTTTTTTATCCTGAAAAACGCCCCAGTCCTTAACAATTACAAGCATCCCATAACATGATGCAGCCCCCACTATGCTTAAAAATATGGAGAGTGGTACTCAGTAATGCGTTTTATTGGATTTGCCTAAACCATAACACTTTTTATTCAGGCCAAAAAGTGAATTGCTTTGTAATTTTCTTTGCGGTATTACTTTTGTGCCTTATTTTGTACAGGCTTCCTTCTTTTCACTATGTCATTTAGGCTAGTATTGTGGAGTAACTACAATGTTGATCCATCCTCAGTTTTCTCCCATCACAGCCATTAAACTCTAACTGTTTTAAAATCACCATTGGCCTCATGGTGAAATCACTGAGCGGTTTCCTTCCTCTCCGGCAACTGAGTTAGAAAGGACACCTGTATCTTTGTAGTGACTGGGTGTATTGATACACCATCCAAAGTGTAATGAATAACTTCACCATGCTCAAAATTATATTTAATGTCAGCTTTTGTTTTTACCCATCTATCAATAGGTGCCCTTCTTTGCGAGGAACTGGAAAACCTCCCTTGTCTTTGTGGTTGAATCTGTGTTTGAAATTCACTGCTCGACTGAGGGACCTTACAGATAATTGTATGTGTGGGGTACAGAGATGAGGTAGTCATTCACTGTTAAACACTATTATTTCACACAAGTGAGTCTATGCAAGTTTTGTGACTTGATTAGCACATTTCTACTCCTGATCTTATTTAGGATTGCCATAACAAAGGGCTTGAATACTTATTGACTCTAGCGATTTCATCTTTAAAAAATAAATCACTTTAACATTATGGGGTATTATTTGTAGGTCAGTGAAACAAAATCCCAATTTAATCAATTTTAAATTCAGGCTGTAATACAACAAAATGTGGAAAAAGTCAAGAGGTGTGAATACTTTCTGAAGGCACTATATGCCTAGCCTATGTCGACTTGAACGTACCAGGTCGTGATCGTTCACCACCATCAGCTCGATGTACTTGGTCTCTGTCTGGACCGTGCGTTGTCCGCGTCTGACCTGTTGGGGGGTGAGAGAGCGCTGCTTCACTTCAGCCTGGTACATCTGCAATGGCACCCTATTCACCCTATGGGCCCTGAGGCCCGGTTTCCCAATAGCGATGGAATTTAGGCATGAGTGTTTTAACGATGCAGTTTTCCTACAAACGCAGAAGATGTAACATGCATTTCCCAAAACGGTCTCTAAGTGCGTCGTTGGAGCATTTGTCGATACTGATAGGATCGAAAGAAAGGGAGCACTGCTCTTGGATCAGCTTTCTCCATTCAAAATTTACCTTAACATTATAATTATTTCACAACACTGACGACGGATCAGTTTCTAGAGAGATATTACCAACAATTTGGAAAATCATTAAGCACATGTTAGACTACACATCATGAACTATATTGAGACACATTACAGACAGTAGCCTACACATAGCTAAATATAACTCAATTTATTGAACATGAAATGTATTTCAATTTATTGATATAGGCCTATAGCCTAACAACATTATATTTTAATGCAGTCATCTCGGTTTTCATTTGAAGCATATTTTTATATGTCACTTGTTTGTATCAACTGCAAAGATATTGGCAACTTTGTATTTGTAGGCAACTTTGTTCTGAAGTTGTCGACGGTTACAGAGAGACTGATTATCCATGTGATACTATGTTTAGCGGAGATCTTCTGTGTGTAAAGTGAAACGATGGCAAAACAGCATCTAACGACGCACTTAGTGTTTTCAAGTTCAACGTTAACAACGATGGTCTTGGGAAATAGCTCGGAGATTTAACGATGCGCCTACGAAGGTTCAAAAGATGAACTTAGCCTTAAGATGCTTTTCGGAAACCGGGCCCTGGTCAAAAGTAGTGCACTATATAGGGAATAAGGTGCCATTTCACATGCAGCCTTATTCACCCCCATTGAGGACACATACCTACTAACCATATTGGAATCTACCGCAGCTACTGCAGATGAAACTCTATAGCCCAGGTTCTTGTCCTTGAGAAGGGCACCAAAACTTTGATTTCAGCCTCGATTCATCTGCTATTAAATCGCTATGTGTCTGAAAGTGATATAACGGTGGCTGGCTCTGGTTACTTGGGCATTCTACTCTTACTACACAACAGCCAATATGTAAGGGATATTTGTGAGCACATCACGATTATAAATTGATTGTGTTACGTGTGAGATTAAATGTGTTACATTGTAAAACATTGATTGCGTTGTGTCATTGTATCGTGTTACATTATGGGTTTGTTCTCAGTTTTTGTTAGTGTCTCTGCAAGCAGTGTGCATTTGGCAACAGTGTGCTGCAACTGTAGCTATGTGTGCGGCAACAGTGGGTGTTTACAGGTGTATGTGTATATGTGTTCGCAGGTGCATGAGTGTGTATGCCTGCATTAATGTGTGTGTGCCAGCTTATCAGGACATCAGGTCCTCACCTGTCTCTTTGTACGTCTCAACCCTTCCTCTATGAAGATTGGCTCCTCCGGCTCTGACAAGATACCATCATCATCACCAGCAGGGTCAGTGTCATTTTCAGAGTTCCCTTCAGTGTCACTGCTGTTCAATGAGCAACCTGTGAAGGAGGGGGAAAAAGGAGGAAGGGAGGGGGCAAATGGGTAGGAGTGCGGAAGGGGAGAGTGAAGAGGATGAGAGGAGAGAGAACAGGGTAGGAGAGCGAAGAGGTGATATGAGCAGTGCACACTCATCAGTCCCTTCTGTCAATGAAGCCATGTCCATTTTTGTCAAATGATCCACAGAGGAAATCAATATCCTGCAGACAGTGTGGAGGGGTGGTGTGGTGGGGGGAGGCCATATGAAAACCAAGGAGAGGACAAGGAGGGCAGCCAGAAAGCAGGAGACAGGGAGAGAGAGAGAAGGAGAGAGAGAGCGAGAGAGAGAGAGAGTGAAAGGATGGGCATGTACTATGTCCCTGTCGAGAGGAAAGGTGACTGAAGCAGCGGTGCTTATGGAAGAGCAAAAATGAACACAGATGGAAAAAACAGAGTATTTTAAGGCTGTAGGACTGGAGACAAGAGGAAAGGAGGAGGCGAGGACAAGACTCCAATTTAGACTATTGAGATGCACCCCAAAAAGACATAGCCAAAGGTAGGGGATGACAGACACAGAGGAGAGATGGGTTAGTTAAAGGCTTTACCTGGACATTGCAGTGACAGTAGCAGGTCCAGGTCAGGCATTCGATACACCACGTGATCGTTCTGCTCCTACAGCAGTACACAGAGCCACAACAGCGTTAGAACCAATGGCAATGCAATATTTATATTGTGGGATTGGTGGATGTTGGTTAAGACAGTTGTAAATACAGAAAAAGTTAGTACCCTCCATTCTTATGATATATTGGTTGGCAATGATTAAGTGCTATCACTGTTATTGACTGATCATCTTTTTCCCCCTGTGCAAGACGGCAATATGTTCTCTAATATACACAAACATATATGGACACCCCTTCAAATGAGTGGATTCGGCTATTTCAGCCACACCCGTTGCTGACAGGTGTATAAAATCGAGCACACAGCCATGCAATCTCCATAGACAAATGTTGGCAGTAGAATGGCCCGTACTGTAGAGCTCAGTGTCTTTCAACGTGGCACCGTCATAGGATGCCACATTTCCAACAAGTCAGTTCGTCAATTTTCTGCCCTGCTAGAGCTGCCCTGGTCAACTGTAAGTGCTGTTATTGTGAAGTGGAAACATCTAGGAGCAAAAACAGGCCACACAAGCTCACAAGCTCACAGAACGGGACCACCGAGTGCTGAAGAGTAAAAATTGTCTATCCTTGGTTACAACACTCACTACCGAGTTCCAAACTGCATCTGGAAGCAACTTCAGCACAAGAACTGTTCGTCGGGAGCTTCATGAAATGGGTTTCCCATGGCCGAGCAGCCAGACACAAGCTTAAGATCACCATGCACAATGCCAAGTGTCAGTTGGATTGGTGTAAAGCTCGCCGCCATTAGACTCTGGAGCAGTGAAAACGCATTCTCTCACGCTTCACCATCTGGCAGTACGACAGACAAATCTGGGTTTGGCGGATACCAGGAAAACACTACCTGCCCCAATGCATAGTGCCAACTGTAAAGTCTGGTGGAGGAGGAATAATGTTCTGGGGCTGATTTTCATGGTTCGGGCCCCTTAGTTCCAGTGAAGGGAAATCTTAACACTACAGCATAAAATGACATTCTAGACAATTCTGTACTTCCGACTTGGTGGCAACAGTTTAGGGAAGGCCCTTCCTTGTTTCAGCATGACAACGCCCCCGTGCACAAAGTGAGGTCCATACAGAAATGGTTTGTCGAGATCGGTGTGGAAGAACTTGACTGGCCTGCACAGAGCCCTGACCTCAACCCCATTGAACACCTTTGGGATGACTTGGAACGCCGACTGCGAGCCAGGCCTAATTGCCTAACATCAGTGCCCGACCTCACTAATGCTCGTGGCTGTAGGGAAGCAAGTCCCCGCAGCAATGTTCCAACATCAAGTGGAAAGCCTTCCAGAAAAGAGTGGAGGCTGATAGAGCAGCAGAGGGGGGACCAACTCCATATTAATGCCCATGATTTTGGAATGAGATGTTCGATGAGCAGCATACTTTTGGTCATGTAGTGTATGAGTAATAAAAAAAGAGCAAAGCGCCATAATGCATAATTGATCCATTGCTTTCAGGATGGCATCATCGAGCATTTGAGGGCTGCATGGAGAGTCTAACTTGAGCAGAGGAGCTAAATACTTTATGAAAATGACCCATCTGGGGAAAAGGGGAGGGGAAGGGAGGCCATCCGATATTCAGGAGGGAGAACGAGAGGGTGGGGGAGAGGTCACATCGATCTATCGTTCCAGTCCATGTAATGGAGCTGTGTACTGTACCTCAATTACCCGTCGTCCTAATGGAATAGCCTTCCGCCTCTTCTATCCTACCCCTCACTTTTCCTCTCCTTTTCTTCCAAACTCTTTTCTGTTTTGCAGCCCAAACTGATCTCTCAAAAGGAGAGGTCCACAAAGTAGCGGAGTATGGGACATAGCCATAATATGCATAATATCACTTTGGTTTACATATTATATCATCCTATATCCTGCATCCTATACTGGTGCTGCTTCCCCTAACATCCAAGGCTGGGAGAGAACGTATTTTCCCCACTACTCACGTTTGATCTAAATATATGGCTCTGGGATGAACTATACACACAGTGCATAATCATGTTAGAGCCAAGTGTATTACTTATTTGTCTACAGACATCAAGGATTGCGTCCTCTGTGGGGTTTCTAATGTATGGCTGGGACCAGAAACTTTACATGTAAATATAAAATGGCTTTGGCTTGGATGGCAAACAGGGGGTTATAGTTCATCCTGGACAGGAGGAGGAGACAGATGGGACAAAGGTTAAAGTGATAGCTTCAAAGACTTCCAACGATTTAGCACTGAATGGTCTTGGAGATATATGGGAAGAAAGAAAAATCAGAAAAAGAGGAAGAATAGATTCAGCTGTCATTTCCATCAAGCCCACATTCCGTTATTCACTTTTACACAGTAGCTCATTTTTCCATGGTCAAACAAAATCAGAATGTTTTTTGGGTAGTTTAAAAGCCTACTAGCACTTCCAGACTAACTATATGCTTCCAGATTTCACAATAAGAAGTGCGTGCAGGCTGTAGTTTGTAAAGGAAAACACTGCACAAACATTGCTATGGTGCGTTTTATTGAATTCCAGCCTTAGAATTGGTAGTTAGTTCTGTCTCTCACACTAACACTCCACACTCTACACCATGGGACTGTGTTTCAACTCAATACTTTTCATACTGCAACACACAGATGGAGTAACACTGTCTGTACTGCCAGTGAGTGAGAGAGGGAGAGATAAAGAGGGAAAGAGAGGAGGAACAGACGGTCTCTACTGAGCAGTATGTTGGAGCCACTTTAGAGACAAAATCCACCAGCAACTCCCCATTTTTCTTCTAAGGGTATCCACCCCTCCATCCTCTTCCCTTATTCATACTCACCTCATCACTGGTATTGAGAACAGGCTCAATCCCATAGGAAAAGTTCCCATCGGAAAACATCCCACTGGAGAGAGATAGAAAACAAGAGTGAGGCTAGTAGAGTTAGTAGTAGCAAATGGGAACACTGGTAGGGTTTGCAGATAGAGAAAAACAGTGGGCATGGAATGGGCAGAGGGTGGGCATAGCCTTGACTCACCGTAATCCATGGCAGGTAGAGAGAGCTACCCACGAGCCTGGTACCCCCCTCAGCCACCCATGGTAGTAACAGTGTTCCCCTCCCTGTAAACACACACACAGCATTAAAATCTACTTTGCCCTCCCAAGTTAAACAAAGGAAGGCACGAGTCGATGAAATAGAGTCAGCTAACCAAAGACGAAAATGCAATCAACACCACTGATTAAGTGTGAAGCAACACCCCCCAGGAGTGGGTCTAAATGAGCTGCTTGGTCAACAAAGCTATATCAGTAACTACTATAAATCAGAGGAGAGAACCCACACCTACAGTGGGTACTGATGCGTGAAGAATAGACAGCAGAGACTATATTTCATCACCAGACAGGTGTGGGTGAGAATCAGATGTGTGTGTGTATTAGAATAGGAAAACATCAGTGTCTGTGTGTCACTCAGTCAGTCAGTGTAATGAACACCAATAAGTTATGCACCACTGTCATCTGAGCCCACTGTCGTCTCGCACGCTAAACAACAGAAGAAAAGCTGCGTTCAAGTGGAGCAGACTATAACTGTTTACACCGTTCAAGCAACAACCTGGGGCTAGTGTTTTTTTCCCGCTTGGTCAAACCTTACTCCAACCTGTATCCAACCAACCAGACAGACCAAGGCTGAATATCAATAGACTACAGTGGCCCCCTCTCCTCTGCGCTTTCCTTTATCTGCACTGGTCTGAAAACCCAAGCCAGACTAAAGCAACATGACCGATTCCTTTCCAGCAACATGCTTTCACCCGTCCAGTTCTTTTTCCAGAATGAAGGCAAGATTTTGTATGAGCTAGCCATAATGACCCTTAGTGTAGCTTAGCTTCATTTCTCTCCTGTAGCGGTTTAGCATGCGAGCTAGCCATAATGAACCGTAGCTTCATTCCTCTCCTGTAACGGTTTAGCATGCGAGCTAGCCATAATGAACCTTAGCTTCATTTCTCTACTGTAGCGGTTTAGCATGCGAGCTAGCCATAATGAACCTTAGCTTCATTTCTCTACTGTAGCGGCAAAGATAAAAGGGGAAACACAGACAGGTAATGAAAAAAGTATGACAATTTATGAACTCACTACTGTAAGTTGCTCTGGATAAGAGCGTCTGCTAAATGACTAAAATGCAAATGTCACATGGAGTAAAAACCTGAAGCATCCAGTGGGGGCTTCCACTCACCACCAAATATGGTGATGAGATTAAGTTCAGTGTGAGTAGGCAGAGGGCGAAGATGGAGCAAGATTAAACTGGGCCGACATTCTGCTAATTTTATCATAGATAAAACATTCAATTTCAATATAGTTTTCTGTTCCCAAAACTAAAATCTGTTACGAACAGAGTGCACTAAGTTTTGTAGACTTTACCCATTGCCAAAGTAAAAAAAAAAAAAAAAGGCTTTGTTTAGAAGGAGTGCAATGGCAGTTAGAGTTCTTGGCTTGCACATGTGCACTTCAGAGAGTAGGCGTTCACTAACAGAAAGGAGCAAATACATGATAAAATGCGCCAATTGGGTCGCGTAAGCTCTTGCTTGGCTCTGCCCATGTCCTTCCTTGTCCTGAGAACTGTCCTTCTGTGGTTTCCATTGTAAAAAGCCCATTTGTCCCATCTTGGCTTAGTTAAAAGTATATTTGGTAGCGGTTTACCATGAGCTAGCCATAATGAACGTTAGCTTAGCTTCATTCCTCTCCTGTAGCGGTTTAGCATGAGCTAACCATAATGAAACTTGGCTCTCTTCATTAGTCAACTGTAGTGGTTTAGAATGAGTTGCCATAATAAACTCTAGCTTGGCGTTAGCTTAATTTCTCCTGTGTCTTTAGTGGGTGAGACAATGGGGCCATTCACACCAATTAGGGAGGAAGCCCAGTCAGAGCACTTAGCACGGGACTGAGATAAATAAATAGATAAATAAATAAAGGGCAGGATTACAAGGGTAAGTGGAGGAAATCAGATTGGCTCACACTCTGCTGTGGCCATTAGCGAAGGAGGTGGATTGAGTGTCCTTTCAGAGGAGGAGAGGCCAGACACATCCACACACACACACACACACTTTCAGAGGAGAGGCAGGATGGAGGGGGGAGGGGGGGGGGGGGTCATTCAAGTATAATAGACTACTGAGATGCTAGTCAAGAAATAAGTGGTTTCATCTAACATGCAGGAATGCATATTTCAATATGATTTAATATTTTGATGTGCAACCTAATCCAGTGATTGTCATGAATTTTGGGTTGACAAATAGGCCATTGATATATTTTACTGTCGGAATAGGTCTTCAGATTGTTATTTATATTTTCTTGTACACTATTATCATAGGCTAATTCATTTGGGACTAATTCACCACTTGAGGAAGTGGAAACTCAAAACACATTAGCCAGATCGCTGCTAGTATCCATGTATAAATCTAACAGTAAATGTAATGTCCTAATCAAAAATTTTAATGTATCTCAAAGCCATATCATATATCTTGTTTGTAAAATAGTTGCTACTCAGCTCAATATTGAGAAATAAATATTATACCTACAAACATGGTATTGTTTGTAGGTAAAATGCAATTGCATTTTGAAATGTTATCCAATCAGATCGCATTTCTTTCTCCCGGAGAGGAGAGTGGCTCGCTAATCACATCAGCAGGCCCACCGAAACAGGCACAGCGGCAGGGCAGACACTTATAATACAGGAATCATGAGGATTATGCACTTTACTGTTTGACCAATCATGGTTTTAGCAGCCCCAAAAATGGATGGTTTGAGTGAGGTGACCATGTAGAAGGTGCAGCTCACACCAATACGACCAATTCAAATGTTTACTCTCACAGCCAAGTCAAATAGTCGCAGTCTGGCACCCTGGGGGGAGAGGGACACTGCGGAGGACACACTCAATAGAAACATACTCACTCATTTACACCCAGCAGATTTTAAAAGTGACCCCTGGCACTCCTCTTGTTCTAGCGCCTGGGCTGCGCTTGCCATTGCACGATCAAAAAGTGTGGAAATGTAGCTAATATCTGAATGGGCAACTCAGCAGCACTGCTGATTTTGCAGAACCACTTATTTGCTAATGAACAGATGAGAGGAGAAGACACCCCATTAAGGAGGGAGTTGAATGAGATGCCCCACTTATCCAAGGACACAGCCAATGAGAATGAAGGATGCTAATTGGTACTGACAAACTAGAGTAAAACAGCCCTGTTTTGTTACAGCCCTATCAAGTACTGCTACCAGGTCTCAGCTAAGGGAGAGAGGTGGCCAAAATAGGAGAGGAAAGTGCCAATTCCAAGATGGCAGAAAGCTACTCAAGTGTTTCTCAAACTGTTTTTATTTACCATCACACTCAAGGACAAAATGACAAGACAAATGGAGAGACTAAATTAAGATTAGATCAAATAAGAACTAAACAAGTACATGACCTTGCACTATCTAGCCGTGAATAGTTTTCGGTTAAGTCCGTCTAGGGCACCTTAAAAAGGGGTTAGACGTTGACCTTGCAAAACGACCGGCGTAATTGCATCTCTCCAATTTCATTAAACTTCCGCACCGCAGTACTGGCTATTCATGCCTGCAGGAACAAGACACCTCTCAGTCCTCCAAAGAAGAAGTCCTCTGACACACACATACTGGAGTAATGACACAGTATAAGCATAGTTATAGACGCACATAAAGACTCATCATTCCATATACCAATACTCCTAATGCATTATAAGTATCATCATAATCACTTATAATGTACAGCGTCATAGTGCTTCATCCTTTCTGGTCACTTTTTACTCAAGGATCATACAGCATTATAATGACCATCAGTGTGAAGAATGTCTAAAGTGCTTGCCAATGAGCAGCACATCAATATTACTGCATCTTCATCTTTGTTATGGTGTGTTACAGCATACTTTAAAAGCCACTATAAAGTCATCTTTGAATGCTTTAGGTGTTGCGTTTGATGATCATACTAGACACTCATGAGCCAACCTTCATATCTATACCCTAGTGAATGGATTGACGGATGGATGAAAACAAGTTCACCATATTCTGAGACGGTCTCCCTTTGTCGTCAAAGTGCCGCTCCACATAATCCGAAGACAGGAGATTGCTGGGGAAAAAGAGAGAGAGCGCGAGAGCGAGCAATGACATTTCCCATTCAGGCATAATCATTACAAGAGAAAATCGCATACAAAACGCATTTGTGAAAAGCACCATACAAATCCAAATTGGATTGATGGAGGCATTGAGTAGAAAAGTGGTGGTGGATGGATGGGGCCAGTTACCTCTATGCCATGTAAAATGCTTTGAGAGCTAGCAAAGAGTGCTACATAAACAAAACCCATTAGAATAATGTGTCCAATGTGTTGGTGAGGAGGAGGAGGAGAATGCAAGTATATGTTGTGATTTAACTTTAGTCTACGAGCATCAAATTGTTACCATCATCTACAATGTTTTAGACATTCCATTCTAGTGAAGAAACCCTTAATGAATTGTATCAGGGTTGGGGTAAATTCCGTTTTTAATTCAGCCAATTTCGGAAGTAAATTAAAATCAACAGAATCCACATAGGCAACATTGGGCCATTTTTTATTCATGAATTGAATAAAAATGTCCTGAATAGAAAGCTCAATTGAACACAACCCTGTATTGTATAGAATGCTGGTGATGGGCAGAGCAGTGTGTCAACTCACTGGTTCAGCTCCAAGTCCAGGATGAAAGATTTGCCAAAGGCCTCCACCAGGAAACTGCTCTGGGCTAGATGGACAGGCTGAGAGAGAGAGAGGGAGGGAGAAAAGTTAGAGAGGGAGATAGAGACTGTGTGTGTGTGTGAGTGTGTGTGAGTGAGTGAGAGAGAGAGAGAGAAAGTGAGAGCACAAGAGAGAGAAAATCAGTGGTGGAAAAAGTACTCAATTGTCATACTTCAGTAAAATATATCTTAATAGAAAATGACTCAAGTAAAAGTGAAAGTCACCCAGTAAAATACTACTTGAGTAAAAGTCTAAAACTATTTGGTTTTAAATATACTTAAGTATCAAAAGTAAATGGAATTGCTCAAATATACAAACCAGACGGCACCATTATTATTATTTTTTTTTATTACGGATAGCCAGGGGCACACTCCAACTCAGACATAATTTACAAGCGAAGCATTTGTGTTTAGTGATTCCGCCAGATCAGAGACAGTAGAGATTACCAGGGATGTTCTCTTGATAAGTGCGTCAATTGGACCATTTTCTAGTCAAAATGTAATGAGTACTTTTGGGTGTCAGGGAAAATGTATGGAGTAAAAAGTACATTATTTTCTTTAGGAATGTACTGAAGTAAAAGTAAAAGTTGGCAAACACATACAGTGGGGAAAAAAAGTATTTAGTCAGCCACCAATTGTGCAAGTTCTCCCACTTAAAAAGATGAGAGAGGCCTGTAATTTTCATCATAGGTACACGTCAACTATGACAGACAAATTGAGATTTTTTTTTCTCCAGATTATCACATTGTAGGATTTTTAATGAATTTATTTGCAAATTATGGTGGAAAATAAGTATTTGGTCAATAACAAAAGTTTCTCAATACTTTGTTATATACCCTTTATTGGCAATGACACAGGTCAAACGTTTTCTGTAAGTCTTCACAAGGTTTTCACACACTGTTGCTGGTATTTTGGCCCATTCCTCCATGCAGATCTCCTCTAGAGCAGTGATGTTTTGGGGCTGTCGCTGGGCAACACGGACTTTCAACTCCCTCCAAAGATTTTCTATGGGGTTGAGATCTGGAGACTGGCTAGGCCACTCCAGGACCTTGAAATGCTTCTTACGAAGCCACTCCTTCGTTGCCCCGGCGGTGTGTTTGGGATCATTGTCATGCTGAAAGACCCAGCCACGTTTCATCTTCAATGCCCTTGCTGATGGAAGGAGGTTTTCACTCAAAATCTCACGATACATGGCCCCATTCATTCTTTCCTTTACACGGATCAGTCGTCCTGGTCCCTTTGCAGAAAAACAGCCCCAAAGCATGATGTTTCCAACCCCATGCTTCACAGTAGGTATGGTGTTCTTTGGATGCAACTCAGCATTCTTTGTCCTCCAAACACGACGAGTTGAGTTTTTACCAAAAAGTTCTATTTTGGTTTCATCTGACCATATGACATTCTCCCAATCCTCTTCTGGATCATCCAAATGCACTCTAGCAAACTTCAGACGGGCCTGGACATGTACTGGCTTAAGCAGGGGGACACGTCTGGCACTGCAGGATTTGAGTCCCTGGCGGCGTAGTGTGTTACTGATGGTAGGCTTTGTTACTTTGGTCCCAGCTCTCTGCAGGTCATTCACTAGGTCCCCCCCGTGTGGTTCTGGGATTTTTGCTCACCGTTCTTGTGATCATTTTGACCCCACGGGGTGAGATCTTGCGTGGAGCCCCAGATCGAGGGAGATTATCAGTGGTCTTGTATGTCTTCCATTTCCTAATAATTGCTCCCACAGTTGATTTCTTCAAACCAAGCTGCTTACCTATTGCAGATTCAGTCTTCCCAGCCTGGTGCAGGTCTACAATTTTGTTTCTGGTGTCCTTTGACAGCTCTTTGGTCTTGGCCATAGTGGAGTTTGGAGTGTGACTGTTTGAGATTGTGGACAGGTGTCTTTTATACTGATAACAAGTTCAAACAGGTGCTATTGATACAGGGAACGAGTGGAGGACAGAGGAGCCTCTTAAAGAAGAATTTACAGGTCTGTGAGAGCCAGAAATCTTGCTTGTTTGTAGGTGACCAAATACTTATTTTCCACCATCATTTGCAAATAAATTCATAAAAAATCCTACAATGTGATTTTCTGGATTTTTTTTCCTCAATTTGTCTGTCATAGTTGACGTGTACCTATGATGAAAATTACAGGCCTCTCTCATCTTTTTAAGTGGGAGAACTTGCACAATTGGTGGCTGACTAAATACTTTTTTCCCCCACTGTACATAGTAAAGTAAAGTACAGATACACAAAAAAACTACTTAAGTAGTACTTTAAAGTATTTTTACTTAAGTACTTTACACCACTGGAGAAAATACAGGTACACTTAGGGTGTAAGGACAGGACTGAGGCAAGGCTGGCCAAGGTTATTAAAAAGGTACAGTGCCTTCAGAAAGTATTCACACCCCTTGACTTTTTCCACATTTTGCTGTGTTACAAAGTGGGGTTAATTTTTTTGTCAACAATCTACACAAAATACTGTAATGCAAAAATGTGTTTAAAAAAAATACATGGAAAAATAAAACACTAATATATCTTGATTACATAAATATTCAACCCCCTGAGTCAATGCATGTTAGAATCACCTTTGGCAGCGATTACAGCTGTGAGTCTATCAGGGTAAGTCTAAGAGCTTTCCACACCTGGATTGTGCAACATTTTCCCATTTCTCTTAAAAACACCTCTTCAAGCTCTGTCAAATTGGTTGTTTTTCATTGCTAGACAACCATTTTTCAGGTCTTGCCATAGATTTTCAACCAGATTTGAGTCAAAGCTGTAACTCAGCCACTCAGGAACATTCACTGTCTTCTTGGTCAGCAACTCCAGTGTAGATTTGGCCTTGTGTTTAAGGTTATTGTACTGCTGAACGGGGAATTAATCTCCCAGTGTCTGGTGGAAAGCAGACTGAACCAGGTTTTCCTCTAGGATTTTGCCTGTGCTCAACTCCATTCAGTTGGTTTTTTTTACCTGAAAAACTCCCCAGTCTTTAACGATTACAAGCATTCCCACAACATGATGCTTGAATATATGGAGAGTGGTACTCAGCAATGTGCTGTATTGGATTTGCTTCAAACATAACACTTTGTATTCATTACAAAAAGTGAACTGCTTCGCCACATTTTTTTGCAGTATTACTTTAGTGCCTTATTGCAAACAGAATGCATGTTTTGGAATATTTGTATTCTGTACAGGCTTCCTTCTTTTCACTCTGTCAATTAGGTTAGTATTGTGGAGTAACTACAATGTTGATCCATCCTCAGTTTCCTCCTATGACAGCCATTAAACTCTGTAACTGTTTTAAAGTCACCATTGGCCTCATGGTGAAATCCCTGAGCGGTTTCCTTCCTCTCCGGCAACTGAGTTAGGAAGGACGCCTGTATCTTTGTAGTGACTGGGTGTATTGATACACCATCCAAAGTGTAGTTAATAACTTCAACATGCTCAAAGAGATATTCAATGTCTGCTTTTCTTATTTTTACCCTTATTTGCGAGGCATTGGAAAACATCCCTGGTCTTTGTGGATGAATCTGTGTTTGAAATTCACTGCTCGACTGAGGGACCTTACAGATAATTGTATGTGTGGGGTACCGAGATGAGGTAATCATTCAAAAATCATGTTAAACTCTATTATTGCACACAGAGTCGTCCATGCAACTTATTATGCGACTTAAGCAGATTTTTTTTATTTAGGCTTGCCATAACAAGGTGTTGAATACTTATTGACTCAAGACATTTCATCTTTTCATTTTTAATTAATTTGTAAACATTTCGAAAAACATAATTCCACTTTCACATTATGTGTAGGCCAGTGACAAGAAATAACAATTTTATCCATTTTAAATTCCATCTGTAACAACAAAATGTAGAAAAGGTCAAGGGGTGTGAATAGTTTCTCAATAATCATCACTCATTCACATTCCATTACATGACAAGATGCAGAATCTGTCATGCAACAAGTCATTAATTGTCTTAAATAAATTATTCAATACCTTATCGTTTTTTTTTCGCAAAAATTTACCTCTGTGGAGGGTTGAGAGAGAGCGAGAGAGCACGAAAGAAAGAAAGAGAAAGAAAGAGAGCAAAACAGTGAGAAAGACAGACGGATAGCAAAAAATAAAAAGGAATAAATGAATGAGAGTACCATCAAAGCCACAATAACACCGTCAGATAAAGATCGATGTCCCAACTCCCAACCCCGTTCCAGGTAAAGGGAAAGGGGGATACCTAGTCAGTTGTACAACTGAACGCAATCAACTGAAATGTGTCTTCCGCATTTAACCCAACCCCTCTGAATCAGAGGTGCGGAAGGCTTTACCTATCAATCCCCATTACCACTGTCTAGCACAGGGGTCTCCAACCTTTTCTAGCATGAGAGCTACTTTATAAAATGAAACATGTCGCGAGCTACTCAAATAGGCACATTCTTCTCATCTCCCCTGCAACCCTTTCCTGGGTCCTTAGTGTACAAGAGAAAGTAGTGCACTGTTTTCTGTCAATATACCTGGTAAAATAATGGTTAATAAACAACTAAGTGGTGCCATATAAAATCTGTGATTTTTTTCTCGCAAATTATGTTTTATATTTTCCCCAATTATGTTTCCTTAGTTATTTTCCTGGTTTTAGAAGTATTATTTTTTCACTCTCAAAATTACAATTGTTGATAGAGAAACAACGACATTGAATGTTCTGAGTCCATGTCATTGTTTAAATTACATCAGAAGACCTTAGTTTTCTTCCAAAACAAAAACAATAACACATTTTTGAGTGTAATTCCCCTTCAATTGCACATCTGGCCCTTTAATCGCGCATCTAGCGAGTGAGGAATGTGCAATCTTATGTGCGGGTCTAGAGATGGTTCTGTACTGCTACTGCTCATTTCATGGCAAAGTTTGCAAATAACTCATAATAGATACAAATGATACTCATGATGTACTTCTGACAGGCAAGCCTACTTTGCAGTTAACATTTAATTGACAAGGTTTTGGGGAAAGTATTTCTGTCAACCCACAAGAGCGTTATCACATCAACTGGCTGGCTACACACGGAGTGATAGACAAACGCGCACAAAACACAGACAGACAGGGGCAATATTGCTGGAAATGAACTGGCAGATATTGTGTTTTTAAGCAAATAGTGGCTTACTAGGGGTGGGATACTGTCAATGTTGCGTTGATCAGGTAGTAGCTTGGGAGCTTGCAGTGTCTGATACTTGTGCAATTTATGACCGTTTGTGGTGGAACACTTGAAAATTGCATGTACTTTCAGAATTGTTTGGTATTTCTAATGCCTCGTATTTGGTCTAGCAGTTAGCCCCTTTCTCCACCACGGTGGCCGGGGCTAAGGACCTACTGTGCGGGAGGCTGCTGCTAGTGAGTGTATTTGAGTGTGTGTGTGTGCCTGCCTGGTGGAAGGCGTTAGAAATACGAGGCATTAGAAATACGTTTGATTTACAGCGGCGGTGGAGCACTGCCAAACCTAGACAGCCTTATTAAGACAGGCTGTATCTCAAACCAGTTTGTGACAGTCCACTGATTCGAGAGCCTTGCAACCTGAATCTTAACGGCTGTAGAGGTGCTGACAAAGACGTTCTGTCTAACAACTCCAGCGAGTCGTTTGGTTGTACTATATCTGACCTTAACAGTCTTCTCTGTATTTGTATTTATTATTAAAAACATTACAATACATTCATAACATATTTCACAACACACGAATAAGTGTGTGCCCTCAGGCCCCTACTCCACTCTGTACAATTTTAAAAATACAGTTGCTTTTTATCTGAGTAAGGAATGAAACGGTAGGAGGAGATTTAAAAAGACATTTAGCATGTTACCCAATTATCATTCCTATTTTACATTAACTTCTAGGGAATGGGCATAAGTTATTCCAAATACTGTACCAGCTACAGGGTGTGCATACTTTATCCAGCCCTGCTCTTAAAGGCCTTGGTGAGCAGAATTATAAAATAGTTTTAGTAGGGAGTGCTGATCTAGGATCAGTTTTGCCTACAAGATAATATTGAAAATGATTAAATGGAAAGGGGGGGGAAGGGATTGTAGATCAGCAATTTGACTGAGGTAACAGCGGGCCTCACACAGAAACACTCGAAAGGCAGAGTTTCAGGAAGGTCGTCTGGGTTACACAGCCGGTGGCGGAGGGCACTCAAGGTTGCCTCAAACGGTCAATCGCCCGGCCTCGCTGAGTGATTGGCAGATGGTATTGATAGCGCAGGTAATGGGAGAGACCAGGTGGAGGTGTAGAAAGGTGATAGGGGCGCAGGCGGACAGGCAGGAGAGGGAGGGAGCTCCACGGGTGGCTGCCATGGGGTATCGGGGGGGGGGGGGGTCTGATGAATCAGCACCATGGAAAGAGTGTGTGGACAGGGGTACTAGCTTTCGATGTCCAAAACTGACTAGAATTCGAATGATTGACACTGAAATTACCCAAAAGGTAATCTAATTTCCTTTCATGAGAGGTCATGACTACAGCTATGACCTTTTGACCAAGCAGGCTGGGGCAGTTAGGGTCAATGTCAGCTCAGTTCTAGTCAGTGTTGAAATTCAGTCGGGGCACAATTATGGGCAATTATATATACATTTTAAGCTTTATTTAACCATATGAGTCAATTAAGAACAAATTATTATTTACAATGAAGGCCTGGCCAGTGACGACTCATGGTCAGAACTTCTGAAAAAAAATCACTTTTTGGGGCATCGAAAGGGGTACTATGCCACCTCCCTCGGTTTAAACCAGGGGTGAGAAACATCAAATCAAGCTTTCAAATGGCAACAGACCCAGATCTACCAACCAAAGCACAGAGTAACGTTAAAAGCATCTTGTACTTTGTACCCATCCAAGACATAAAGATGGGAACACCTGACAATACCATATCAAGCCATTGACCTTGAATTGGCTTATTATTATTATTTTTATACACCTCAAGTGGCATTAAAGGCTAGCCTGACTAGCATTATGTCACACAAGACACAAGTCTCCACCTAGAGTGGCTTCTTTACTAGCTATTCTATATAACCAGGTGGCGAATCGCATCTCTGCATGTCTGGCAGACATATCAGTATGGATGACGGATCACCACCTCAAGCTGAACCCTGGCAAGACGGAGCTGCTCTTCCTCCCGGGGAAGGACTGCCCGTTCCATGATTTCGCCATCACGGTTGACAACTCCGCTGTGTCCTCCTCCCAGAGTGCGAAGAGCCTAGGCGTGACCCTGGACAACACCCTGTCGTTCTCCGCCAACATCAAGGCGGTGACCCGCTCCTGCAGGTTCATGCTCTACAACATTCGGAGAGTACGACCCTGCCTTACACAGGAAGCGGCACAGGTCCTAATCCAGGCACTTGTCATCTCCCGTCTGGACTACTGCAACTCGCTGTTGGCTGGCCTCCCTGCCTGTGCCATTAAACCCCTACAACTCATCCAGAATGCCGCAGCCCGTCTGGTGTTCAACCTTCCCAAGTTCTCTCACGTCACCCCCCTCCTCCGCACACTCCACTGGCTTCCAGTTGAAGCTCGCATCCGCTACAAGACCATGGTGCTTGCCTATGGAGCAGTGAGGGGAACGGCACCTCTGTACCTTCAGGCTCTGATCAGTCCCTACACCCAAACGAGGGCATTGCGTTCATCCACCTCTGGCCTGCTGGCTCCCCTTCCTCTGCGGAAGCATAGCTCCCGCTCAGCCCAATCAAAGCTGTTCGCTGCTCTGGCACCCCAATGGTGGAACAAGCTCCCTCACGACGCCAGGACAGCGGAGTCACTCACCACCTTCCGGAGACATTTGAAACCCCACCTCTTTAAGGAATACCTGGGATAGGATAAAGTATTCCTTCTAACCCCCCCCCCCCCCCCCCCCCCCCCCCCGCCCCGCCCCGCCCCGCCCCAAATTGTAAAGTGGTTATCCCACTGGCTATAGGGTGAACGCACCAATTTGTGAGTCGCTCTGGCTAAGAGCGTCTGCTAAATGACGATAGTAGCCGAATAGCCTGGTCCCAGATCTGTTTGTGCCATCTTGCCAACTACACAGCACAAGCAGATCTGGGGCCAGGTTAAACTATTAATACGAGTCTCATCAGTCGTGGTCCAGCACTGTGACACACTATTAGACTACCATCTTTCCTCCTATAAGATAATCTGTCCATTTCGTCTCCCTCTTCTACACCAAATGGGATTTTAATCATTGATGAGAGAATTATTCTGCCTGGCATTGACTAATGAAGGAGGTCCAAGACCAAGTTAGCATAGAAATGTGATTATTTCATCTCATTTCATTTAGAGAAGAAAACAATTGTTCTCTGAAACATCTTTCATTTATTATATATCATATTTTCTCAATTTTGCATTTAAGAGGAAGCCACATTGTCAAAAACATTGCTCCCTTCTTTAAAGCAACATTTATTCTCTCCATAACTGTAAATAACCTACCCTATATGACATTTCAGCACACACTGGAAGTCCGCAGAACAATGCCTGCATTCTACTGCTGAAAAGATTTAACTATTAAGAGGCTTTATCTCCACTGCAGCGCCATGTTCTGCATCCCAAATGGCACCTAGTTCCCGGGGGTGATTCTAAAGAAACTGACACTTGACAAAAAAAGGAACAAGAACAAAACCACACAAAAAAACATTTCCACCATAATTCTTCTTGGACCACTAAGACTAGGATATGCAATTATCTATTTCATAATTATTGTTATGTTTATTGATCAGATATTATGCATTTTACCACAATTTCTACAACTACCAATGCAAAAATTCTCAATACCGCAACAGTTTTCGAAGTCCCAAAAAATGATAAACAAATCAATTTCTAATAAAAAAAATGTACATTGCTCACCTAATGAAAAGGCCTGAGTTAAATATAACACTGAAAACAAATATTTAAAATTAAATTTGGTAATTTATCTCATTAACACAGTCTTTTCTGAATCTTTTTTTTTTGGTCATAATTACTTGTATATACAGTTGAAGTCAGAGGTTTACATACACCTTAGCCAAATACATTTAAACTCAGTTTTTCATAATTCCTGACATTTAATCCTAGTAAAAATTCCCTGTCTTAGGTCAGTTAGGATCACCACTTTATTTTAAGAATGTGAAATGTCAGAATAATAATAGAGAGAATTATTTATTTCAGCTTTTATTTATTTATTCACATTCCCAGTGGGTCAGAAGTTTACATACACTTAATTAGTATTTGGTAGCATTGTCTTTAAAATTGTTTAACTTGGGTCAAAGGTTTCGGGTAGCCTTCCACAAGCTTCCCACAATAAGTTGGGTGAATTTTGTCCCATTCCTCCTGACAGAGCTGGTGTAACTGAGTTAGGTTTGTAGGCCTCCTTGCTCGCACACGCCTTTTCAGTTCTGCCCACACATTTTCTATAGGATTGAGGTCAGGGCTTTGTGATGGCGACTCCAATACCTTGACTTTGTTGTCCTTAAGCCCTTTTGCCACAACTTTGGAAGTATGCTTGGGATCATTGTCCATTTGGAAGACCCATTTGCGACCAAGCTTTAACTTCCTGACTGATGTCTTGAGATGTTGCTTCAATATATCCACATAATTTTCCTTCCTCATGATGCCATCTATTTTGTTAAGTGCACCAATCCCTCCTGCAGCAAAGCACCCCCACAGCATGATGCTGCCACCCTCGTGCTTCACGGTTGGGATGGTGTTCTTCGGCTTGCAAGCCTTCCCCCCTTTTTCCTCCAAACATAACGATGGTCATTATGGCCAAACAGTTCTATTTTTGTTTCATCAGACCGGAGGACATTTCTCCAAAAAGTACAATCTTTGTCCCCATGTGCAGTTGCAAACCGTAGTGTGGCTTTTTTAATGGCGGTTTTGGAGCAGTGGCTTGTTCCTTGCTGAACGGCCTTTCAGGTTATGTCGATATAGGACTTGTTTTACTGTGGATATAGATACTTTTGTACCTGTTTCCTCCAGCATCTTCACAAGGTCCTTTGCTGTTGTTCTGGGTTTGATTTGCACTTTTCGCACCAAAGTACGTTCATCTCTAGGAGATAGAAGGCGTCTCCTTCCTGAGCGGTATGACGGCTGCGTGGTCCCATGGTGTTTATACTTGCGTACTATTGTTTGTACAGATGAACGTGCTACTTTTAGGCGTTTGGAAATTGCTCCCAAGGATGAACCACACTTGTGGAGGTCTACAATTGTTTTTCTGACGTCTTGGCTGATTTCTTTTGATTTTCCCATGATGTCAAGCAAAGAGGCACTGAGTTTGAAGGTAGGCCTTGAAATACATCCACAGGTACACCTCCAATTGACTCAAATGATGTCAATTAGCCTATCAGAAGCTTCTAAAGCCATGACATCATTTTCTGGAATTTTCCAAGCAGTTTAAAGGCACAGTCAACTTCGTGTATGTAAACTTCTGACCCACTGGAATTGTGATACAGTGAATTATAAGTGAAATAATCGGTCTGTAAACAATTGTTGGAAAAATTACTTGTGTCATGCACAAAGTAGATGTACTAACTGACTTGCCAAAACCATAGTTTGTTAACAAGAAATTTGTGGAGTGGTTGAAAAACAAGTTAATGACTCCAACCTAAGTGTGTGTAAACTTCCGACTTTAACTGTACAGTGCATTGAGAAAGTATACAAACCCCTTGACTTTTTCCACATTGTTACGTTACACCCTTACTCTAAAATGGATGAAATAGATTTTTTCCCTCATCAATCTACACACAATACCCCATAATGACAAAGCAGTTTATTTATTTTTTGCAAATGTATAAAAACTAAAAAACGGAAATATCACATTTACATAAGTATTCAGACCCTTTACTCAGTACTTTGTTGAAGCATCTTTGGCAGCGATTACTGCCTCAAGTCTTCTTGGGTATGACGCTACAAGCTTGGCACACCTATTTGGGGAGTTTATCCCATTTTCTCTGCAGATCCTCTCAAGCTCTGTTAGGTTGGATGGGGAGTGTCGCTGCACAGCTGTTTTCAGGTCTCTCCAGAGATGTTAGATCGGGTTCAAGTCCAGGCTCTGGCTGGGCCACTCAAGGACATTCAGAGACTTGTCCCAAAGCCACTCCTGCGTTGTCTTGGCTGTGTGCTTAGGGTCGTTGTCTTGTTGGAAGGTGAACCTTCGCCCCAGTCGGAGGTCCTGAGCGCTCTGGAGCAGGTTTTCATCAAGGATCTCTCTGTACTTTTGCTCCGTTAAATCTTTCCCTCGATCCTGACTAGTCTCCCAGTCCCTGCTGCTGAAAAACATCCCCACAGCATGATTCTGCCACCACCATGCTTCACCTTAGGGATGGTGCCAGGTTTCCTCCAGATGTGACGCTTGGCATTCAGGCCAAAGATTCAATCTTAGTTTCATCAGACCAGAGAATCTTGTTTCTCATGGTCTGAGAGTACTTTAGGTGCCTTTTGGCAAACTCCAAGCGGGCTGTCATGTGCCTTTTACTGAAGAGTGGCTTCCGTCTGGCCACTCTACCATAAAGGCCTAATTGGTGGAGTGCTGCAGAGATGATGGAGTCTTGGTGGTTCCAAACGTCTTCCATTTAAGAATGATGGAGGTCACTGTGTTCTTGGAGACCTTCAATGCTGCAGACATTTTTTGGCACCCTTCCCCAGATCTGTGCCTCGACGCAATCCTGTCTCGGAGCTCTACGGACAATTCCTTTGACCTCATGGCTTGGTTTTTGCGCTGACATGCACTGTCAACGGTGGGACCTTATATAGACAGGTGTGTGCCTTTCCAAATCATGTCCTATCAATTGAATTTACCACAGGTGGACTCCAATCAAATTGTAGAAACATCTCAAGGATGACCAATGGAAACAGGATGCACCTGAGCTCAATTTCGAGTCTCAAAGCAAAGGGTCTGAATACTTATGTAAATAAGGTATTTCCGTTTTTTTTAAATACATTTGCAAAAATATTTTACTACCTGTTTTTGCTTTGACATTATGGGGTAGTGTGTAGTATTGCTGAGGATTAAAAAAAAAAAAAAATTGTGGAAAAGTGAAGGGATCTGAATACTTTCCAAATGCACTGTACATGTTATTTATGTACACATACTTGGATAAAATAACAAAATATTAAGCCAAAATTACTGAAGTATACATTTTATATTTCCAAATGTTTCCTAAATATTGGTGCATTATGGTAATAAGCAGGTTTCGGAGATGAGAATCCATGTTTCTGTAATGAATGTTGCATAGTTTGCACTGAGGCCTATTAGAGATTCAGTAACCTAATACATCAAATTGTGTCATTTGTTAATCCCAAATGACTTGCATAATACTAAAATCACTGATCTTAATGCAATTGACTAAAACATCCCCCCCTTTTTTTTTTTGCATAAGTTCTGTAATTACATGCATGCATTTTCAAATGTCAAAAGCAACTTTTTTAGAAAAAGTAATTTCTCCAAGGTCTTTACCACCAATATTGGTGCATTAGGATGTGGATATGTGTGATTCTAAGGTATTTGAGATGTATTTCTACATTTAATGGGATCGTATGGGCAAATGGTATAACATGATATGCCTATAAAGTATCTAAATATGTGGGATATGGACCAAAAACTGTCAAACAACAGTATAGGTAAGTGCTAAAACAGGTACACGTGTCAAAATGGGGGATATCCTCCTATACGTGGCGGGGTTGCTCTTTGCTGAAACACAAACTCCAGATTGTGGCTTTAAATAAATTAAATGGGGTTTATACAAACACATATTTCTTGACATCCCATACTGATGTTTTACAAAATATCTATACAATAGGTGTAAGCAGTGGTCCTAGTAAATAATTAAAGTTACCAGCACAGCACACCCATTGACTATACATTACAATTGTCTTATTACCATTAACAAAATTAAGGCTCCCATTACTGAAACGGACTTAAAGATTATGCGGTAATGAGAAATGTGTGTTTCGGTAATGAGAGGCCTTTAGTTCAATCTGCAAGTAATAGGAGACAGCCATTATGAGTCAGCAAACAATTGACCACATCACTAAAGCCCATTCACGCCTCCATGTTGGTAAGGTAATGGTTCCCGTAGTTATTCCCAATTTGAGCTTTTTAGTCATTTCGGTAAGGAGAAGGTCAAGTGTCGAAAAGGGGGTGTTTGAGAATAAGATCCTCATTCTGAAGGCATATAAGTGAAGAAATGAAATGAACTTGAGCTCATCTAAGGACTACTCCTCTAGATGATGCATCATGGGGGAATACAACTTTATTACATTTTTGGGGGGAGTTTTTACATCAACTTGAAAAAGTGTTACGATAATGAGAAACATGTCCACAGACACTGTCTTTACGTAATAAATATTATCACGTTAATGTAAATGTAAACTGCAACTAGTATACCATTTCTATGATTTCTGGACAAACAACATTAACATATTTTGTGTTTCACTCATATAAATTAGGTTTTTCTAAAGTAAAATTGTATGAAATGACCCGAGAATTCAATCTGGACGCATTTCGATAATGAGCATTTGGGGTGAAAAAGAAAAACATTCTGGAGAAAATGTACAAATTATTTAAAATAAGACATTGTGCCACAAACTAGGCATCTTAGTCTTCAGAATTATAGTTCATTGTTGCAGATGCATCATGATTTTCTAACTCCATTTGGTACTGCAATGGTTAAAACTGGTTTTATGAGAATCACCCATCCCTATTCATCCCAAATGGCGTCATAAATAGGTTGTAAAGCTAGGCCATAAAGCTGTACCTAAGGGGTTAATTTGGGATTTTACAGGTGGTGAGGCTATAGAGATAATTGCTTTTTCTATGAATTTAAAGAAGAGTTGACCTTCAGCTACATTAGTGGGATTTGGTGGAGAGTGGGCAGGAACACTCACATCTCATATGTCCAATATATTTTTTCTTCATGTGTAGTCAAAACAGGGACACAGGAGATTAATGGGACATTTAAGCACCCAACAAGCTGGATCTGACAGTGACCACATTACATTTTAGTCATTTAGCAGACGCTCTTATCCAGAGCGACTTACAGTTAGTGAGTGCATACATTTTCATACTGGCCCCCCGTGGGAAACGAACCCACAACCCTGGCGTTGCAAGCGCCATACTCTACCAACTGAGCTACAGGGGACCAGCTTTCAGTAATGTCCATTAGGCCTGATTGGAAGTAGCTTGCCATTGCTAGTTCTGTAGCCTACCTGTCTGTGCAGATATTGATAATGACTGGAGAAAAAAAAAACAGGGAAATTGTGTTCTCTATTGTCACCTGAAGGCAAAATACGGGACTCACCTGTGCTCCCTCGGTGTAGTTCTTGACTCGAGTGTCCAGATGGCGGTGAACCAGCTCTCCCTCCGAGTCGATCTGTTGCAGGAGCCGCTTGGGCTGAGTGACTTCCTCCACAGCAGGTCCCCGGCCCCCCTGCTCCTCCGCGGGCTGCCATTCCCACGTCTCTCCTGCTTCTCTATCGCTCACCGAGCTGCTCCAGCCTTCAACCGGGCAGATAAGGCAGGCAGCCAGAGAAAGGGGACGAGAGGCAGGGAGATCAATCAATAGGGCTTTTGTTATCGTGAATGATGAAATGTCAGTGCACGGACAGCGGGCGACAACCAGCGATTGGCACGCTGTTATCGCCGGGATGGACTATTGTGATGGTGGTGTTGTGGATGCCTGCTGCAGTCTCCCATGAACGTGATTTACTGCGTAGGCTGCCACTACAGAACCTTGGAGCACAGCTCGGACTCCATCTCGAAGGCGGCAGGCGCGCGATACCGGGGTAATTGTTGATGAAGCAAATCGAACCGCGTCGCTCTCATGACAGGTAGAAGCTGCAAAATGGGACTTAAATAGCTCGGAATAGCTCAAAATAACCCGTTAATAATGAAGGGAAAGTTATAGGCCTAAGTATAACGGGAAGGGTTACATTTGCGGGAAGAAAGCGCGGCTTTAACCCCCCCAGTCTCTTACCTGTCACGGCAAACCGCGCACTCACTGCAGCGAACACCAGGCATCGCACCGCCAGCATGATGCTCACATAGTCCCCGAGATTTGCATGGAGCAACACCGTTGAATAAACAAAAACAAAAAAAAACTATTGGTGGATCAACTGCAGGTGACAATTACAGAGAGCCGCGGGGGACCCCTTTAACGATGTACCCACATCTCGACCAAGAACGGGTTCTCTATCTAGAAAAATATATTCTGACAATGTTATTCATCCTCCAATAAAAGGCTAGAAAAAACGTCATAAATTATGGATAAAATGTGTATCACGACTGGCAAAGCCGGGGTAGACTATAGGCTAATACAGGTACCTATTGGGAGTGACGCTGCGCTGTTAAATGTGATCAGTCTTCCTTGGCTCGGAGTTGCTGGAAACATTGAACTGGAGCGATTGCAAGCGAGGGGCGTCGAATCCGCTTTGACTAGAACACGTGGGACTCAGTGCTCCCTCCCTCATCTAGCCTACATTTGCGCATTCCTGTCAGGTGGCAGCGGTCTCTTTTTCGGAAAACGCAAACTGTAGATTCAGTGCCAACATTAATGTCAGGCAGCTGTATCCAGCACACCTTAAGTATCATAGTAGTGAGGAAAGTCATATAGGTGTGAGTGCAGTTTGACACCCGATCTATGCATTGGCGTACAGCGCCATGTGCTGAAATGGTCCGAGCCCCATAGACACTGGGCAGCACTTATGGACAGCAGGCATGGTGTGGAAATGTTTCGAGCCCCATAGAGACCGGGTAGCATTGAACAGCGGCCTGGTGCTGAAATGGGACAGATCCCTAAATTGCATATAGGGATACCTGTGTAGGCAGACAAGACATGGTAACAGTGGCAGCATAGCCAGATGAGAGGCTGAGGTACATACACATATCCCTACAACATACTATCATAGTGTACAAAAAAAAAAACGATGGCCTCAACCCTATTTGCAGTTAGCATACTTACCCCAACCCCACCCCTCTCAAAACAATCCAGCTATAAAAATCTGACAAGATTAACTCATTTTCGAAATAAATGGAAATTCACATCAATGCAGTAAAGTGCTCACCCCTACACACATTTAAACATGCTTCATCCTAATAATGGAATTAGACAAGAAGGTTAGGTATCAGATTTGTCTGCGTCAACTGTATGAGGGGTTGACATAGTGGTGAGCTAAAAAGGATGCATCGACCGACCCGTCGCTGCCCTTCACCAAGCTGAGTCTACTCTCAGCACTTAGATCCGTCTCCCCAGAGTCCTGCTCCTTTGCCCTACAAACCCACAGTCAGCATAAATACCTGCAATAGATAGAGCACAATACTAGAAACTAATTTACAGTGGGGAGAACAAGTATTTGATACACTGCCGATTTTGCAGGTTTTCCTACTTACAAAGCATGTAGAGGTCTGTAATTTGTATCATAGGTAGTAGCCTTCAACTGTGAGAGACGGAATCTAAAACAAAAATCCAGAAAATCACATTGTATGATTTATAAGTAATTAATTTGCATGACATAAGTATTTGATACATCAGAAAAGCATAACTTAATATTTGGTACAGAAAACTTTGTTTGCAATTACAGAGATCATACGTTTCCTGTAGGTCTTGACCAGGTTTGCACACACTGCAGCAGGGATTTTAGCCCACTCCTCCATACAGACCTTCTCCAGATCCTTCAGGCTTCGGGGCTGTCGCTGGGCAATACAGACTTTCAGCTCCCTCCAAAGATTTTCTATTGGGTTCAGGTCTAGAGACTGGCTAGGCCACTCCAGGACCTTGAGATGCTTCTTATGGAGCCACTCCTTAGTTGCCCTGGCTGTGTGTTTCAGGTCGTTGTCATGCTGGAAGACCCAGCCACGACCCATCTTCAATGCTCTTACTGAGGGAAGGAGGTTGTTGGCCAAGATCTCGTGATACATGGCCCCATCCATCCTCCCCTCAATACGGTGCAGTCGTCCTGTCCCCTTTGCAGAAAAGCATCCCCAAATAATGATGTTTCCACCTCCATGCTTCACGGTTGGGATGGTGTTCTTGGGGTTGTACTCATCCTTCTTCTTCCTCCAAACACGGCGAGTGGAGTTTAGACCAAAAAGCTCTATTTTTGTCTCATCAGACCACATGACCATCTCCCATTCCTCCTCTGAATCATCCAGATGGTCATTGGCAAACTTCAGACGGGCCTGGACATGCGCTGGCTTGAGCAGGGGGGACCTTGCGTGCGCTGCAGGATTTTAATCCATGACGACGTAGTGTGTTACTAATGGTTTCCTTTGAGACTGTGGTCCCAGCTCTCTTCAGGTCATTGACCAGGTCCTGCCGTGTAGTTCTGGGCTGATCCCTCACCTTCCTCATGATCATTGATGCCCCACGAGGTGAGATCTTGCATGGATCCCCAGACCGAGGGTGATTGACCGTCATCTTGAACTTCTTCCATTTTCTAATAATTGCGCCAACAGTTGTTGCCTTCTCACCAAGCTGCTTGCCTATTGTCCTGTAGCCCATCCCAGCCTTGTGCAGGTCTACAATTGTATCCCTGATGTCCTTACACAGCTCTCTGGTCTTGGCCATTGTGGAGAGGTTGGAGTCTGTTTGATTGAGTGTGTGGACAGGTGTCTTTTATACAGGTAACGAGTTCAAACAGGTGCAGTTAATACAGGTAATGAGTGGAGAACAGGAGGGCTTCTTAAAGAAAAACTAACAGGTCTGTGAGGGCCGGAATTCTTACTGGTTGGTAGGTGATCAAATACTTATGTCATGCAATAAAATGCAAATTAATTACTTAAAAATCATACAATGTGATTTTCTGGAGTTTTGTTTTAGATTCCGTCTCTTACAGTTGAAGTGTACCTATGATAAAAAATTACAGACCTCTACATGCTTTGTAAGTAGGAAAACCTGCAGTGTATCAAATACTTGTTCTCCCCACTGTATATAGTCTACTTTATCAATTAATATTGCGCTTAGGAAGCACAGTCAATCACATGATATGTTGTAACCCTCTCGATCATGAAGTGTACTTATTGTGTGTGACTGGGTTAGAATCCTTGTCTCCTGCACACAAGACTGTGTAAGCCCATTGAGCTAAAGTGGGGCTGGGTGATAGTATTTCCAGGTATACCGATATGGATTTTCACAATACCGTCTCTAATGATATGTTGATACAGTGCTACATAAATTAGTTCTACAAATTGGACTACATCGCTGTCAGTTCGGTCCTAGCTTGGTTGAGTATAAAACAAACAGAATGGAGAAAGCCTATTAACACCACATAGAATTCATTTGTTGCCATCCTAGGGTCACTCCCATCATAGAACATATTTGAACTTTTATTATTCAGAAACATAAAACACCATCAAATACCGCCATACAGTCGAAAATGAGAACTGTTGGCCATATCCAAGATAAAGCCTCCAAGCTATTACCTCGGAAAGCTAACGCAAGTCTTCAAGTTTCAGGCAAGGTTAATCATAATATGATTAATTGAACAACCTGTTACATTTCAACCCCTTATGACCTCCTCACAGAGACCCACAGCATTGGGTGACTCACAGCACCAATGTTACTAACTCGTTTCAAACCTGGGTCTTCTGCGTATCAAAAGACTAGTTATCTCCCGAAGCTAGCTCAGCAGACGAACTGTGTTGTGGCACCCAGGAGACCCGGGTTTGACCCAGTGACATATGGTTTGAACCTAGTCACTCACATGAGCAAAGCAAAACAAGTCTAAAAGTATACTAAAGCAAATATATCTATTTTAACTTAAAACCAACATGAGACATTATGCATTCACATTGTGAAAGGCTGGAAGCTGCAAAACTAAAGCACATTTTTGAAAACCATTCTTCAGTTTGAGATAACGTCATTTTCAACATAATTAGTGAAGAAAAAAAACTAAATACTCAGCTGGAATCAGTTCGCACTTGGACAAAGACACTTGGAAATACTAACACAATCAGCCAGAAAATGTTGCAAACATCCATTTCACTTATCAGTCGTTTCTGGGACATTTTGTCGCAACTTTTTAACTCTGAAAAAAGCACACCTCAACTGTCTGGAAGTCTATATCGGCCCAGAATATTTTTCAAACGGTTGTCAAAGGAATATATATGGTGGAGATCCCATCAGTAGTGAGTGCACTATGGCAAGCCCCCATATCCCTTTCACCCATCCAGTCCATTTCGTTGGATCTCCTTCAAAGAAGCCCTTTCAGGATTAATCAGAGTTTCTGGCCGGGGCTGCAGAGTCCTGTCGAGTCCTTCACTCACTTAACTCTTTAGCCCGGTCTGATCATCAACACCGGGCGCTACTGGGAACCGATCCAGATACAGCACTTAAACTAATTGAGTAATGCCCCCTCCTGCAGAGACTCATTACATTCTCAATACCGTTGCTTGTTCCCGGAGATTGCTGCTGAAAGACAAACGTCTGCATGAGACAAAATATGGCCTGGGTGCTTTAAGTATTAAAGGATCAGGGATGGGCCCAGAAACACAAGGCCATAGGATCCTCATCAGGTCCTCGTAAGTCAGTGTTATAAGGATGTAATTGCGGCATTCTGCAGTAATACATAATGAATAATCTGCAGATTTTTGGGTAGATGCCTGACAAATACGAGCTTCAACGTCAATGTTATTTAGTTGTGATGTTTGTTGTGATGTCTGTTCACTTTGTTTGACGAGTTCATATGTAAAACCACGTAGGTCAAAAAGTTAATGTATTGGGACTTCCGATGGGTTAAGTAACCAACCCTCCTCCCGTCATCACTGAGTCAGTGCTGAGTCACTTCTAGACTTTGCATCACAGTCCTGGAGAACGCTAGAGAGGGGTCTGGTGGCGGGGTGAGGGGCTGCTGCAACACAGAGCACAGACGCGACTCATAGCTGGTGTCGTGCAGCGTCCAGGTGCTGCAAGGTCTCTGTAGCAGCTCCAAGTCCAGCTGCTGGTGGTGGCTCCCCTCTGGGTGCGGGAGGGAAAGGGTGGAAGGGGCGGAGGCGGCGGCAGGGGGGCCGAGGCGGGACATGAGATCGCATTCCCAGTCTGAGTCCGAGTCGGAGGGGGTGGCCAGGTCGGGGATCAGGGCCGACTCGATGCAGACGGAGGAGAAGGACTGGGAGTGGCAGGGGTTGACGTCCTGGCTGGAGGGGGGGCAGTGGGTCGGTCTATCTGATGGGTGGTGAAGAAGCTTGGGAGGGAAAGAAGCGCTGATGTTTGGAGTCACCGTGTTGTGCTGCTGGAGAACACCCCCGTCCATGAAGATGGAACGATCCGTAAGACCTGAGGGATTGCCTGTGGACTGTAGAGGAAGCCGGGGGAAGCTCATTGTATAAGAGCGAGCGGATGTGGCAAAAACATGGTGGTTTGTACCAAACACTTCCACTGGGGGCCAACTGGTTATCTTGTCTACCTTCAACGAAGGACATATTGCATGCCCCAGGCCAAAAATGGGCACAGAGTGACAGTGGTTGGCTGCTTGGATGCCCACCCCGTGCCCAACTTTGTTTATGCTCTCTTGTGTCTTTGTTGGCACCAGTGATATTCCCTTCACTTCCAGCTGATCTGGGGTTGGTCTTTGTTCTACAGTTCCTAGTTCTTTGGGCAGGGAGCAGACCGTAGCCACAAACTCATGTCCGTTGCCAGTATATGTCGATGGGATTAAGGGCTGGTGTTCCTTCCTTGTCCAACCAGCACTGTTGAAGTCCCAGATGGGTTTTGATTTGTGACGGTTGGCCAGGGAGGTCCTTCTCCTCTTGCAGGCCTTGGGGTCAGGACTGACTGACCGGCTGCGTTTCTTTTGGTTCTCTGCAGTGCTCCAGAGCCGAGGAAGGGAGCGAGACCGACCTCGGACAGTCTGAGGGATTGGTTCCACCTCTGTGGATGCTGACAGAGGGCTGTCAATCTTCATATCTTCCTCCTCTGTGGGATGGTGAGGAGTGGAGGGCTGAAGCAGGACCTGGGGGCTGAGGACCGGGGGCTGAGAGTAGGGGCTGTCGGGTTGGGACATGGGCTCAAAGGGAAACATGATTTGAGGGCTGAGGACAGGAGGATAGGCGTAGGGACTGGAGGGCTGGCATAGGGTGTCAGGGCAGGGGAAGAGTGGCTGGGTGTAGGTTGCCTGGGGGGCTAGGGTGGGGGGCTGGCATAGGGTATCTGGGCAGGGGGAGAGAGGCTGGGGGTTGGATGGTATGGGGGCTAAGTTAGGGGTGGGAGGCTGGGAATAGGGGCTGGGGGGCTGGCATTGGGTGTCGGGGCAGGGGGAGAGGGGCTGGGAGTAGTTTGGCAGGGGGGCTAAGGTGGGGGACTGACAAAGGGTGTCGGGGGAGGGAGGCTGGTTGTCAGGGCAGGAGGAGAGAGGCTGTGGGTGGGATGGCAGCAGGAGTAGGCTGGGGGTGCCGGGGCAGTGGGAGAGAGGCTGGGCATGGGATGACAGGGGGACTAGGCTCGGAGTGGGAGGACTTTGGGCCGGGTCCAGGGAGTTGGACGGTGAGCCTTGGGTAAGCAGGGCCTGGATGGCGTGCTCTGTCTCACTGTGCGTCTGCATCTCAGAGGGGCTGTGGGGCAGTTGTAGTAGAAGTGGGGGGGTCTCCAACCTGATAGGGCAGCAGAAAGCACAAAACCACTCTGTTATTTCATCCATTTTAGAATATTTATTTATATTTTTGATAGTCTGTTAGCAGAGAACATTTCTGAGAAATAACCATGGTACATGTGAATGGTATTCAAAATTCAAAAGGCACTCACACATTGAGGCCGATACGTAAAGCTTATTAAACAGCAGTGATACTTTAAAGAGCAGAGTGCGAGTTTCTTATTTTGTTCACATGTGAATGGTATGGCATGGTACAATGTTTAGTGATTTTAATCCAACATCCATTATCATTTGGATCGCATTACAGTAGCAGGGTACTTCTAAACCCTGTGTTAGCACTGTCTTATGTCAGATAGCGTGACGATTCCGCCTGCAACGATATGTCTCATATCTTGCAAAGAGTAATGGGATAGATCAAAAGTAGTTTGGCTACAATGTGCTGTCATAACATTCAAAAATATTACCTAGGTAACATTGTCTGCTGAACCCCATTTCTGCCTCAAAACAGTCTGAATTAATCTAAAACAATACATCTGTATAATGGTGGCTTTCTTTTGGAAGTCTTAGTTACAACATTTTAGCTCAGGAGTTTGGTACTTCAAGGATGGAGCAGTATTTCTGAAGTTTGACAATTTGCATGAAAACTAGCTTAAAGGAAAAGCACACTAGCTAGCAAGCTACTGCAGTAGCAAAAATGTTTTATGAGTTTTCATGAAGCAGCAGCTGCCTGTTCTGCCGTGAGTGAGTGCAGTAGCTTCCGGAGTCACATGCTGCTGCGCTCAGCTGACCCAACGTTGCAAAGTAGCTAAGCGAACGAGGAGAAACAAGCTGATCTACGGACTAATTTCTGATAACAGTCCCTCTTAATTTTGGGACAGCGTGTATAGCTACAACTTCAGGGTAATTTAAACAAGCTAAGCATGTCAGCAAAGGTCTATGTCAGTAAGCTAGCTACAACAAGTTAGCTAAGCAGCTGATCAAGTCACTGGCGGCCGACGTGCTTGCACATCATTTTTGCAGGAGGTAGCCACCGCTTTGTTTTTATTTGCAAATTACTAAATCACTGTCACAATGTGCAATTTAGCTAGCTATTCTGCCTGTTTCATAAATAGCCATAGGAGAGCGCAGTAATTTCAGAAATTAGGAACTGTTTTAATTTTCTATGGCAGATGCTTTCTAATATATTTTGAATAGGAAATCCACTACATATTAGTTCCAGGACTTACAAGAACGGTCTGTTGGGGGACGAGCGTTGCGTAGGAGTGACGCCAACTGACGTAAGACAATGCCACGTTAGTGGACAGGCCCTCACCTGAGCAGTGTTGTGGCTGCTGACTCTGAGGCTGGACAGGGGGCGAAGCCCGGCTCCATGTCAGCCACCAGCTGGTCCAACACGCTGTAGTGGGAGGGGTCCTGCACAAAGCCACGATGCTGAGCCGACTGCAAGTGCTGCCAGACAAGAGTTAACACAGTGAGGAGAGTGAAAGAAATAGACAGAATACAGACAAAAACACAGACACATACAAAAACACAGGCTTACAGACAAACCATTAACACAGACAAAAACATTGACATGAACAGACACAGACAATACAGAAACAGACAAAACAAAGACAGACAAACAAAATATTGACATTAACAGACAGACAAAACACAGAGACAAAAGCACTAAGAGACAAAAACACAGACTTGGATACACACGTCTTACCTCATCCTGGTCCTTAAAGGGTTCATGACAGCACTCGCAGTAGCCCAGGTTCTTTTTGCGTGCTTGGCAAAGTGAGGGGTTGCGTGGGAGAGGGCTTAGAGGTTTGTCCTGGCTTGTACCCAAACTCTTAATTATCCGTCTATTTAATGGGGAAAAAGATAGAAGTGTCTTCCCTCTGTATGAAGGCTTAGATGTATTGTCTGATCCATATAATGTGTACACCAATGCAATCGGACACCAACCTCAAAAGAGCACCAATGGTCGGAGAGATAAAAACAAACAATGGCCGAGTTCCAGGGCCAGTATGGTTAGGCTTTGTGGCCTGTTCACTGTGTGTGAGTGTGTTATACCTGGCTTTGCTTTGTTCCTGCTCCTTGACTCTCTCAGGCTGGGGGGGTGCAGGGGGCTCAAAAGGACTGAACCGGCCCAAGTAGCACAGAGTGGGGAAGGTCATGGACTGCATGTGCAGGGCCTTGTATTTCCTGGTTACATAACAAATAGGAGAGAGAATTGGATACTACAATTAGATCGAAGGTGAAAGTCATTGCACAGCAGAAAATATACACTTGGATAACGCTAGGTTTGATCAATGTACTTGACCACATGCTGTTAAGACAAATCATACAGTGCATTCGGAAAGTATTCAGACCCCTTGACTTTTTCCACATTTTGTTACGTTAAAGCCTTATTCTAAAATTGATTAAATTGTTTTTTCCCCCTCATCAATCTACACACAATACCCCAAATCAGGTTTTTAGAAATGTTTGCAAATGTATTCAAAAAACGGAAATATCAAATTAACGTAAGTATTCAGACCCTATACTCAGTACTTTGTTAAAACCACCTTTGGCTGCGATTACAGCCTCGAGTCTTCTTGGTTATGATGCTACAAGCTTGGCACACCTGTATTTGGGGAGTTTCTCCCATTCTTCTCTGCAGATCCTCTCAAGCTCTGTCAGGTTGGATGGGGAGCGTCGCTGCACAGCTGTTTTCAGGTCTCTCCAGAGATGTTCGATCGGGTTCAAGTCCAGGCTCTGGCTGGGCCACTCAAGGACATTCAGAGACTTGTCCCGAAGCCACTCCTGCGTTGTCTTGGCTGTGTGCTTAGGGTCGTTGTCCTGTTGGAAGGTGAACCTTCGCCCCAGTCTGAGGTCCTGAGCGCTCTGGAGCAGGTTTTCATTAAGGATCTCTCTGTACTTTTTCTCCATTAATATTTCCCTCGATCCTGACTAGTCTCCCAGTCCCTGCCACTGAAAAACATTCCCACAGCATGATGCTGCCACCACGCTTCACCGTAGGGATGGTGCCAGGTTTCCTCCAGACGTGATGCTTGACATTCAGGCCAAAGAGTTCAATCTTGGTTTCATCAGACCAGAGAATCTTGTTTCTCATGGTCTTAGAGTCCTTTAGGTGCCTTTCGGCAAACTCCAAGTGGGCTGTCATGTGCCTTTTACTGAGGAGTGGCTTCTGTCTGGCCACTCTACCATAAAGGCCTGATTGGTGGAGTGCTGCAGAGATGGTTGTCCTTCTGGAAGGTTCTTCCATCTCCACAAGGCCCTTCTCCCCCGATTGCTCAGTTTGGCTGGGCGGCCAGCTCTTGGAAGAGTGATGGTGGTTCCAAACTTCTTTCATTTAAGAATGATGGAGGCCACTGTGTTCTCGGGGACCTTCAATGCTGCAGAAATGTTTTTGTACCCTTCCCCAGATCTGTGCCTCGACGCAATCCTGTCTCGGAGCTCTACGGACAATTCCTTCGACCTCAAGGCTTGGTTTTTGCTCTGACATTCACTTTCAACTGTGGGACCTTATATAGACAGGTGTGTGCACCTTTCCAAATCATGTCCAATCAATTGGATTTACCACAGGTGGACTCCAATCAAGATGTAGAAACATCTCAAGGATGACCAATGGAAACAGGATGCACCTGAGCTCAATTTCGAGGCTCATAGCAAAGGGTCTGAAATAGGGTATTTGTGTTTTTTTATTTGAATAAATTTGCAAACATTTCAAAAAAACTGTTTTTGCTTTGTCATGATGGGATAGATAGTGTGTAGATTGATGAGGGAAAAATATAATTTAATACATTTTAGAATAAGGCTGTAACGTAACAAAATTTGGAAAAAGGGAAGGGGTCTGAATACTTTCCGAATGCACTGTAAATACTGTACACTGCAGTAAGGTCTAAGCCTTGACTTGTATCAAACAGACCCCAACTAAGACCTGGGTCGTGTTCAGTAGGTACGAAAAGTTAGAAATCGCTCAGAAAAAGAGGAGTACCATCTGTCCAATAAGAAATTATTGATTCCCATTTAATGTTTTGCTACGGTGTGTCCTAATGAACATGACCCAGCTAACAACCAAACGGGTTCAGATGTCACAGTCCACGGGCTCAATTTCTCATGTACCTTAGCTGAGCAGGCATGGCCCTTTAATTAGCTTAAATGATAGGGCTGCTGAAAATTGCTTTTAGCACATCGAGTCCACATTCGTGTCCATTGAATCCAATACAGGGCTGCTTGCAAATGCAAGGTGGAACAGAAGAAACTGTATCCCCCGCTTGAGCCATGGGCTCCCAGGGAGCAGCCCGACTGCCTGCCTCGCTGATGACACTCGTCACATTACCTAACAGTCAGGGGAGTTCTAAAAGTTCAATTAAGGAAATCAGCCTGGCTGAAACACTAGCCTCCTAAGCTAGCATCGGGTGGGGTGGTGGAGAGGATATACAAAGGCCGGGGGCAGAGCATCTCCACCAGTGACATGCAGTCATGGTAGGCGGTGCCCTGTGATAATCAAATTGTAAAAAGCTGTTATGAAAAGCCAAATAAAATTGTCATTCTTTTTTGTTATCTAATGTTTTTCTCTCAATGATTCTGGTGGTATTTATGCTCAAATTCTGAAAATGTGCTAAAACTGCATCAAAACCTCAGGGAAGGTGCCAGGGTATTCATGCATTTCTTTCCAGCCATTCAAATCCATTAACATCCTTTACATGTGCAGCCTTTCCTGACTACAGTCATTGTTAATGGACAGGGTCAGCATAGGTGTCGCTGCTTTGCCTAGCTTGAAGTAGCTTCATTCGAGCCGATTTCATATTTTGCACATGCGTATTGCCTAAACATGTTGTGTGGGTATTGCCTGGGGTAAGCTGTACACATTTGGGTGTGTCTACATAAGTTGGCACTCGCATCCCTTGAACTGAACAAAGCTAGCTAGCTTGCAAAAACAACCTGTCAACTGAACACTATTGCACCTCAAAACTATTTTCCAAGTTGGAATAATGTAACGTACTGTTTGGAACATCAGAGTTGAAGAGCGGAACGTCAACTATAATGAAAGTTAAGACCAGACAGAGGCAGCATACAGGAGCTCTACACACAAGACCTGACATGACAGGAAATCACCATGACACCATCTCCCTTACTGCTAGCTGTTAGGTAGGCGAACATTGAGTCCTGGACTGTCCACTTGTCTGAAACGTCATTACAAATTCATATTTTTTACCCAGACTTTTACACATCTTGGACATTTACTTTTGCTTTGTGGACATAATGGGCCTTGGGGATGCGTCTCCCATGGCCGTGGGCCTGCTGTGTGCATACAGAATAAAATAATGGACATGGGGTTGTGCTGTGACTTTTACAACTCTGTCACCGAGAGGTTCACCAGAAGAACAGACTTAATTTGCATGTAATGGTAGGCCTAAATGCATTTTCTTTGCAATTTGCAGGTTAGGCTACTGTTGAATCAGACCACATCCCTTTGAATCTAGAATTTTGTTTTGATGAGCCACGTTTTCGACATTTTCAACTGCATTGTCCAGTCATTTTGATTGTTGATATGGAAAGGTCATTAGAACCGTATTTTATCATATATGTGTGTGTAATATTTCACATAGTATTATGAGTGTGTGTGTGTGTGTTTGCGCATTGGAAGAATTGTAAATCCATTGTGAAAGGCTATTGAGTTTGCGTTGTGAATTATTCTGATGAAATGTGTCCATATATTGGTATTTTAGTGCCAGCTATCAATTGTAACTGTTGATGCTACATCGGTCTATAGCCGAGCTGAGCAGTGTGTCATTTTGTCGGATGAAATTGAAATATGCCGCCATGTATCTTGGCTACATTGGGAATTACATTTGGTGAAAAGTATTTGTCCATTTCAGTTAATAGCCTGGTTGTTGGAGAGAGGAGGATAGAGGGACCTACCTGCTTGAGTCCTCTACCTTCAGATAGGGGGACTTCAAAGCACCAGCTGTGGACAAAGGGAGAAAGAAAATGCTGAGGAATATATAGGGGCAGAACACCCATTGACACGTCATCAATAGCATGAAAGTCAATGGACAGCACAGCACATTTCCATAGTCTAAAATAATAAAATAGTAAAACATTCACTGACCTTTGATGACACGAGACACAGCAGGATACTTGTTGGGATTTTTCAGCTAAACCAAAAAATGGGAAAAGGTTAACGTCAGCCCTTTATTAATGCAAGTATTTCAAACAAGCAAATTAGTCAGTCCTCAGTGTAAAATAATAAATAAGGATAGACAAGGTCTAACAGGTTGGTGTACCACATTACCTCAGTCTTCCTGCGTCTGGCCTTGGAGCTCTCTGCTGTCAACAGTTGGACATGCGTCAGGAGATCTTTATCTAAATTAAGGATCACATTTAATTATACGGCCCATAGTCTTGTTAAGAGCCAAATAGCTCAGGCTAGACTAAGAAATTGATCCGGCGCCATCTGCTGTCAGCTTAGGATCAATACAGCACAACAGAATAAGGTTCCTTGGATATGTAAATTGCCAGGCTACATTTGACACACAAACAGTAGGACACCTCAACACAAGGTGATTCTGTGACAAACTGAGTAGTTAAAGTAGTTAGTCAACCTAAAAAGGTATGAGTGACGAGAATGTGAGCTCTACACAGGTGTTTGGTAGTGAAAAGGATACCGTCCACGTGCACTATCTTGACTCCCCAGGAGCGGGCGTTGGCCAAAACACTGTTCCCCTGAAGCCGTTCCTGAAAGATAAAACCATCGATACAGTGTTTTCGTGTTACAAGGTCTAACATGGGAAAATGAAGATCCATTATCACACATGGAAACCAACCGCAAGGCCATGACAACCCGTTTTCAAATCAACCTCGAGCCCTAACCCTGTGTAAGGGTAGGGGTCAGTTTGAAATCAGGCCACAGAATCAACCTAATTAAAGCACTCACATTATTCCTAATGGCTTTCTCTAGCAGGGCCTTCCCGCGGCTGCCACACACCTGCAGAAACAAACAGCGATGAGAATCCCCATACCAGTTCCTTTTAATACAAGCAGAAGCTCTAACACAGTAAGGACCACATCCAAGAAGCCATGAATGAACTACAGAATACAAATAAATGCTATGATATTCTGTGAATAAAAATAGATATTATATTAAAGATGGTGTGATGTTAACGCACTGCAAAGTAGGGTAGGACAGCAATATGTGGACAGCCATATGGCACTGGGATGGAAGGCCATACCGTTGGTCTGGGAGTGCCAGTGGCTGGACGCTGCTGCCTGGTGCTGGTCATGATGCTCTCTCTCGGTTTGGTGGAGCGGGGAGAGCTGGGACACTCCCTGCTCATCCCGTCTGACCCACCTCGGGTCACTTCGAACCTCTCACTTTGGAGTCTCTCTAGGCTCCCAGTTACAACAAAGCTGACATCCTTATTCAGGAAACTCTCAATTCTCTGCAAACATTTAACAAAATAAGTATCATTGCATGTATCATCATATAATCATGTCATATTGCTGGAGTCCACCTTGAGGCTTAGCTCTATAAAATATTAAATGAAAATATATAGAAGTCTATCTCTCGGTCAAGTGTCTACTACAGAATAATTCCAGCATGTCAATTATCTAATGCCCCTCCCCCCAGGGGCTTCATTTGCCCCAATTCCGGAACCTCGCAGCTTTCCTACCCCTCCGAGATGGGATATGGCCTCCACAAGAAAGGCTGCAGGGCGACTCTTCACAGCGTCCAGGTAGAAGGATTTCCCTTCCAGCTTTCTTGCCCCATGGCCAGGGGACAGCATACCCAAGAAGCGCCCTCCTAACCCTGGTGGGTGCTGCTGCATGGTGGTCCTGTCCTGGTCCACTAACACTCAAAATGACTAGACTGCTGGTCACGGAGACAAACCTAACAAACAAATAAAAAACAAAAAAATTAAAAAAACAAAGCATTGCATAACCTTAGCATTAGTTGGTGTATGGTGATTCTACGCCAGTGGAACATATTTTGGGTATCTCAGATTGTTCTGGCAATTCCCACATAGGAAATACATTTGGAGGAAGGGATGTTTAGCATGCTTTTTATATTTGTATAACAAACAATTATTTGGAAAATCATTATTAAATTGGCCATTCTAGGCCCTTTTTAGAGCTATACATGCCTTCTGTAAGACCTTATGATCCTTGAACCGTACATGATACAGACAACATCTTGGTGTCATTATACTCCTTATAGTGTGCTGTAACATATAGAGTGTCTAGATTGTGAAATACAAATGTTCACATAAATATATTCAACATAGAAATATTACGAAATTACTACACTTTTTGATTTTGTTCATTTTAAGACATTGTTTTGAACAATATACTCTACAAGTACATCACATTTCCAGTGGGCTCTCTGCTAATTATGAAGTTACGATACATTTTATAAGCACCACCAACGGGAACTCCCTCTGCTGGTGATTTGCTGAATGTGCAATCCTAAAGGAGGGCTGTGATTGGTTAATGACCTATAAAAATACAAGAGAGCCTACTCCGGAAATGTTTATTTATTTGACTATATTTTTAAATGTTGAATACATTTGTGAAAATCTATATCTCAGAATCTAGACATCTAGACTCCATATGTTACAGCACACTATAAGGAGTATAATGACACCAAAATGTTGTCTGTATCATGTACGGTTCACATATCATAAGGTCTTACAGAAGGCATGTATAGCTCTAAAAAGGGCCTAAAATTGACAATTCCATTATGATTTTCACAAAATGTCATACAAATGTAAAAAGCATGTTAAACATCTTTTCTCCCAATGAAGTTCCTATGTGAGAATTGCCAGAACAATCTGATATACCAAAACTATGTTCCTGCTCCCGTTGGCGGAATGTGGAATCGCCCTGTAGGCCGAGTTAACTGTTTTGGTCAAGTAAATAAAGCACTAACTAACATTAGGTAGCCAGCGGTTTTGAATCTGAGTGAAATGTATTCTCACTCGTCTCTAACTTTTACAATAAAAATTCCAAAACAGTCCCTTTACAAGTCACAATGTTGAATAAACTTCATTTGAACTTTGTCTGCTGATTTTGTCCTTATTCAGTTGGAAATATGTGACAAAATATCCACAGTAAAGTAATATTAACTGACTTCAAAACGCGAGTCTCTGTGTGTGGCTATCACGATCTGTTTGCTCATCCCTGATGCCCCGTACACATCGTGACGTTTTCATTACGCCGTATGTTATCTTCACGCAATCTCGTTCCGCTTCTTGGATGGTGAGCATAGGGTTTCACAATGCAAGACTGAGAGAGATTACAATTATTTTGGGAGATCGCAAAATATGACCTTTTCATTCAAGACAGGAGAAACACATTGTTTCAGGTGATAAAACATGTTTCGTTTAGTTACTTTTTCCACAACTTGTTTCTCTAACTTTCTAGCAAGTCAAGCTAGCATACAGAGCAGCTAGCTATTTTGTGAAAGAGTTGTTATTTTTTAACGACTCTTTACTGACTCGAGAGTCATGATTAGCTCCAATAAACCCCTTATGGTGAACAACAAGTGAACAAGAGGCTTGTAGAATCGAGTTTTCAGTTAATCGTTCGCCGGTAGGGGGTCCTGCATGCTCTCGCAATACTGACTCATGTGAACGAAATTAGTCGAAAGATTCGTTCTTTTGACTGAACGAAAAGATCTGAGTCAGTAAAAAGAGCCGAAGTTCCCATCACTACTAGCTAAAAGCTAGGCTAGGTTGAAGATACTGTAGCTAGCAACCACCACCTAATAATTATCATTAAAAAAAAAACGTAATTACCATCACAATAAACTAAAATGGGAGGCAACAGCCATATAATATAATAACAGCCAATGTGTATTATTTAACATTACTATTAAAATAGTTCACACTTTTAGGAATGGGTCATCGTTTACAAGTTGCTAGCTATCCCATAAAGCCATTTCCGAAAACCACATATATTTCTGTTCTATTGACGGACTCCGGCTGCAGTGAAGACAATGCAAAGTTTGGAAAAATTCAAAGTATGAGGCATCCGTTTCGCAACGGAGCCTTCAACAGCAAGCACTGCTATACCGCTCCATTGTGGACGGTCCCCATTTAGATGAATGACATCCTGCACAATGCAACGGACTGCTCAGATGTAATGTAAAGCATCATAATGAAGCATTATGCATTGTGAAACCCTCCCCATCTTCTCCGTCCAGTAGCGGAATGAGATTGCATTAAAGGGATACTTCGGGATTTTGGCAATGAGGCTCTTTATCTACTTCCCCTGAGTCAGATGAACTAATGGATAACATTTGTGTGTGTCTGCATGCAGTTTGAAGGAAGTTGCTAACTAGAGATAGCACAATGACTGGAAGTCTATGGGTAACGCTTGTTAGCACTGGCTCGCGAAACTACCTCTAACGTCCCTTATACTGGACACAGACATATAAAATGGGTATCCATGAGTCAATCTGACTTCATCTGTTCCGCCGAAATTAATAGATGCATTCCCTTTCTTAAAAAAAAGTATGCCTCTTAAGTAGAAAATAACTCTACTCTAACATCAAGAAATAACTTAAAAGTTATGTTGGCAACTGCATGTTATGGCAAATACTAAACCTAGAAATAGACAAAAACACACACAGCGAAACAACGTGACCATGGACCAAGTAGCTGACGACGCGTCTAAAGTGAGTTTAGAGACACTAACAGAAATTCGCACTGGCAATGATAAACTGTCTAAGCAGATGAAGAAAATATCTGATGATGTCAAATAAATCAAAACGGATATGACTGAACTGGGCAAACGCGTGGACAAGGCCGAAACCGGGTTAACCCTGGAGGAAATCGCATGAGAAAAGCGTGGATTAACAAAAACACTGAAAGATTAAAACGGGATGGAGGACTTCAGCTTCCTAAATTTCCCCGAAAGCTGTGAAACAACCCAGGATGGAAGAATTACTGGAAAATGAAATACCACAACTACTGGGCTAGGAGAACTTCATATGGGCTACCTCAATTGAACGAGCAAATAGAACAGGCGGCCCGAGTGGACACGAGCAAGGGGCATCGTCGCAAAGTTCCTTAACTAAAGGGACAAAGATAAAGTTATACGACTGGCCATCCAAGCCGAGTCGGATCAGGGTTTCCATTAACCGGCAATTGCCGGCTTTTGGACTTGGATGCCGATAAATAAAACTGTTGCCTGGCAAAATGACTGGGAGAAAAATAAATAAACATAGCAAAATAATGCTTTTATTAATTGATGGAAATACCGGTCGATGTACAGTGCATTCGTAAAGTATTCAGACCCCTTCACTTTTTCCCCATTTTGTTAGACATATTCTAAAATGTTTACACAAAATAACCCATAATGACAAAGCGAAATCAGGGTTAGAATTTTTTGCAAATTTATTACAAATACAAAAACACCTTATTTACATAAGTATTCAGACCCTCTGGTGCATCCTGTTTCCATTGATCATCCTTGAGATGTTTCTACAACTTGATTGGAGTCCACCTGTGGTAAATTCAATTGATTGGACAATATATATATATATATAAATAAATAAATAAATAAATAAATAAATAAATAAATAAATAAATAAATAAATAAATAAATAAATAAATAAAAGGTCCCACAGTTGACAGTGCATGTCAGAGCAAAAACCAAGCCATGAGGTCGAAGGAATTGTCCGTAGAGCTCCGAGACAGGATTGTGTCGAGGCACAGATCTGGGGAAGGGTACCAAAACATTTCTGCAGCATTGAAGGTCCCCAAGAACACAGTGGCCTCCATTCTTAAATGGAAGAAGTTTGGTACCACCAAGACTCTTTCTAGAGCTGGCTGCCCGGCCAAACGGAGCAATCGGGGGAGAAGGGCCTTGGTCAGGGAGGTGACCAAGAACCCGATGGTAACTCTGACAGAGCTCCAGAGTTCCTCTGTGGAGACGGGAGAACCTTCCAGAAGGACAACCATCTCTGCAGCACCAATCAGGCCTTCATGGTAGAGTGGCCAGACGGAAGTCACTCCTCAGTAAAAGGCACATGACAGCCCGTTTGGAGTTTGCCAAAAGACACCTAAAGGACTCTCAGACCATGAGAAACAAGATTCTCTGGTCTGATGAAACCAAGATTGAAACTCTTTGGCCTGAATGCCAAGCGTCACGTCTGGAGGAAACCTGCCACCATCCCTACAGTGAAGCATGGTGGTGGCAGCATCATGCTGTGGGAATGTTTTTCAGCGGCAGGGACTGGGAGACTAGTCAGGATCGAGGGAAAGATGAACGGAGCAAAGTACAGAGAGATCCTTGATGAAAACCTGCTCCAGAGCGCTCAGGACCTGAGACTGGGGCGAAGGTTCACCTTCCAACAGGACAACGACCCTAAGCACACAGCCAAGACAACGCAGGAGTGGCTTCGGGACAAGTCTCTGAATGTCCTTGAGTGGCCCAGCCAGAGGCCGGACTTGAACCCAATCGAACATCTCTGGAGAGACCTGAAAATAGCTGCGCAGCGACGCTCCCCATTCAACCTGACAGAGCTTGAGAGGATCTGCAGAGAAGAATGGGAGAAACTCCCCAAATACAGGTGTGCCAAGCTTGTAGCGTCATACCCAAGAAGACTTGAGGCAGTAATCGCTGCCAAAGGTGCTTATAATAATAATAATAATAATAATAATAATAATAATAATAATAAGCCATTTAGCAGACGCTTTTATCCAAAGCGACTTCAACAAAGTACTGAGTAAAGGGTCTGAATACTTATGTAAATGTGATTTCAGTTTTTAATACATTTGCAGAATTTTCTAAAAACCTGTTTTTGCTTTGTCGTTATGGGGTA